CCCTAAACCCTAAACCCTAAACCCTAAACCCTAAACCCTAAACCCTAAACCCTAAACCCTAAACCCTAAACCCTAAACCCTAAACCCTAAACCCTAAACCCTAAACCCTAAACCCTAAACCCTAAACCCTAAACCCTAAACGATGCATTACTACTCACACGAACGAGTGAATGAAACACACGAAACACAACTATCTGCATGGGAATGCGATGCTTTCTGACGATATGTTACACGATTCGAGTGTCATCGTCTTTTCAATGACGCTTGCGCTCCGAAAATGCTCGCGCGCTGAGCTACGGACCCTGTTTTGTATTCGACATCATCATCCGTTTTTATCGGCGCCGAGCCCTCAAAAACAGCCGCGCGCGCTGTGATGCTCGGAGAGATATTTTCACCCTTCGGCAAAGACACTGGGCTCTCGCGTTTGACGAGTTCGGGCTCTCGCATTGCCGCTGTCGCTCCATCTATTTTCACCCTGGTCGGCTGCGACGGTTTTACGATCGTTACCGCTTGCGGTCTCTCCACGTCGGCTAAATCATCCAAGTCGTCGTCGATATCGCTTTCCTCCTCGACCGAGCGATTCCGCCGCGCCACGGCGGCTGCCCACGCATCGTTTGTTTCAACTTCATACGGCGTAACAGCAGTGACCAACGGTATCGCCGCTGATGGCGGCGTTATAACCTTCTGTGCCGCAGCACGGACGACCGGTGCGCACGCGACAGGCTCTTTCACAACCGGCGGCGGCATTTGCGACGCTTTCTTAATCGCGTCCGACTCCCTCGCTTTGAAAACGTTTGACGCGACTGAAATTGCAGTCGGAACTTCAACATTTGCCTCGTGGTGCGATGAGACATTCGACTGCGAACGAGCCGACGCAGAAGAGAAGAAATCCGTCTTCGGCGTTAATGACACATCCGCCCCTTTAGCTGATTCTGATTCTGTCACGATTGGTTCAACCTCTAGGGGAAGATTTGGCACATTAGTCAGCTCTGGATTGTGCGTCGCGTTTTCGTTCAATACGCGCTCGGCTTCGTCAGCGCTCACACCCGTTAGACGCTCGAGCTCGGCGAGCTGTTTGCGAAGCGCCTCCATCTCATCCGCTGTTCCAGCCTCGCCACTCGAGTCGTTTGTGGACGGAAGCGCATTTCGTTTCACATTCGCGACGCCGCCCTCGAGTACATTTCCTACAAATCGCACTTCGCGTTCAAAATTTTCTTCGTCGAGGAACTCCTCCTCAAACACTGAAGCTCGCGCGGGTCGAGGCGCTCGCTCGGTCTCGACTCGACGCTCAGCGATCGGCGCTGATGTTGGTGATGGCACAGGAGCCGAACACGTTGTTTGATCCTGCTCATACACCGGCACGCTAGCCGGCGCTAAACGCGTCGCATACGCGCGCGAACCTTGTTCGTATGCCATTCTCTGTCCACCGAGAGTCTGCTGCCCGCCACGCGCGTGCGGCGCGTATCCTCCTCTTTCGTCGTACGTGGTGACTCCAAATCCGAACGGAATCGGCGAAGATGGCTGCGGATCTTCCGCGCGCGGAAGAGGTGGCGCTCGAAGCTGCACGACGGGTCTATCGTCTTCTTCATCGAGAAACCACTCGAGCCAGGACGCACTGTCCTGTGACGGCTGTTGTGGAATGATGTCTCCCGGTCGAACGAACGCTGCCGAATACGCCGGATTACCTCCGCCTCCGTGCGGACTGAGCATCAAAAGCTCGCAATCATAATCACCGACGCGAATGCGTTTTCCAGGAGAGAGTCCGGCGACGTACGCCGCATGTGCCAGACGGGATCCGTCGGGATGGGTGTGTAACAGCATCACTTGTGAATGCATCGGAATCGTGAGCAATCCCTCTTGAGAGCCCGAGCGAGGCGCGCCCTCGCGCGCGCGAGCGTACGATACGACCCAACACTGCGCTTTGGACGGCATGCCGTCGATCACGCGCCGGCAACGTCGCCTTCTGCAGATGAACGAGTATCAACATTACCGCGGGGTATTCTTGACACAACTCGACCGGCTTTTTAAACCGCTTGGTCGATTCTCGACGTCACTCGACGCCGCGACGATCGCGTCATGACGACAGGCGCGGACAAAGGAAAAAATGACTCCAACGCTTCGGAGCCGGTGACCATGTGCGAGGACCAGGTCAGGCGTCTGTCGCTCGATGAAACGGAGGAGAACGCAAAGAGTAATGACCTGGTAGTGAAGACAACGAGCAGCCGTCCACCCAAATCAACGCTGCGACGCGGCGATACCTCGCAGTTGAGCACCATGCTCGAAGCTGTGTCTCCACGGTCATCGTCTGACCAAGACGTGCGTCGATTGTTCAAATCCTCCGAGATGAGCGAAGCGGTGGCAGACCAAGTTGAGTCACGCACGCTGAGACGCAACGCGATGTCGATGGCGTCCATTTACTCCACCATGGCGGTATCCCCGCCGCGAGTGCACATGTTCACGAGCGCGCTCATCGAGGATCCATCACCGACGAAGCGCACTGATCTGCCTACACCAGAGGAGAAGCTCGTGGGGAAAACAAGTACGTCCGCGCCAAACGATGGCGCGTCGCCAGAGGTCTTACCCAAAACGCTCGACGAGTTCAAAGAACAATTTAACGTGGACAACCCGAAGCCACAGTCGATTCCTCCGCCGATTTACGGCGACCAGGGTATCATCGGAGAGAAGCACGTGCTCGTGATGGTCGGTTTGCCCGCGAGAGGAAAAACGCACATGGCAAAGCGATTGTGTCAGTATCTACGCTTTTTCCACGGCGCGAACACGCGCGTGTTCAACGTCGGAGAGTATAGAAGACGATTTGCTGGCGCCGGGCAGACCGCGGATTTCTTTACAAAAGAGAATAAAGCGCAGCGCATGAAGTTTGCTCAGGAGGCGCTCAAGGATATGGTCGATTTCCTCTTTCAAGAGGACTCCATGAGCAACTTGGAGCAGCGAGGAGTGGATAGCGGGCGCGTCGCCATTTTCGACGCGACGAACAGCACGAAAGAACGGCGACGATGGTTGGTGAATCAAATAGGATCGTTACCGCTTAAACTTTTGTTCATCGAGTCAATTTGTACCGACGAAAAGGTTGTGGAGCACAACGTTCGCGTGGCCAAGATTACAAACCGAGACTACCACGGCATCATGTCGCCTGAACGGGCGTTCAAAGACTTTATGCAACGCATGAAAAATTACGAACAAGAATACGAGCCAATGGGTGTCGATGACGCTGAAGCAGACCTGAGCTTCATCAAACTCATCGACTGCGGGAGGCGAGTCGAATTCAACCTCGTTCACGGGTTCTTGCTCGGTCGTGTGGCTCAGTTTTTATCCAACATGCACGCGACGACCTGTTCGATATACTTATCTCGACACGGTCAAAGCGAATACAACGCGTGTGGTAAGATAGGCGGCGACTCAAACTTGAGTGCTATGGGTGAAGCGTACGCGCTTAAGCTCGCAGATTTTGCGGACAGGATAATCGCGCACGACGCCGACTCGGGCGATGCTCAAGCGGTGAGGCTTTGGACTTCGTCACTTTTGCGCACGAAGAATACGGCGCGACATATCAAACACGCAAAGATCAAGCATGACGGGAAAGATTGGATACAGTTCGCACCGCGCGTCCTGAGAAACTTGGACGAAATATATGCGGGTGTATGCGATGGCATGACGTACGAAGAAATTCAGAAAACGTATCCGCACGAGTATGAGATGCGCAGACAGAACAAGCTCGCGTATCGATATCCACGAGGCGAGAGCTACCTGGACGTCATCGCGCGCCTGGATCCACTGATACAGGAGTTAGAAAGTTATCGCGAAGATATTCTCATCGTGGGGCACCAAGGGGTCTTGCGATTAATCTACGCGTACTTCGCCGGTCTCGACAGAGACGAAGCGGCTACGCTATCGATTCCGCTCAACACCGTTATCAAGCTCACGCCGAGAACGCACGACTGCATAGAAGAACGCTTCCTTCTGCACGATCCCACGAAGAATGCCGAGCCGATAGATCCGCCCAGCTACTGAAAATTAGTACTTGTCAAATTACAAAATCGTCAACTTGCGGTGTGGGTGCCCGATTTCCGAGGTGTCGTGAAGTTCGAGGCAATTCTGGGCGCAGTTCTGGACGAGAGATCGACACTCTCCCACGCGCATGCGGGGAGCGGCGCGCGGGCGGGCACGAAGCAAACGCACGCATCACGTGTGCCTCGTTATCGTGCCGTTGAGCATCGTGGCGGTGTTCATACGGTCGCGTTTTGCTAGAGTGAACCGTCACTCGATTGGCGCGCGAGGCGTCGCAGTGGCAAGCACAGTCTCCAGATCTACGGAGGGCCCCTTGGTGGAAGATTGGCTCAATTTTCACCGGCTAGTTGGAGTGGATCGATTCTACATATTTTTAGAGGGACGAGCTACCACTCGCCTACCTTGGTCAAAGCATCGACGGGAAGTTCGCCTCTTTGACGACATCGATGTCAAATCGCACCACGCCGTGTCAAAGTTACGAAACAAGAGTTTTCTCAAGCCCTACGTCGCCAATGCTTCGTGCGGCGCGAGCGCGCTCTTCGTTCGACAGACGCTTAATCTTGAGATGGCCATCGAGGCTGCGAGACGGGATGGTTTTCGCTGGTTAATCCACATTGACGTAGACGAGTTGTTGTATCCTAGCTCCAGTCCGAGATTCAACATCAAGGACGTTCTGCATGACGACGTTCCCTCCGATTGCGAACTCGTCGTGTTTCCAAATCACGAAGCCGTACCAGAGGTGGCTACGAATTCGTCTAAATCACCGTTCAGTGCGATCACCCTGTTCAGGCGGAATCATCAAATGGTCGATCGCAGACCATACAGGACGTTCCTGCGTCTCGCTCGCCGCCAAAATATTTTACCAAATTACTTTTTAGCCTACGCGAACGGTAAATCGGCGGCTCGCCTATCTTCACGAAGTTTGCGTCCAAACGGTGCGCATAGATTCAAGGCGAGTCGAGGTGCCAGAGAGTGCACTGTACGAAGCTCAATACTCCATTTTCCATTCGATGGCAATGAAGCGCGGGCGAGACGAAGAGCTGAACGGTGCGACTGTTCGGCGGAAGACGTAGAAAAATGCTCGATGTTATCATTCGATAGAGAACTCGCTGCTGAGGCTCGCTCACGCGTCGGCTTTGAGGATTGGTACGAACGGCGCGTCATCGAGAGTGACGACGCGAGGAAAAACACGTTACTGGCAGCCGGCCTCTACTTTCGCGCTCACGAGCCATTTCTCTTGCTGACCAAACTCGAAGGGTTGATGGATGACTAGGATTGTAATTACAGCACGATAAGTTACAGTGACCATTACGATCGTTAAGTTTGTACAACTTGTATAGCCGATGGACAATCTTGCAGAAGCGCTCAAACAGCCCCGTCATTCATGGGATACCACATTCGTTCAGTTATGAAGGCGTCCATGTCGCCGGGCTTGGGATAGAGTTGCGCGACGCCTACTTCATACGCGTGCTCAGCCACGGCCACGGCTACTGTCTTTGAGATGGCACGGATGGCCGAGACGGATGGATAAATCTTTCCTGCGCGTACTTCGTCCTCGGGCACGATCGTGGCGAGTGCGCGCGCCGCACAGAGGAAAAATGAATCCGGAATGTACTCCGCTCGCACAGAAACCGCCCCGAATCCGACTCCCGGGAATATGAACATATTATTTCCTTGGCCGGGAACGTACGTATTTCCTTCGATCGTCACTGGAGCGAAAGGTGATCCCGCGGCGAACAAACACTTTCCTTTGCTCCAAGTGTACGCGTCTTGCGCAGTGATCTCAGCCTTGCTCGTGGGATTGGAAAGAGGAAACACGATCGGCTTGCCGATGTGCTCGCACATCAACTCTATGTGTTCGCGAGTAAAGACTGGTCCAAAACCAGAGAGACCGAACAGCGCGTGAGGTTTCACGCGTTGAATGAGCTCTCCCAAATCCGGGCACGGCTCCTCGCCGTGTTGAGCAAATTTTCTCTTCTGGCTGGACAGATTGTCATAGTCTTCGCGCGTGTCGGTGATCAAGCCTTTACTATCCATGAGCCAAATCGCGTGCTTAGCTTGTGTTTCGCTCAGGCCTTCGCTTATCAGAAGTTGCATGATTTGCGTCGCGACGCCTATTGCCGACGAGCCGGCGCCAAAAAATATTATTCGACAGTCTCGTGTCGACGTTCCCTGCGCTCGCAAGGCGTTTATAAGACCCGCCAAAATTGTCGCCCCGGTGCCCTGGATATCGTCGTTGAAGCACAGCACTTTTCTCCGCAAGTGCTCGAGAATTCGAAAGGCATCTTCGGTCTTGAAATCCTCAAACTGTATCAAGCAGTTGGGAAATTTGTCCTTGACGGCGAGACAGAACTCAGTCACCACGGCGAGGTGAGCGTCCCCTGTAAGTCTGGACTCGTTCGAGCCGAGGTAATACTCGTGTTCGGTCAGGGCTGTATTATTCGTACCCAAATCCAAGCAAACCGGCATCGCCTTCGCTGGATCGAAGCCTCCGCTCGCGCAGTAGAGGGAAACCTTTCCAACGCTGATTGCCATACCGTTCGTGCCCCAGTCGCCGAGACCCAACACTCTCCCACCGTCGGTGACGACGATGATTTCGACGTCAGAAGAGGGCCAATTATCGAGCATTGTTCGCATAACTCCCGAATCCAAGCGTGAGAAATACATTCCGCAGCGGTTACGATAGAGCGAATCAAAGTTAACCACGGCGTCTCCGACGGTTGGCGTGTACACGATTGGCATCAAATCCTCCAAGTGCTCGACGAGCACACGATAAAACAAACGCTCGTTCTGCATGTGCAAGTTCTCGAGGTATACGTAACGATTGATGTCCTCTTCAAACGCGCATAATTGATGCCACGCCCGACTGACTTGAATTTCTGGCGACTCGTACTTGCGTGGTAATAAACCGCGCAGGCCGAGGCGCTCTCTCTGCGTGAACGTGAATCCAGTGCCTTTGTTCAACGACGGCGAGTCCAGTACCGCGGTACCGCGGAGATTTTCAATGTTATCCATCCGTCTGCCTGTCTGCCTGCTCTGTATCACTCCGAGATTTCAGTAACACTCACGCCGACGCGGACGATTCCTGGCTCACGACGACCGCGAGATGACCAGGCGCGCGCGAGTATAGGAGCGCGCGGTCGCGCGTTCAAATCGTTCGCACTCGAATAGAGCGTGAATCGGGTAACTCACGTCGCGCGCTGACGATTTCTCGTTAGTACTGACTGGATGTTGGCCCCGTCCAAACCGCCGTGCTCGCCGTGGTGGGGAGGCTCCGGCGCGTCAGTTTGGTGTGAGTACTACGCTATCGATGGAACAGGTACTATGCTATGCTATTTTCGTGCGCTGCTAATGCTCCCTCAGAGATCACCGCGCTGAGTGAACGTGCCGTCAACCGCGGCTTCAACCGACTCGCTCGCGAGCCCGACAGAGTGCCCAGACAACGGCGGCTCTGCCGCTTCCTCTCTCCCGCCGGCATAATCGCCGTGAAGGAGTGACGTTCTCTCACTCGAGTTCACGGCTGGCGTTCTTGACAGTATCGGTTCGATGATGTTCGTCTCCACGCTGCTTATCAAACGCGAAATATTCGAAAGGACCCGTTTCTCCGGGTTACTCGGATCGCTGGTGGTCGTGGCGGGCTCGCTAAGTTTGTTGAGCAGCCAAGTCGTCATCCCGCCTTGAATCACGATCGTAAACGCCACGATAAAAAGTGTCACGTCGAACATGACGTGACCTTGCTCGCCGAGATCGCGTCTCGCCTTTTCGGCGAGCGCGAACGCGACGGCTCCCCTCAAGCCAGAAAACCAAAGAATGATTTGCATTCTCGGCGTGATGCTGTGCGCCGGGTTCTTTCTCGCCGAGGTCACGTTCAAGAGAAACGATCCGGGGAAAATATTTGCGGCGCGACTGATGTACGTCACCAGCAATCCAACGATCGCGGTTACGATGTGAGCGCTTCTGAATGAATACATGGCGCTCCCCATGTAGACAAAGACAAACGTCTCAGACAAGAAGCTGAAAATTTTGAACACGCACATGGTCACCATGCGCGGCGCGCGCGCGAGGTTCGGGCGCGTGTACCGGCCCATGACGATCCCCGTGAACAGCACCGCCACGATCCCACTTAGCTCGAACGATTCAGCGAGAGAGTAGCTCAGGTATGGTAAAAGGAGAACCAGCGCCGAATCGACGACCCACCCTTCCTCGAAGTCATTCGTCGTTCGAACGTACTTGTGCAGCAGCGCGGAAAAGCAACCTATGCCAACACCGACGAGCGTCGCTTGACTGAAAGCGAGCATGAATGTACCGATCGCTTCGAGAATCAGAGGCAAGAAGGATGCATCTTGCTGCAGCATATCCACCACCGTCATGGTGTCAGTCGCTGAGGCGCCCAGGAGAAGAGACTCAAAAAGCACAATCGTAATGGCATCGTTCATGATGCTTTCCCCCATGATGATGGCGTGCAAATCTTGACTGACTGGCGTCGAGCTAAAGATGCTCAAGGTCGTCACGGGATCGGTCGAACTGATCAACGCCCCAAAGAGCATCGCGCTCTTGAGCGAGAACTTGTAGCTCAAGCCTGTCAAACCCGCTACGTACATCATGACTCCCGTCGTGATCGCGCTTGAAAGTGAGCCCACGAACGCAAACATTGAAACCGCATCCGCGTTGTTGAAGAACGTCGTCGGGTGCAGTGTGTACCCGGCTTCGAACACCAAGGGTGGAAGAAGCACGAGGAAGAAGAACTTTGTATCGAACCTCATGCTCGACGCGAACGCCTTGATACCGTAGCGCATGTTAGCAGGCATCGTGTCGTACGACGCCTCCAACGTGAGGAACACAAAACATCCTACGGCGATGCCAAGCAAAAGTGCCGCCCCGCTTGAGTGCAACCACTTTGATTTATAGTGCTTCAGCACGACGCCGAGCACGATCGTCAGCAACAAAATGCAAATCATGACCGTCATGGAGAACGCGGCGACCCGTTCATCCATCGCCTCTTCCTGCATTGTTCGTGGTGACTGATCGCTAGTCCCTGTCGCCAGGGCGAGAATGTCATCCACGCTCGTTTGGGTGTCTAGAGCTGTTTTCGTCGCGACGTCCTCCATGACTGCGTACACCTGCTCGTTGAGCGAGTCGCTACAGTCATCCCCTTCGCAGTTCGCCGCGCCGACGTGCGCCGTGTTCGACGCACGTGTGCCATCATCATCATCATCATCATCATCATCGTCTCCTTCTTCTTCTTCTTTATCTTCATAATTGTCGTCGTCACCACCGTCGTCGTCGCCGCCGGCGTCTCCGACGTTTCCCCCACCTTCTTCGTCGTCGACGTCTTCCGCGCCGACGCGATCATCTTCGTCGCGCGTTTTCGCGCTCGATGATGCGCTCATCTTTCCTGTTTTCCCCGCATCGATCTCGCTCTCCGTCGTGGTCCTCGTCGCGCTCGAGCGGGCCTTGACGTCTGGATCGACCGCGCCAACACCATCGACGTTGGATTCGGTCGTCGTTTTCGTCGACGCGGACGTCGACGGCGCGCCGCCTGCGCCGCGCGTCGCGCCCGTCGAAGGCACCGACGACATCGCGTCGGCGCGCCCTCGCCGTCTTCGCCGACCGCGCGTTGTGACGACGCGAGTGACGATTTCACGGTGTGGAGAACGAGGTCCCGGGAGACGAGGGCTCGCGCGCGCGACGAGTTTCACTTCAAAAGTACATCTTTCAATTCCAACGTCATCAACTATGGATTCGAGACACGTTTACGACGAAATCGTCGCCTTCTCACCCAATCTGAGGTGCTCGCAGTCGACGAGCGCCTGTCGCATCCAATCGTGTTTACACCGTCGCCACGCGTCGAGCGGGTCGAGCCAATACCTCGTTCGCACGCCGTCCTCGGGCCAACGCTCGTGCTCCTCGAGCACGCGCATCGTGAAAACGTGCGCGACGCACCGCGCTTCATCACCCTCGGCCCCAGCCCTGACGCGCGATCGCGAGTAGAACTCGTACGTCTCGTTGCCCTCGCTCACGTCCCCGGTGACGCCGCCCTCTTCAAAACATTCTCGCGCGGCCGCCTCGAAGTCGGTCTCGTCGAGCTCCCACCCACCCTTTGGGAATATCAAATCTCGCCCGCGCACGCGCGCGCCCTTCTTTGAGTTCAGCATCAGCACCTCCACCTCGTCGCGAACGTCTCCCTCGAGGAAACGTCCGCCCTTCGATCCCCACGCGCGCGCCGAGTCCTCCATCGCGGGCGTCGATCGACGGCGATAACATATGCATCCCGCCACGAGGCGTTGTTTCTGTTCGTTATACCGCTGATTCTCCCGTCCCGTGCGCGCGCGCATCGCACTCTCCGTCCCCGCCGTCGATCGCCCCGCGTCGTCCTCGTCCGCCATTCCTCGATGTCCGGCGTCTCCCTCGCGCGCACCGCCGCCGTCCTCACCGCCGTCACCGCCGTCATCACCACCGTCCTCACCACCGTCGTCCTCCGGCATGACGCGCGAGCGATCACCCGCGCGTCGCGCGCTCACGCTCGGGCGAGACGACGCCCCCACAACCCTCGGCGCGCCCTCGAGCCGTCGACCGGTCGACCGGTCGATCGGTCGATCGGTCGGTCGATCGATCGATCGGTCCTCGATCGGTCGATCGGTCGGTCGATCGTCGATCGGTCGTCGATCGTCGATCGGTCCTCGATCGATCGATCGTCGACGTCCTCGATCGATCGATCGTCGATCGGTCCTCGATCGATCGATCGACGCACAGCTCGATCGAAATGAGACTCACCCTCGGCGTCGGGTGTGGGGTGATTAGGGTTCGGCGACGCCCACCCTCGACGCGGTGACGTCTTCGCGAACGTCGTCGTCGTCGTCGTCGTCGTGAGTGATGACTCCAAGCGAAAGGGGTCGTGGCCCACGCGGTCCGTGGTGATGGGCGCGCGACGTCATCGCACCGCGCGCCATCGGGCGCGAGACGACGGGTCACGGGCGATGGCGACCGTGAACGCGTCGCGGACGATCACGGCGGTGGGCGCGACGCGGGCGGTGGGGGCGAGACGGGCGCGCGCGCTCGAGGGCGCGCGGAAGGGGGGGCGAGACGCGCGCGGTCGCGCGCGCGGACGGGCGGGGGACGACGCGGGCGATGACGCGCGGACGCGTGGACGTCGAGCGGTGCGCGGCACGGGACGACGAGAGGGGGGAGTGTCGGTCGTCGTCGTCGAGACGACGTCGAGGACGCGGATCGAGGCGCGAGCGCTTGGAAACGGGACGCGCGCGGGGGATTCGCAGACGGTGGACGAGGACGCCGTCGCGACGACGGCGACGGCCAAGGGAAGGAGACGTCGCATGTCGCCGAAGGAGGCGTTGCGGCTGGCGCTGGCGGACTTAGACGCGAGCGGTTGGTGGGCGGTGATCTCGAGCGGGATCGTGTTCGGGACGTTTCTGCTGGAGACGTACAACGTCTCCAGCCTCGGTGGTTGGGACATCTTGTATCGAGAGGACATTCCGTGGTACACTGGCATCATTTCCATGGATTCGCTCATATCCATTGAAGACGCGTACAACTTGCTCTTTTTATTCGAGCTTTGTCTCCGCGCGTACGCCGCGGATTTTAGTCCCAAGTTTTGGTTGAAGCCGGTGACAGTCGTGGACGTCGTCAGCACGGTCCCACCGTTGCTGGCCATCTTTGACGTCCTCGGCAGGAGCTCGCCGGTGTATCGTTTCCTTCGGTTGCTTCGTGTGCTGCGTTTGTTGCGTCTCTTGGATCGCTCAACCGATTCCGTGCTGTTCGGGTTGGTGAAAAGTGATAGTATGGGGGTGCAGCTCATAGGTATCGGCTCCGAGTTCGTGTGCATCTTTGTCATCGCCGCGGGAGTAATCTATGACTTGGAGTACGGCGTCAACCCGATGGTGCACAACCTGAACGACACGCTGTACTGGGCGATTTTGACCCTCACTGGTATTGGACAACCGTTCGAGGTCGTCACGGCTGGCGGACGCGTCGCGACGGTCATATCTATCGTCGTCGCGCTCATCGTCGTTCCAGGACAGCTCGCAAAGCTCGCCGCGATTAGCGGTGCGCAGGATCTGATGAAGATGATGGACGACGACGACGACCAGGATGTCGACGGTTTCGTCAGACTTTCATCCAGCGGTGAGGAGGGTGCATCGAGTCAGAGCCGGCGTACGGTGTTCGACGATCGCGAGTGTCAGCAGTGTGGGTTGACGATGCACGAGCGAGACGCTCGATTTTGTCGACGTTGCGCAGCTCGACTTGACGATCCCGCGAAGACGGACGCTTCTTACGTGCGGTCGGCGAATCGACAGCGGGCGCGGGCCCCCGCGCAGTCTTTCAACCTTCCGGGAATGCGACTTGGCATAGATACCACAAGCTCGGTATCCAATTCGGCGAAAGAAATTCAGCGCCGAGCTCGGCGTGAATAAACGCGTGCATAGATGCGTGTTGTACATTAATCTCTATTGTTTCATTCTTTAACCCGTTCGTCTAAATCTACCGGTATCCCAGACTACTCTTTGTCTAATCGCCCATTCGTCGCGCGCGTCTCGTCAACGTCACGAATTCCCTTTTTCTCGCCTAGCCTCCGCGAGGTGGTTCAATTTTGAATCACCCTTTGTTTCCTTCTTCCCGATCACCTCCGATAACACGTACGCCACCCCGCCCGCCAGCGCGAAGGCGGTCCAGGCGTATCCCGAGTAACGACCGTAGTTTTGCATCGCGTGTTTCCACAGCGCCGGTAACGAGTGCTGCGGGCTCACGCGCGAGGACGACGCCCGTCCGCGCGCGTCGGACGACGGCGCGCGATTCGACGGTCGCATCTTCGTCCCTCGAGCGTCGCGCGCCGCGGTCCGTCGACCGACCGGTGCTCGACCGGTGCTCGACGTGTGCGGTCGTGACAAAAAATTCGGACGCGTGGTGCTCCTTGAAAAAACGAGACGAACGTTCGTCGCGCGTGCGGCAGAAGAAGACGCCGAGAAGATGGGTGGTCTCTACGTCGTCAAGCGCGATGGACGCGAGGAGCCGGTGGCGTTCGATAAGATCACCGCGAGAATCAAGAAGCTCGCGTACGGGCTCTCCCAAGAGTTCTGCGACCCGGTACGTGTTCGATGCCGCCGTTTGCGTTTGAATCGCGAGCGAGCTCGAACAGCCGCGCCGCGATCGACGCGACGCCGCTGGACCGAGTTCTTTGACGCGCGCGGATGTTGGGAAAACCATCCCATCGTTCCGGCGCGTTGAACCGCGCGCGCGTGGTCGCCGTCGTCGACGAAGCCGAGGAGACGCCTCTTGAGAGATCCCGCGGTCGTTGTCGTCGACAGGTGCAAAATTCAAAATTTGAGCACCCTTTTTGAGTTTCAAATCCAGACCTCGCGCGAGCAAAGATTTCAGCAGCTTAAGCACAGCATCGAAGCGCGTGAAACGGACAATAGACTGACCATGGACGACTACATCTTCCTCACTCGCAGGTGATTGTCGCGCAAAAGGTGTGCATGGGTGTGTTCGCCGGCGTCACCACGAAGGAGTTGGACGAGCTTGCAGCGGAAACTGCGGCGTCGATGACTTCCAAGCACCCGGACTACGCTCTGCTCGCGGCGCGCATCTCTGTCTCCAACTTGCACAAGACGACCGTCAAGTCTTTCAGTGAGACCATGAAGGTGATGTACGAGCACGTGAACAAGCGTAACGGCAAGTGGTCGCCTCTCCTTGCGGATGATGTCTACGAGATCATCATGGCAAACGCCGAAAAGTTAGATGCCGAGCTTGTGTACGATCGTGATTTCGATTACGACTACTTCGGGTTCAAAACGCTTGAGCGTTCCTACTTGTTGCGCATCGACGGCAAGGTCGTCGAGCGTCCGCAACATTTGCTTATGCGTGTCTCCATCGGCATCCACAAGACCGACATCGAAAAGGCGATTGATACGTACCACATGCTGAGCGAACGATGGATGACGCACGCGTCGCCGACGTTGTTCAACGCTGGTACCCCGCGTCCGCAGCTTTCTTCGTGCTTCTTGATTTGCATGAAGGAAGATTCCATCGAGGGCATTTACGACACGCTGAAGGAGTGCGCGTGTATTTCAAAATCTGCCGGAGGTATCGGTTTGTCCATCCACGATATCCGAGCTACGAGCTCTTACATTCGAGGCACCAACGGAACGTCGAACGGCATCATTCCGATGCTGCGTGTGTTCAACGACACGGCTCGCTACGTGGACCAAGGTGGTGGTAAGCGCAAGGGAGCGTTCGCCATCTACCTCGAGCCGTGGCACGCAGACATCTTTGACTGGCTTGACTTGCGTAAGAACCACGGTAAGGAGGAAGCGCGCGCGCGCGATCTGTTCTACGGCCTGTGGACGAACGACTTGTTTATGAAGCGCGTCGAGGCGAACGGCGAATGGACGTTGATGTGCCCGAACGAGTGCCCTGGATTGTCTGACTGCTGGGGTGAGGAATTCGAAACTCTGTATGAAAAGTACGAAGCGGAGGGTAAGGGTAAGAAGACCATCAAGGCTCAACAACTTTGGTTTGCCATCCTCGAGTCCCAAGTTGAGACCGGTAACCCATACATGCTCTTTAAGGATGCGTGCAACCGCAAGTCTAACCAACAAAACCTCGGCACGATCAAGTCCTCCAACTTGTGCACAGAGATTGTTGAGTACACGAGCCCGGATGAAACCGCCGTGTGCAACTTGGCTTCCATCGCTCTGCCGCGCTTCGTGATCGAGAACAACCCGTCCTCGCCCACTGGTCGCACCGAAACCAAGAAGCTTGTCGGTTCTCTCAAGTCGAAAGAGCGTTTCTTTGATCACTCCAAGCTCTTTGAGATCACGCGCAAGGTCACGCGCAACCTCAACCGCATCATTGATGTCAATTATTACCCAGTTGAAGCTGCGAAGAATTCAAACATGCGTCACAGACCGATCGGTCTCGGCGTCCAAGGTCTTGCGGACGTGTTCATTCTCCTCGGTCTGCCCTTTGACTCTCCTGAGGCGCAAAAGCTTAACGCCGAGATCTTCGAGACGATTTATTTCGCCGCTCTCACTGAGTCCAACGCGCTCGCCGTTGCGGAGGGCCCGTACAGCACGTACGAAGGATCTCCGGTGAGCAAGGGTGTCTTGCAACCAGACATGTGGGGCTTGACGGAAATGCCGGGTGGTAACCGTCACGATTGGGCCGGTCTCCGCGCGTCTATCGCCCAGCACGGCGTTCGCAACTCTTTGCTCGTCGCTCCGATGCCGACCGCGTCTACGTCTCAAATTCTTGGCAACAACGAGTGCTTCGAGCCGTACACGTCGAACATCTACGCTCGCCGCGTGTTGTCCGGTGAGTTTACCGTCGTGAACCAGCACTTGTTGTCTGATCTCACTGAGCTTGGCCTGTGGGATCCGGAGCTGAAGAACGAGCTCATCTCGAACAACGGTTCCGTGCAAGACTTGGACATTCCGGACAACTTGAAGAACATTTACAAGACGGTGTGGGAGATCAAGCAACGTGTTCTTGTTGACATGGCCGCGGATAGAGGCGCGTTCATTGATCAGTCTCAGTCCTTCAACGTGCACATGAGCGATCCGAACAGCGGTAAGCTCACCTCCTTGCACTTTTACGCGTGGAAGAAGGGCCTGAAGACCGGCATGTACTACCTGCGCTCTCGCGCGGCTGCGGATGCCATCAAGTTCACTGTCGACGCGACCAAGACGAAGAGCAAAGTGAACAAGGAAAACGAAGCACCGGCAAGCCCGAGAAAGCCGACCAAGGCTGACCTCGAGAAGATGACCGATGAGGAGAAGGAAGCGTACTTGGCAGCGAAGTTGCAGTGCAGTTTGCAAAACCGTGACGACTGCGTCATGTGCGGGAGCTAACTGCCCTACTGCGCATGCCCGTGCGGCTTCTGTTGTTGTTCGCCAGTGAATGAGTATACTTTTAAACGTAAATGTCGCTAAACCGATTCCATATCTACCGTGCGTCCCCGCCTCTGTGCGTCACTCATTCGCGCTCGTCGGGCTCGTCCTCGCGCGAGCAGGTTGAGGGGTGGAACCTGCCGTCGCCCTCAGTCGTCGGCGTCATGGCGCACCTATACGGCGCGGGCGCGGACCCACCGGGTGGATACGGTGATGGTGCGCAGTACGGAGCTGCGCAGCCCGGCGCGGTGCTTCCGTCGTTTCCGTTCGACGCCTGTACGACGTTACAGACTGAACTCTTAGAAGAAGGTCACGCTCCGCCCGCGATTACCTCGTGCGGGTTCGACTGCGGCGAGGAATTACTGTGGTGCGGCACGGAAGACGGATGGATCACCGCGATGTACGCTCCGACGCTCGCCAGACATGTCTCCGTGGAGGCACACGCGCATGCGGTGACTCAAATAGTACCCCTTGCCTGCGGGGCGCTGAGCCTGAGCGCGTCCAGCGTGAAATTTCATACCTCCGGCGGGATCGAGACACTCACGTGCGCGTCGTGCGACGGGGAGCAGAACGCATTGAAGGCACTGGCGTATCAGCATCCGCACGGGCGAATGGCAGGGAAGGTTTACGTCGGAAGAGCAGCGCCGGTGATTGAGCAGTACGACCTCACGCGAGGCGTATTGATCAAGTCGACCGAGTTGAAACACGCGTGTGAGAAGTTGAATTGGGGCACTCAGCGCGGATTACTCGTTGCTGGTCAAGAGAATGGAGAGTTGAGCTTCCGAGACACCCGCAACGGCTTGAGGCAGGAATTAATGGCCACGGCGCACGGGTTGGGAAGCGTCACGGGCATCACGGGAAAGGGTGATCTCGTGGTCACGTGCGGGACTACGACGAGAGCGGGGCAGGTCGTGGTGGATCAATTCATCAAAGTTTTTGATGTGCGGTATAGCGCGAGATTGCTCAATCAGATTCAATTTCCCTCGGGTCCGGTTTCCGTGGAGTTTAATCATGGTTATGAGTCTCCGACTCTCAGCGTTGTGGGGTACACAGGCGCTGTGCAGACACTCGATGTCGTGAATCCGGCAGTGATTCCGTACACCTACCAAATAGACACGCATGGGGCATCAATTATTGGACAAGCTGTGTCCTCCACCGGCGAACTCGTGGCGTTCAACGATGACTCAGGATGGGTTCACGTGTATGCCTCAGGTGAAGAATCGTACGTGAACGCTGAATCGTTCCCGACCGCACCGGTGGATGAATACGCCCTTTCTCAACAGGAGTTTCAATTACCAGATGATCTCACGGCATGCGGTCTGACCGCGGAGGAGATCAATCCAGCGAAGGGGGAATTCAAGTCCAACTCTAGTTTACAGGGCGCCAGGGTGATAGAGACGAAGAAGAAGGGACTCCCTAAAATGTACGCACGTGTCGAGTGCAATCGGTCGGCACTGACTGCTGAAAGACGCTACGAGGAATTTGATTTTTCGACGTACAACAAAACTCGTTTGCCGGGTCTTACGAACGATTTGGCAAATTGTTACGTCAATCCTGTCTTGCAAATTTTGCACTTTGTCCCAGAGCTGAGATCAAAGGTGCTGGCACACACCTGTGAACGCGAGTTCTGTCTCACGTGTGAGATGAGCTTCTTGTCGCACATGCTGAGCACGTGTCCACCAGGTCTCGCGACGCAACCACTGAATTTTTTACGCACCCTCCGCCAAATTCGTGAGGCTGCTGCTCTTGGATTGATTGAGGGCAGAGATGAGCTCGAAGCCCGCGCTGAGCACTCACCTATTCGTAGAGTGCAAGCATTCCTTCGATTTATTTTGGAACAGCTGAATAAAGAAGAGCTGTCCAGAAGACAAGCCCTCGGTGACGTCGCGCCAACCGGGCAAACCGCATGTGAGTCTATCTTTGGCACCATTTCAAAGGAGACACTCAAGTGCACGCAGTGCGCTGTGACGACGGCGAAGGAAACGCGAAACTTCCAGGTCGATCTGCAATATCCGACTGTACGCGACGGTCAGCGCCCGTCATTCGTTGACCTGCTTAAGAGGTCTCTAGATGTTTCGCAGGAAATGCGTGCCTGGTGCGAAGGTCACAAGGCGTACACGCGAATGAAGCAAAATCGGCTTCCTCTCTCACTCCCGACTGTGTTGTCAGTAAATCTTGGTATGGCCGATTTGAAGGATTTACATTGGTGGGGAGTCGACTCGAGTGCGGGTCCTACCGCGGATGCGTTCGGTGGCAAATTACACGAGCGCTGGCTACCGCATGTCATTCAGATAAGTCTCGACGTGGATTCAAAAATACTGGAAGTGAAGCACGCCTTGGACCCTTCGCAGTTCACAGCTGCGCCAAATTCGACCGTGTACGAACTGACCGGGTTGGTCGCGTTCAGTCGAAATATAGACGACGAAATTAAGAAGGGCTCAGATTTGCGTCAGACGAAGAGTGCGGACATCTCTGGTCATTTAGTCAGTTTCATCAAAGTCAGACCGCCGTACGTGGATGTCTCAGGAGATTTCACAGCGTCGCCGAAAAAGCCGGGAAGTACTCCGGGAGTTTCTCCGCTTGGTAACGCCGGCGCCGTCAAAACGACAGAAGTATCAGAATCGTCGACGTTCGCGCCAACGAAAGCGCCGATCACAGCGAATCCGAGCACTCCGTCGGTGTCTCGCACTTCGGCGCCGGGCAGTGTCAATGAATGGCTTTTGTTCAATGATTTTGTCGTGAGTCAGGTCTCGAAGGATGAAGTCACGCAACTCTACGGACAGTTGAAGATACCTTGTCTGTGTATGTACACCAAGGTAGAAAAACCCGCGCCACTGCCGCTACCACCGTCGCCGATCACGTTTGAGCTGTACAAGAAGGTGACGCACGGAATGTCCGTTCCGCGCGGTGTTCCTTTCGTTCCTTTCTCGTGCGTCGGCGAAGACACGCCTGGTCCTGGTATGCTGCTGGGCATTGATGCCGAGTTCGTATCACTTGCGCCGGCAATCATGGCGGTTCGCGACGATGGTACTGAGTACGAGTCTGTCCCGGCACGCCTCGGGCTAGCTCGAGTCTCCGTCGTGCGCGGTCAGGGACAGCAAAAGTTGACGCCGATCATCGACGATTACATTCGGGCGGTCGAACCCGTGCACGATTATTTGACGCGTTTTAGTGGATTGGTTCCAGGTGATTTAGATCCCGCGACAAGTCCACACTTCATCACACAGCTCAAACACGCGTACTTGAAGCTTCGATATTTGATTGACGCCGGGTGTATCTTCGTCGGACATGGCTTGAAGCAAGACTTTAAGATGATCAACATCGTTGTTCCGCCAGACCAAGTCATCGATACGGTGGAGCTGTTCCACTTCAAGCGCCAGCGTAAACTCTCTCTCAAGTTTCTGGCCACGAATCTCCTCGGGGAAGAGATCCAGGGCGAAACGCACGATTCGATTGAAGACGCGCGCACAGCCATCAAGCTTTACGAAACGTATCTCGATTTGCAAGCGCGTGGAGAGTTTGAATCGGAGCTGTTAGAGATATACAGGTTTGGGAAGAAATTTGGTTTCAAGGGAGAGACGACAAACGAAGAAACAAACCCAAGTGATGCAGGTTTGATGAGCGCCGAATCCTGGACAAATTTGCAGCAGGACATGTCGGCTCTCGGGATGTCTGATGACGGTGGAGTGTCATTACAAGATTTCGCGCAGTCTCGACAGTCCCGGTTCGGCATCGAATCGCACCAACGATCCGCACCACCGCCGATAGCCATGCCGTTTACGCCGCAAATGGCGCCGCAAATGGCGCCGCAAATGACGCCGCAAATGGCGCCGCAAATGACGCCGCAAATGGCGCCGCAAATGGCGCCGCAAATGACGCCGCAAATGACGCCCGCACAACTGAGTCAAATGCTCGGAATAGGATTCGGCCACGCGCAACCCGTTCGCACTGGCTTGCACATGGGATCTAATCCCGTGCCAATGCAACAAACCGTGCCGATGCCCCCTGGAGCGCCGCCGATGCCTCCGATGCAGATGGGCGCAGGTGTGCCTCGTCCGATGCACGCGCCTCCGCCTCCGCCTTTTCCGCCGGGGCCTCCAGGTAGACAGTGGGGAACGTGATCGCCACATTGTACATTATCAACATTGTATTATTGTTACAGAAGCATCGTATTCGTTCGCTAATAGTTATATCGACGCCTGCCACCGAGGAGTCGATTCCTCTGAGCGTTTTCCTTCGCGTGCTCTTCGGCGAATTTTTGCGCGAAGCCAATCTTTGGCCGCCGCTCATCCCTGACGACATCGGGAGCGTTCTCCCACGCCTGCCTATACATCGCACCCACCCGCACTACATCTATTTGACCGTCTTCGCATCTCCCATCGATCGCGCTCGTCGTCGCGTCACGATGCTTCCTCCGCGGTAGCGCGTCGGCGTGAAACCGTCGCGACGGCGCGTTCACCGTCTCAAACGCGTCCCCGTTCCACGGCGGCCTATCCATCGGCGTCGCCACCGCAAACGATCCACACCGAGCGGTCGCACCCGTCGGTCGTCGCCCGTCGTCGTCCTCATCACTCAATTCAAAATCGAAATCCACCTCACGCGCATCCTTCGCGCGCGCTCGTCCGCCGTTTTCTTCACCGTCTCCTCGTCCGCGTCGTCGTCGTTCGACGAGGTATCGCGCCACGACGTCATCGTCGATGTCTTCTCGACCCAATTGTTCGAGTTCGCGCTGCACCTCTCGCACGGTGACGAACGTCGACCCCATCGTCGATGGTCGCGCGAGGACTTTTCACGTCCACGGCTGTCGATCGCATCGCTCGAACGTCATCGCGCGGCGCTTTATCCGCGACGCATCGCCCGCGCGTCCGCGCGCGCGAGGCGAGGGCGCGATCGTCCGCGCGTGCGCGTACGAACGATCGCGCGCGTCGTCGGGACGTCGGCCTCGGCGTCGGCGTCGGCGACGGTGCGCGCGAGAGCGACGCGGGGACACTTTTTCGTCGACGGCTGATTCGCTCGATCCGTTCGCGCGTCTGGACGCGTCGCTTCGAGGGAGACGGACGAGAGCAGGGGAACATGGCGTCGCGCGTGATGTCGTTCTCGGTCGATCCGAGCGCGCGCGGGCGGCGGTCGATGAGCGCGCAGACGTCGACCTCGCGAAGGGCGGCGAGACGAGGCGCGGGCCGACGCGGTTCGGCGCCGGCGAGCGCGTTCACTCCGGAATCGATTCAGGAAGCTGTGATCGGACACATGGGACCGACGGTGCAGTTGGCGCTGAGCGCGCTCGGTGGGGGCGCCGCGGTAGCGCTCGTCGCGGCCAAGTTGGCGAGGGGCGCCGCGGCGAAGGACTCGGCGACGCAGCGCGGACGGACGCCGATGACGCGCGGGACTGGTGTTTCCGACGATAGCAAAGGACGAGGATACCTCATCGCGCCGCCACCGCTGTTTCCACTCGTTCCAGCGTTCGCCAGGCAGACGTACCGCTACGAAGTCGATCCAGGACGTATGTGGTTCTTCGAGCAAAAGCAAGGCATCGGGCTCGGATTGAACGTGAGCGTCAATGTGCGCATGACAGTCATCAAGCTGAAAACCGGCGGACTCTGGGTTCACGCGCCGGTAGCACCGACGACAGAGATGGTGGCTCTACTGGATGAGCTCGACGCGCCCGTCGAGCACGTCGTGTTGCCGACGACGCTGTTTGAACACAAAATTTTTGTCGGGCCGTTTCAGCGCAAGTATCCAAAGGCGCAGTGCTGGATCGTGCCACAGCAGTGGAGTTGGCCGGTGAATCTGCCGCCGCAATTTTTTGGCATCAATAAGACTGGAATTTTGGGCCAAGACCGCGCGCCTTGGGAGGATGAGTTCGAGTACGAACTATTGGTGCCTCCAGCTCTCGGCGTCGCTTCGTACGTATCGTTCGTCGAAGCTGCGTTTATCCACAAGCCGTCCAAGACGTTGCTCGTCACCGACGCCGTCGTGTACGTGTCTGAAAACATCCCGGATTGCATCCCTGACAGAGATCTTGAAGAGAGCGGAGACGACGATAACTTCACCATCCGCGCGCTCAAGTTGTTGAACCTGTTTGACATAAAAACAAAGGCAAAGAGTCGCACGATGACGTCCAAGGATATGAGCCGCGAGGAATTGCTGCGGCTTGGTTGGCAGCGCAACGCTCTGCAGGCTCTGTACTTTGGGCCGAACGACCTTCTCTCTCCGGAAGAAAGTTGGAAGGAAATAACGAACCGCCTAGTCGTCGCGCCAGTCGTCGGCACGCTAGTGTACGAGAATGTCCCAGAGCCAGTGAACGCGTGGGCTCGTCGCGTGGCGAAGTGGGACTTCAATAGAATCGTGCCGTGTCACTTCGACGCGCCGATTCGCGCCGGACCGCGCGAATTCCTTTCCGCCTTTTCCTTCTTGCCGTCTTCGCGACCGGAGAACGCCAAGGGAAGAGGCGGGGCGTATTATCCTAGCGAAGATATGATCTTGCTTCGAGGCGTCGCGGACTTCCTCCTGAACACTGGCGTCATCTTCACAGACGAGACGCGCCCGAAGCGCCCGAATATTTGATTTCTCCCCAAACAGCCGCAGCATTCGACGTTATCAATAGTTCAAGGTCGAATAAAAAATATCGTGTATTACACGGCCACCAACGCATCGATCATCCAATTTAAATACGCGCGCAGCTGTCGAGCGGCGGGATAGCTCATATCTCGCGGAACACCGATGCGATCTCGAAGGTACTCTAGTGATGCCACGGTCGGGGCAACCGCGTGCGATTCACCGCGACTCACGGCTGGTGCCGCCGCGGCGTCGGTGATTTCCGGTTTGATCATGGCGTGAACGACGAGTCGGAGTGCGGCGTCTACGGCGGGAATGTGTTCCTCACCAGGTTTGGCGTTCGGATCGGACAAAGGAGCCGAGTATCCGGGTGAACCTGGTGTACCACAGCCCCGAGCGGCGAAACGTGTCACGTTGACGTGATTTTCAATGACGCGCCTCGCCGCTTCCATGCGAGCGAGCGCGGGATCGTCCACGCCCCACCACGGCTCCATACTCGACTCATTCAGAGGGCCGAGTGGTAAACGCCAATCGACGCCGTTGACGCCATCGATCGCGTCCCGAGCCTGCACGTTATCGCCGTTTTCAGCGCATCCGCCCAGCTGTGGCGGAAGATCGTGCGCGTTCGTGTAGTAGTCACTCTTGATTCCGCGGTACACCTTACGCTGCGCCATCGCGGCGAACCATTTGTCGAGATTCGGCCATCGACCACCGTTGCCTTCGATTTTCAACCCCTTGTAGTACAGAATACTCGCCGCCATGCGCTCGAGAAACGGCGTGTACGCGATGTCTACGAGCGTGAATTCGGCGCCCATAAAGTACGGACCGCCGCCGGCGCCGAGCTCCGCGTCCACCGCATCCAATGTTTCGCAGTACATGCTTTGTGCCGAAGCATCGCTCCAGCTGCTCGTGATCCACTGCATCCATCGAGAGAATAACGCGCGCTCTAAGCGCATCAAAGTCTGCGCGCGTCGCATCTCCGCGCTTCCGGGTGCGTACGGAAGTAAACTTTTATGCTCGGTGAACTCGCTCTCGATGACATCCGCGATGACGCTCGACTCCGTGATCACCCGTCCATCGAGCTCAATCACGGGAAGAGCCCCGCTCGGAACTTTCGACGTAAAACTCTTCGGTTTGGAACCGTAGCATCGCATGTTGATTCGCTCCAACGTGTACGGCACGCGTTTCTCCTCGAGCTGCATCCAAATCTTCTGAGAGTACGGGCACCAAGACGCCGCGTCGCGATAGAGCTTTATCCTCGGCGTCGTCCCCGGCGACGCATCGAACGCGCGTTCGTTCGCCCGCGCGTCCGATTCCTCCGGATCCTTCACGAACGCCCCTCTCGTCGCCTCGTCCAGCGCCGTCCACGCGGGCGCGTCGACGCGCGCCCACGTCTTCGCCGTCGTCCCCCCGCGTCGTCGGTTCGCCATCCCGACCGCATCCATCGCCCGGTCGAGCGCCCGTTTCGCCGCACCAACGAACGCGTCGTCCGATGCGCCGATGCCCCGCCCCGCGCGCGCGACGCGTCGCCGTCGCCCCCGCGTGCGCGACGTCGACGTCGACGCCGCGATCGTCCCCGCGCGAACGCGCGCGCGCGGCATCGTTCGTCGTCGCTCGGCGCGCGCGCGGTGGGGATCGATGGACGACACGCGGGTGTCGCTGGTACACACCCGATACACTATCCATCCACGAGGCCCCGTCGACGCGGGCCCGGCGCCGCGCGCTCGCTCGCGACGCATCGCGACGCGCGACGACGGCGATGCGCGCGGGAACGAGACAAGGGGCCGCGCTCGCGGGGGCGCCCGTGCGCGCGACGCGCGGGCGCGCGCGTGGGCGATCGCGCGCGGGACGACGGGTGACGGAGGCGCTGCGGAATTTTGATTATCCCGAGGCGCTGTTGTTCGATTGCGACGGCGTGCTGTGCGAGACGGAGCGAGACGGACATCGAGTGACGTTTAATAAGACGTTCGAGGAGTTCGGGATCCCGCACGCGTGGGACGTGGAGGTGTACGGTGAATTGTTGAAGATTGGCGGCGGGAAGGAGCGCATGACGCACTACTTTGACTCCGTCCCGGACGCGGAACCGTGGAAGAGCGTGACCGATCCGGAAGAGCGCAAGGAGCTGGTGAAAAAGCTTCACGCGAGAAAGACGGAAATGTTCTTGGAGCTCGTGAACCAAGGCGCGTTGCCGCTTCGACCGGGGGTAAAGCGCATGGTGCGCGAGGCGCTCGATCACGGCGCCAAGGTTGCCGTGTGCTCGACGTCAAACGAAAAGGCGGTGCAAGGGATCGTGAACACCATGCTTCCGGAGTTCGCCGATCGCATGCCCGTCTTTGCGGGCGACATTGTGCCGAAGAAGAAGCCCTCGCCGGATATTTATCAGCTCGCGGCGAAGACGCTTGGCGTCGATCCGGCTCGCTGCGTCGTCGTCGAGGACACTCATATCGGAACCTCCGCGGGCAAGGCCGCTGGTATGCGTGTTTGCGTGACAAAGAGCATCTACAGTGAAGAGGAAGATTTCTCTCGCGCGGATGCCGTGTTCGATTGCTTGGGTGACGAGGGCGACGAACGCGTCAAATTCCATCAGCTCACCACTCCGGGTGATTTCTGGTAACCGCCCCCTGCTTGTTTGCGCACGCATTGTCTGATTTCGAAACTCATAGGCTGAATCCTCCACTTCCCGTGGACTACGATGGGAACTGGTACGCAGGTGATGAACCGGCGGTTGACGATAGATTGACGCCCGAGGAGCGCGCGATCCTGGCTGACCTCGACTAGCAATCCTGCGTGAGGAATTCTTTTCAATATCAAGAATGATGAGTGTGTATGTCTTGCAACGTCTATATCGCGAATCGCTAAGGCCACACGATTGGTAACTCAAAATGCTTCGCCACCGCACCCGGCTGAAGATCACGCAACCAGGTCTCGTACGACCACTCGTCTTCTGCGTGCGGCGTGCGACGGAGCTCTTCCGTTTCGAGTCGTCTCGCGCCATCGGCAAAGTAGCAAACACTCAGGGCATACCGCGGTACCGAATCCTTCGGCTGTGGCGGACTCCAATGCAAAGCCCATCCGTGGTGTGCGGTGAGATCACCCAAGTCCAGCTCGTCGTACGTGTCGATTTCATACCTCCCTTCCAAATCCGACATGCCCTCGATCGTTCGCCAATACGGCAGCGCGAAGTCTCTGTGGGACCGATTCGCAAAGTGCAGCGCCGCATCGTCCTCGTCGAGCGAACGCAAAGGAATCCAAAGCGTTACGAAGTCGTTGGTGTCGAGAGGCACCATGTTGAGGTCGCTGTGCCAATTCGTCTCAGCCATTCCGGGCTCCTTTACGAAGACGCACGACTGATAAATTCTAGCTCGTTCGCATCCCATGAGTTCGGCCGCGATCTTGGCGAACTGTTTGCTCATGATGTACTCTCGAGCGGGGCTGCTTTCGTTTCTGTGCAAGTTGAAAGTCTGCAAAAATCCCACGTCTTCCTGAGAATGTTTCTTCAAAGCGCGCTTGCACTCTTCCACATCCTTAAGCTCCGTTGTGCGTGCGTCGGGACACAGCACCGACACCCTGTGTCTGTACGCCTCTAATCGTCTCGCTATTATTTCTCCGGTGACCGCCTTTACCATTGGAATCATCTCCACACCCTCCACGGCGCGTCGAATGCACACGTGTCCTTCTCGCTCGTAGTGCAACTGTTCCTCGAGCGTCACCTCCCGCGGGTCGTCGAACAACACCGTCGTCCCTCGCGACACGTCCTCGAACGCCTTCGCGCTCGTTCGCGGGGCGACCGCACGAAGGACCTCGGACGCGCGAACGCCTCGCTCGCTTCGTGACGTCGTCGCTCGCGGCGTGTCTTGACGCGTTTTCTCCGCACCACCGGCGGCGCGTTGTTCATTTTTAAAGTCTCGCTGTTTGCCGCGAGCGGGCGGTTTCGCCCAGTCCGGCGCGTCGGCGCGTTTGGGCCTTCGATCGCGACCGCCGCGCCCACCGCGCGCGGGCGCCGCGGCGGCGACGGTTCCGTGTCGAGACGACGCGTGCATGAGTCGCGCGTCGCGCAGTGGCGGCGTGCGACGTCGGTCGTCATTTTACAATCGTTCGTTAGTTCTCAGACGAGATCAGACTGCTCGTCAGAAAAGGACGCGCCGAGATCGAAATCGTTCGACATCGAGATCGAACTCGATGAGAAGAGGGCGACGCTGCTCGCTCGCCAGTACACGCCGCTCTGCGCGACGACGGCTCCCCAGATGTACGGAATCATAAAGTACGGCGCGCTTTCCTCGTCTTCGACGTACTCGAAAGCCATCGGGTAGAAATTGTGAATTGCGCAATCACTACAGTTACCGTTGCGAAACTTGGTCGGACTCGGTGAACGATCCAAGGAGTTCTCGGAGATGATTCGCTTGATGCAACCGACTGACATTGGACTGTCGGCGCCTTTGCTTCTCACTGCGTCGTGATAGTGCTCCATCACGCACTCAATGTTCTGCACGTATTCAGCGAACGCCGCGTCCGTGCGGTATCCCACCACTAACTCCTCCTTGTGCATGAGAGCGTACACAATTTCTGGGTTTTGTTCGAGCGAGTTGAGATCTGTCGTGAGACAGTTGAGAATCTCAAACGCGATTCGGATGAAGTCTTCGCACACTGCGATTTCAGAACGCGGAGTGTGCAGCGCCTGCTCCTGTAAATCCTTGTTTTCCGCACTCAACAACCTCGCGCGCTTCTTCGTGAGGAGCTCCAATATGTTTACGAGACGTTGAGCGGCGTATCCGGAAATGTCGCGCGTGACGCCAGCCATGTTCGCGATCACTCCGAGCACGCTCAGATCCCTCGATATCTTCGTCGATTCTGAGCAATTGTATTTGAGCGCTCGGGAAAGAACGACAAACATCAAGCTACCCATCGAACTTTTCTCGATGATGCGTTCCTTGTACCAAGCGGTCGACGAGCATTTCTGTGTCTGCATCAGTCTGTTGAAACCCACGTCTTGGGATAGAATCAGCAACGACGTGATGATGAGCTGCGAGACGTGCGTGATGCCGTCCATTTCCGCCTCGTATAGCTCTCTTATGAGATTTTCCACGAGACGCTTCGCTGCCGACCCTTTCGAGCCCAAGTAGGCGACGAATCGCGAGTTTGTCGAAAGCAGCGTGTACAACGTCAACAAACCAGAATCGGTCGACGACGATTCGCTGAGCGCCTCGCATGTTTTTTCGAAATTCACCAGCGTCGCGTCGCGCTTGCCCGACGAAACGGAAGATCGCGCTGAAACGTCTCTCATCCCCTTCACCGCCTCTCTGAACGGGTTCTTGACGTTTGGATCGAAAGCGCCCTGCGCGCAGAGTGCCAAGAATAAATTGCTGAATTCATCCGCCAACGGCGACTGCGTGGAGTGCGTGCATCGCACCAAATTGTGCGCCACTCGCTTCGATCGGCACGACTGCGCAGACTTGTCTGAACGCGAAGGAAATAACGCACTGAACGCGCTGACGAGTCCTCTAGTGACCCCACATTTTTCGTCGTCTCTGTTAGCCGGGAGTGCGCAAATATCTCCGCTATTCGGCGGACGAGCCACGATTTGCCGTAAAAGTGAGCACATCAACGTTCCTGTCATTTTCGAATCACTCGCGCCGAGCTTCAATAACGACATCGCGAGCGGATGACCCATCTCTCGCGCCTCGACGTCGGTGAGGTCGAACGCCAACTGCGACGAGCACGTGATGAGTAAGACTCTCGCGCACGCCGTGTGCAACGCCATCGTCTGCGTTGTCACGCGCTTTTTGCCCAATGTGTTCGCGCACGCGAGCATCAAATCATCGAACGGTGACCTCGCGCGCGTGGACGCACCGGAAGCGGTGACGCTTTCCCAACGTGCGTCGTACTCAAACGTTTTGGCCAAATTTCTCAAACTCTCGCTTCGGGCTCCTCCGAGCGCTTGAACACCGACCGTCGTCCCCCCACTCTCGCTCGCGAACTCGATAAAGTACTTGATGAACGTCCCCGCGAGCACGGTGACGTTAATCGCGCTCACCGGCGTCGCGTGCGCCCCCGCGGCGCCGATCTGCGTCGCCGCGTGTCTCACCAATTTGTACAACCCCCCACTTCGCGCGTTCTTCGCGTACAACGATCGCCCGTACGGCCGCAGCATTTCATCCAACGTCCGTTCGCTCATCGCCGTCAGCGGTTCGCTCGACGCGTTCCCTAATTCATACCAAAACACATCCATCGCGTCCGGCGTCTCGCGCGTCGCTTCGCACATCGCCTTGAGCCCTCGCCGAAGCTCGCTCGCGCTCTCTCTCCCGCTCGTCGACGTCCGTCGTTCCGATTCCATCACCGTCTCGCGCGCTTTCAAGCCTCGACGCGCGCGTCGCGCGTCGTCGTCCACGCCGTCGTCATCCATCTCCGGCATCGCGTCCACGGTCTCACGCGCGCACGTCGCCTTTCCCGACGCGCGCGCGTCCTCCACCGCGCGCGCGCCGTCGCGTCCGTCCACGGACGGTGCGACGCCCATGGTCCACGACCTCGGGCGTCGAGAGATGTCGCGCGCGCGTGACGATGGCGACGTTTTCAATTCGAGCGCCGCGTCGCCCATCGCACGTCGCACATCGCGTCGCGTCCGCGCGCGTCGGCGTCGTCGCGTCGTCGCGCGACGCGCGTCGTCTCCGGCGTCGTCGCCGGTGCCGTCGCGCGCGCGACGTCGAGCGGGCGCGGACGACGGAGAATTAATCATGGGACGAGGACGCGCGCACGGCGAGGCGTCGACGGCGACGCGGCGAGAGGTCGCGCGCGGGGCGATCGCGACCGCGAGCGGGGCGACGGCGATGGCGAGCGCGGCGGTGGTGACGCAGGTCGTGGGCTTGGTCCTCGGCGTGGGCTGCGGAAGCGCGATGGGGGCGGGGACGGCGGCGGCGGCGGCGGTGGAGGCGCCGTCTTCGCGGGCGCGGCGGCGCGCGCGAGCGCGGAGGCGTGGATGGAACGAACGAACGGGCGCGCGCGAACGCGGTCGAGGACGAGTGGGGAGAGCGTGCGGTGGGACGTCGCGAACGTGGACGAGGGTGACGTCGCGAGGGACGCGGGCGTGGGCGTGGCGACGTTCGCGGCGCTGAGTCGGGGAAATTTGGGACGTCTACTTCCGAGCGACGTCTCGCGCGTGGGCGCTAACGCGACGCGGAGCGCGCCGGCGAGAGGGAGTGACTACGCGAGCGAAGCGCAGAAACGCGCGCTGCGGCGATGGTTCAAGAAATTTGGCTGCCATCACTGCGGGAGCACGCGCGGGAAAGTCATCGGCGACCACATGCCGCCGAATAAGCTGGCTTTCGGAAGCGGCGCGCGCGCGGCGGCGAATCGCGGGGCGTCGCTCCCGCGACGAGTGTTTAACTTTGTCCGAGGCGTTCCTCTGCAACGCTTCTACCCCCAGTGCGAGGCGTGTTCGGCGCTGCAGAGCGCCGCCGTGCGCTCGGGCGCGACAAAACTCGTCGTCCACTCCGTCGGCGTGCGATGCGCCGCGCTCGCCGGCGCCGCCGTGGGCGCGTCCGCGCTGCACTTTGACGAGATGAAAATATTTGTGGAGCGCGCGTGCGAGCGCGCGCGCGGACTCCTTCGCGTCTGAGCGACACCCGCGCGTAGACGCCGTGTAACGCTTCGCCCTCGCAGCCGCCGCCGCCGCACACGCTCGCGCGCGTCGGACGCTCCGGGTCGGCACCGGCGCGAGCGACGCGCTTCTCCCGGCACATCGACGCCCCGCGCGCGCGCGCTCGCCCCGAATGGTGGCCCCGGGATGGCAGAATAAGAAGAAGCGAGGCTTGAAGAAGCGCGACGGCGCGAATTCCAAGTCACTCAAGGCGAAAAAGGGCGCGTCCGTGAAGCACAAGGACGCGATGAAGCGCGTGAGCGGACCGAAGCGAACGGGGAAGGCGATTCGTAAGGCGATCAAGGCGGAGCGACGGGCGATTCGGAACGCGGCCGAGGAGGAGGCGAAGGGGGGAGGCGACGTGCACATGGCGGGGTGAAACGCGAGCGGGTGAAACGCGACAGAATGTAATTCAATCGGACGCGAGGTAGAGCTCGCATAAAGAATTGACTGAAATATTATAAAAATATAATCGGTATCGCTCGAGAAAGTGACGTGTCGAGATCGATGCCTGTGCTCGCGCGCGCTAAGGGTCTCATACGATTTCGGGGGTGATGCAGCCGTCGTCGGAAGAGTTCTCAGCGGCGGCGGCTTGCGCGGTCATGAGCTTGAACACGCGACTGGCGAAGACGGATGGCTTGTCGATGGAGAAACCAGACGTCAACAAGGCGGTGTCGAACAAGAGCTGGCAAGAATCGGTGGCTTCTTTGGAGCCGGCTTCCTTCAGCTTGCGCAACTGCGCGATGACGGGAGAACTCGGGTTGATTTCCATCGTCTTTTTGCCCTTCATGTAATCGGACGCGCGGTTGTCACCCATGGCCTGTGCTTTCATGATACGTTCCATGTTAGCCGACCAGCCAAACTTGGAGGTCACGAGAACGCACGGGGTGTCGGTGAGACGATTGGACACCGTCACCTTTTCAACTTGCGTGCCAAGAGTCTCCTTCATCCAGTCCGTAAGGTCCTTGAATTCCTTCTCAAGCTCCTCGAGCGCAGCCTTGTCTTTTTCATCTTCATCGCCCATATCGAGCGCTTCCTTGGAAGCGTCGACGATCGGCTTCTCCTTGAACGTGGCCAAATTGGCCATGGCGACTTCGTCAATAGGATCGAGCAGGTAGAGGACTTCGAAGCCCTTTTGCTTGAGCTTCTCAAGGAACGGCGACGCCTCCGCGGCGTCTCTGTTATCGGCAGCGACGAAATAGATGCTTTTCTGAGCCTCCGGCATGTCGTTCACGTACTGGTCCAGGCTTCGCAGATCCCCGTCGCCGCTACTCTTGGAGGTGGTGAATCGCAAGAGTTCAGCCAAATCCTTACGGTTGTCCGCGTCTTCGATGACACCGAGCTTGAGGTTGCGGCCAAAGTTATCCCAGAACGTGTCGTAGTCATCATTGTCTCGTTCCGCGATATCGCGAAGCATGTCGAACGTCTTGCGGATCAGGCGCTTGCGAATAACGCGAACGACGCGGGATTCTTGAAGAATTTCGCGCGAAACGTTGAGCGGCAAGTCGGAAGAGTCCACGACGCCTCGGACGAAGGTGAGGTATCGCGGTAACAGCGAGTCGTCGAACTCGTCAGAGATGAACACACGTCGAACGAAGAGCTTGATCGCCTTGGACTTAGACATCATGTCTTGCTGCTCGAATGGAGCCATACCCGGGACGAAGAGGATGGAGCGGAACTCGATGTCACCCTCAACGGCAAAGTGGGAGTGGGCGAGTGGATCGAGGAACTCCTTGAACGTGGCCTTGAAGAATTCATTGTAGGATTCTTGATCGACGTCCTTGGGCGAACGCACCCAGATGGGCTTGTCGTTGTTGGCCGTCGTCCACTCTTCCACTTGCTCGAACTCCTTCTTTGTCACCGGCTGCGGCTCGGGCTCGGTGAACTCCTCACCCTTGGCCTCAGCCTCGATCTTCTTCTTCGTCCAAGCCTCCTTGAGGGCATCCGTCGACTGTTGATCGACAACTTCCTTTTCCTTGTTCTTCTGTGCCCAGACGTCGATCGGGAAAGAGATGAACTCGCTGTACGTCTTCACGAGCGACTGCAGCTTGTCCCCAGATGCGAATTCTTCGCACCCCTCCTTGAGATGCAAGACGATCTTCGTGCCCCGAGACATCGCTTCGTCAGCTTCCTTGACGGTGTACGAGCTGCTGTTGATCTCGGATTCCCACATCCACGTCTTATCGTCTCCGGTGGCCGCTTTCGTGAACACCGTGATCTTGTCCGCAACCAAGAAGGCTGAATAAAAACCGACGCCGAATTTGCCGATCAAGTTTTCGCCGTCGCTCTGACTCTTGAGCATCTCCATGAATTTGGCGGTTCCAGAGCGCGCAATCGTACCGAGCGAAGAGACAAGATCATCTCTGCTCATGCCGATACCGCTGTCCTCGATCGTGAGCGTCTTCGACTCCGGATCACCGCGAATCTTAATGCGCAGTTCCTCGCCCGCTTGCATCGCGCTCGAATCGCTCAGGGAGACGAATCGAAGCTTGTCGCACGCATCGCTCGCGTTCGACACGAGCTCGCGGAGGAAAACGTCCTTGTTGCTGTACAGCGAGTTCACGATCAAATCCATTAATCGGTGCACCTGCGTCGCCGCGCGCGCGTCTCTCGTCAGTCGTCTCTCCAAAAGTTTCTAGAAGCGCTTTTCCAAGCCCCGCGTCATCCCTCGAATGCCCACGCATCCGTCGAGCGATCGCCAACCGTCGAGCGCGCGCGCACGAAATCATAACCCACCTCGGCCTGGTACTCAAACGTCTCCGGTTCCGCCACCGCGCGCGCGTTCAGGGCGTACAATCCTCTCGACGGTCGCGCCGCCGCCCGCTCGGCGCGTCTCATCGTCCCCTTCGTTCGCTCGTTCGCCCGCCCGGCGCGCGCGTTCGCGCGCGCGCCCGTCGTCTTCATCCCCGTCTGCATCGTCGCCATCGTTCGCGGTGTCCCCCGCGCGTTCGCGTCTGCGGCGTCGACGCGTCGACGACGCGCGCCGTCGTGCCTCGGCCGAGTGTACGTTCGTGTGGGCGAAACAGTCTGGGCTGTGACGACGCCACGCGCGCCATCGCGCGATCGACGCCCTCGCACGCGCGCGCGCGGCGTCGCTCGCGGCGAGCGATGCTCGACCTCGAGCGGCGATTCCGCGGCGCCCCGTTCGCGCGCGCGCTCGCGTGCGGGGTCGTCGTCGCGACGGTGTACGCGCGAACGCGCGCGCGGGGCGCGACCGCCGCGTCGTGGATCTTCGCCGACCGTGACCTCGCGTCGAAGAGCTCGGCGTCTCGCGTCTCGTGGGTTCTCACGCGCGCTTTGTGCGGTGAGTTGGCGTTCGCGCAGGACGCGTTCGAGCTCGTCGTCGGGATGTCCGCGCTGAGCGGGACGGCGGTGGAGCTCGAGCGGCTGGCGTCGACGAGAAGATTATTGGGAATCGTTCTCGCGGCGTCGATCGCGTCGAGGGTGTGCGCGCGGGCGATCGAAAATGTGTTCGCGGTCGACGCATCCGCGCGCGTGTCGGGGCCGTACGCGCTGGTGTTCGCGTTGGTGTGGATTTGGAGCGTGGAAAAGCCCGCGACGTCGAGCTTCGCCTTCGGCGCGTTCGGCCCGCGGTTCACGATTTATTTCAACGATAAATCAAAAATGGTGCTCATGTCAATGCTTTTGGCGCTCAAGGGAGGGGTTTACGGCGCGTGCGCGGCGATATGCGGCGCGTTCGGAGGGTACACGGTGACTCACGGTATCGGGACGTCTAACGACGCGTTGCTCGTCTTCCCGGATTGGGTGGTCACCGTGTTGCGTGGCGGAGCGAGGAAGCAACCAATCTACAGAATGCGAGCGATGAGGGCAGCGGCGGGCGGTGGCGTTCCGTCGCGCGCGCCGAGCGAGGAGAACATTAGACTTTTAGTCAGCATGGGCTTCGACGCCGCCGTCGCGGCGAGAGCGCTCCGTCAGGCCAACGACGACGTGCCGCGCGCGACGACGATACTTCTCGGCGGATGATGCAAATTCGAGTCGATGACAAATCGGTTAGCTTGTTTCTAGAGATCTATAGCGTTTGTACAACAAATCACTCGTCACCGAGCGATCCTCGGCAAGAGAGACGTCGGCGCGCGCGACTTCGCCTGAGCGACGCCCACCGCGCTCGCGTCGATCGCAGACCCCACCCGAGCGCTCTCGCAGCACGTGCGCTCGACCTCACCACCGCTCGCCGCGAATCCCTCGCTCGCCGCGAATCCTTCGTGCGCGCGCGTCCCGCCCGCCGCCTCCGTGTGCGCGCCTTGTCTCTGTTTATGCTTGGGCGTCTTCGAGCACACCACGAAGAGCCGGCCGCGTCGCTTCACGATCCTGCACGCCTCGCACAGCCTTTTAATCGACGTTCGAACCTAGTCGCGCGCGCCCGAGGTCAGTCATCGCCCGTCGACGTTTCCATCGCTCGCGAGCGATCGCTCGGGGTAGGTTCTCGCGCGCATCCGCGTCTCACCGCGCCGTCGTCGCCGCGTCCGCGCGCGCGTGGTCGCGCCCGTCATTTCGCGTCGTCGTCGCGCGCACCCGCATCGTCGCGCGCGCGCTCGCGTCGCGCGCCCGGCACTGACGCCGCGGCGCGTCCCGACGCCATCGTCCCGCGCGTCCGAGCGCGTCGCGATGTCGCGCGCTCGCGTCGCGCGGTGAGACGCGCGCGATGGGTCGAGAGAATTTTTTTCACGTCGAAAAGCACGCGAACGACGCGTTGCACAACCCACCGAGCGCGGGACGGACGCACACCCATCGAGAGATCGACGCGGCGAGCCGAGCGTTGGGACGACTGGACGACGGTTTTCGAAGGAAACGATCGAGGGCGAGCGATGCGAGCGCGTCGCGAGGTCTCAGGGCGGGAGACGTCGTCGTCGTCGACGGCGCGGTCGTGCGCGTGAACGTGGACGCGCGACCGGCGGAGACGGCGACGCGGGCGACGCGGCGAGAGGAGGTCACGCGCGCGCTCGCATCGACGCGAACGTTCGCGGAGCCGGAGCGATGGAAGACGATGAATCGAATAGAGATGGGAGGTACGGGTGGGGCGACGCAGCTGAGGGAGGCTCGCCGGGCCGCGCTCGGGCTCGATGGGGGACGACGTCGAGAACGCGACGCGGACGACGATGACGGGCCGACGGTAGTTCCAGAGGAAGACTTGCACTTCGTGGACGGATGGGCGATATCAACGGGCGAGGAGACGAGAGGTCGAATCAAAGAGGTGCCAAAAGAAGAACCTCCCGAACCACTCGAGAAGGTGAATGATAAATCGTTGGCGACGATTGGACGCAAGGCGAAGCGCCGAAAGAGAGAGAAGGTGGGCGCCGCGAACGTTGGACGTGGCGCCTTATCGTTCGACGCGGACTATTGATTCCTGTTGTAAATCTAGTGTGTACTTGCACGCGCGTTACAATCACATGACCACGCAGCTCTCCTCTGACGTTGGCTCTTCCGACTTTCTTGGCGACATCGATGTCTGCGTCTCGAGCGTCGACCCGCTCGACGATTGCGACGAATTCCTATAATATGACGGAGCTTTCGCGAGCTCTGGATTCTTCAGCGCCAGCTCCCTCACCGCGCGCTTATCCACCTTCATCGGCTTCGTTTCCTTCGACGGAACCACGACTTCCTCCCTAGCGAGTACTGATGGCTCTGCGATGACTGCGCGCGCTTCTTTCTCCACTTCCAGCGTCTCCTCCGCCTCTTCCTCGTCTACTTCGACGATATCTAATTTTCTACACTTCGCAGCCGCTTCGTCGACGAGCGCATCGATAGCGTCGTTTCCAGACGCTTCGGCGACGTCTCGGGGCGCGTCCTCCAAGCTCGCGGGCGCTGTCTCGTCCTCCGCCGCGTCGAACACCAATCTCGTCGCGCCCACGTCGACGCGCGGCGGCGTCCACTGGTTCTCGAATCTTCTAAACTCACTCACGACCACCGGCGTGTTCGGCATGGATTTCACTCGCCGTCTCGTCTCCGCTCTTTCTCGAGCCGTGCGCACGCGCTCGAACGCCCGCTCCGTGGCGCGCGCGATGGAGTCCAGTTCCTCCTCTTGACGCTCTCGCGAGCTCATCGGGCTCGACATGGCCGATCGCGACATCGCGTCCGTCGCTCCTCACTTGCTCTTTCGCTCGATGGTCGCGTTCGCGCGCTCTAAATCTCTGTCGAGTCGATGCGACAGTATCAACAGCGTCACCGGAACGATGCCGAGCGCCAAGACGACCAAGAGTGGATGGGCGAGGACGATGGACTCGAAACGATCACGCAGAGGTTTCAACGCGTCTTTGGTCGCGTCGTGCAGGAGCTCGAAGTCCATGCGAGACGCGTGAGGCGCTCTGTGCGGCGTCACGAGCTGCTGACATAGTTCGTTTAGCGAAGCCGCCGTCGAGAGCACAAAATTACTACCGAGAGGTGACTCGGCGACGCTTGTAGAAATATTTACAGTCTACTCATTGGTGTCGAAGCTGCCGCGCGCACGGCGGCGACGGGGAGGACCTTGCGTGGGTTCATTATTCCGAGCGGATCGAGCGTCTGCTTCATCGTCGCCATGAGCGCGACGGCTTTCGCATCCTTGCTATAGTGAATTTCCTCCGCCTTCATGAGTCCTAAACCGTGTTCAGCGCTGATGCTGCCGCGTTCATCGCGCACGTACTCGTACACGAAGGGCTCGATCGCGCGCTCGATGGCGTCGTCGTACTCGGCGCACGATATATTCAAATGCAAGTTTCCATCGCCGAGGTGGCCGTATCCCAAAACCTTGACCGATGATCCAAACTTTGGTTCGAAACGCTCGCGCAAAGTCGTAACCAAGTTATACATTCTCGCGGTGGGAAGTGAGACGTCGTACTTGTACACCGCTCCGGCGTACTTGAGGGCAACCGAGATGCGTTCGCGAAGCGTCCAGAGTGCGAACGCGTGTTTCTCGTCTCTTCCCACGACACCGTCAACGACGATACCCCGACGCCTGACGATGCTTAAAAATGACTTCAACTTGGCCGAGTCGTGCTTTGCGACGCTACCGCTCGTCTCGACGACGACGTAAAACGCGCGCGGCTTACCCGGGAGCGGGTCGCGCGTCCCCTTGAGTTGCGCCAGCACCAGTTCCAAACTCTCTCGATCGAAGAACTCGTACGCGCTCAGAACTTCGCCCAAGTTTTCCCTCGCCAATTTTAACATCTCCACGCACTTGGCGAACGATTCCAATCCGAAGAGTGCGACGTGCACGCTCAGCGGCGCGCGCGGCGTGGAAATCGCAACCTTTGTCACCAATCCGAGCGTTCCCTCGGCCCCGATGAATAACTGTTTTAAATCGTACCCGGTGTTGTCCTTCCTGAGTGTGCGCATGAGATCCAGCACCTCGCCGTTCGCCAGGACGACCTCCAAGCCCAAAACGCTCCCTCGCAGACTTCCGTATCGTAGCAGACGCAAGCCGCCCGCGTTGGTGGACACGCACCCGCCCATCTGACACTTCCCTTTCGCCCCTAGATCGAGCGGTACCGTCATCCCACGACTCCGCACCGCGCTCTCTAAGTCTTCCAAAACCACCCCGGCCTCGCACGTCGCGCACCCCGCGTCCTCGTCCACGCTCAGTATCCCGTTCATTCGTTCCATGCACACCACCACCTCTCTCGCCTCCGTCGGCGTCGCGCCGCCCACTAACCCAGTGTTCCCTCCCTGCGGCACGATCGGCGTGCGATATTCCGCGCACAAACGCACGATCGCCCGCACCTCTTCCGTCGTCCTCGGCAGCGTCACGCACAGCGGGCGTCCTCGATACTTATTTTGCCAATCCACCGCGTACTTTTCCATCGCCGCATCCGTCGTGCGCACGCGCGCGTCGTCGCCACCGAGCGCGCGCGCGAGCGCTCGCACGAGCGCGTCGTCCGTCGTCCTCGACGTCGACGCATCGCTCGTCCGAGTCGTCGGTCGCGACATGCAGCGCGCGCGAGTGCGGACGAGGGTCGACGACGCGACGCGAACCGAAGCGTCGCTCGGCATTCGTCATCCGTCGACACGCGTCGCTGGATCGACGCGCGCGCGCGCTCGCGAGCGCGCGCGCGCGGGCATCGCGCGCGGTCGATCGACCGCGCGCGCGTCCCGATCGCCCGCATGGAGCTCGTGGACTTCGAGACGCAGGTTGCGGGAAACCACGCACACGGGTTAACGACGAAACGATCGCCGTGTGGGACGTGGTTCTATAAGCCCGAACTCGCGAGCGACGCGCGAGGGACGAACGAACGCGCGTTTTACGACGCGTACGTCGATCGCGCGTGGGATGGGGGTGCATCCGTGGAGGGCGGCGCGGCGACGCCGCGGAGCGCGCTGGAACGCGCGTTCGTGGACGCGCGCGTGCCGAGGTGCCCGACCGCGGTCACGGGAGCGAACGACGACGCGCTGGACGTCGAGGGATATCTACGGTTGAATAATTTGACCCACGGGTACGAGCGAGCGTGCGTGATCGATCTGAAGATTGGAACGCGCACGTGGGACCCGGCGCACTCGAAGGAGTACGTGGAGAAGCGGAAGGCGTCGGACGAGGGAACGACGCTCGCCACTTTGGGATTCAAGGTGTGCGGGGCGCGATATTTCGATGCGAATGGCGCGCTGGTGAAGATATCGCGAGCCCGGTGTAAGGAGATTCGCTCGAGTGAAGAGTTGACGCGGGAGTTGCTCGAAGACTTTGTGCGCGACCCGGCGAGCGGTGAGGCGAACAACTGGTTCTGGCCAGCGCTGTTGCGACAGCTCCTGAGTGAGCCGCTGCGTTTGCTGAAGCATCGATTGGTGGGAACGTCGCTTCTCGTCGTTTATGAGAGCGGTCGATTAGCGCCTGCCTCGGATAGCGCGGTGTGCGCGCCAGAAGCAAAGTTGGAAGCGCGTTATATTGATTTTTGTCACTCGGTGCTCAAGGAGAGCGTCGACGAAGTGGATGAGAATTTCGAAGCTGGACTGAAACTGTTCCAGCGATTCGTAGAAGAAAATAGATAGAGAGAGAGATGATTCGTTTTTTACTATATGGTATATGTAATGAGAACGCTGGGTGGCGTCACTACAAGTAGTTTCACTAAGAGTCTTCATCACGCAGACATTTGAACGCTTCGGCGACGCGAATGAACATCTTCGTCGCCGCTCGTCGCTCGCTCTCTGACTTGTGTGCGTGTTTGTCGGGATGCCATCGCAGAGCCGCCTTGCGATATGCCTTTGCGAGCTCACTCATCGACGCGTTCGGGGAAACGCCGAGCGTCGTGCGATGTTCGTTACGTGAGCGATTGGATCGACTGTATGCCTCGGCTGCGGCGGCACGCCTAGCTTGATCAGCCTGCGCTCGCCGCTCAAACCTATTACGACTTTCCTGTTGCTCTTGGGTCCAGCGCTCACAAACCTGATGATCAGCTGCAGAACATCCACACATCGAACAGTAGCACATCGTCTCGGGATCATTTGCTTTCGATTCTGGAAATATCAACTTGAATCCCGAGCACTCTTGACACGACTTGCATCCGAGTCGCTCTGCACCTAGCACTGCATCGTTCGTCGTCTCACATATGGTCTCATCCTGATCGAGCGCGCGCTGTACAATCTCGGCAGCGAGCATCACTCGTCGTTTACGATTGCTTTCATGGCTTTGCTTGCGATGTTGGTCCATGCGATCGACTCGCTCCCGCTTACGAAACTCCTTCTCAGTGCAGTGCGTGCTCGCCTCGCATCCGCACCGAGCGCATCGCGCGCCATCGACACCTAGGACAAGCGAGTGATATACATTCGCGTACCCTTCGTCGTTTGAATCATGATTCGGTAGCGGCGACCGTTTCCAACTAGAGAGTTTGACGAATGCGCTGCACGATTTGTCGCACGATTTGCATGGACCGCGCGCGGTGCCTGAATCGTCGATATCCCCCATTTTACCTCTTATCTCTTCAACTGTGAACAAATGAGTCAGAGAGTCCAGCTTCAAACCCGGAGGTCGTGAAACCTTTGGTTCCGATGATTGACGCTTTTGAGCGGTCTCTAGAACGATCTTTTCGATACTGCGCCGTTGGAATTGCTCTGCTTCCCATCTCTCTGCCCATAAATCGACGTCCTCTTTCTCCGTCTCTCCACTGGCAACGCGCTCGAACTCTTCAAAAAATTTAAGCACGTCCGCGACTTGTGCCTCATCTTCTCCCTTATCATCTTCAACGGAAGCGGTTCGCAACAAACGAGCCATTTGCGTCGAAACTTCATCCATGTCGTGTTCGCTTTCGTCACCGTCCGAGCGCGGGGACACGGCGAAAGTCTTATTCGCTGGTGATTGAGGCTCGACGTCAAAAATCTCTCTCTCGAGCGTCTCGTCATGAATACTCTCCTCTTCCGTCTGTGCGCTCACGTCGATGCGCTCCGCGGCTTCTTTCATCGCACAATGCTTTTCAAAAGCGTCGACTTCGATTCGCATGTCGTTTAGAACCCGCTCGAGCCGCGAGAGAAGAGACTTCGCTTCCCCCATCAACTCGTGAGCGTGCGTGCGCCGTGCGACAGTCTCGACGCGCGATGTGCCGTCGTGCGGGACGCGGGCGGGTTCGACCGCCGGCGTTACCGTCGAGCTCGTATCTGTTCCTCTGCCTACATTCGAAGGCGATCTCGTCGTCTTTCGCTTTTGCGCGCGGGAGACGTCGCGTTCCAGACGTACCAAACCGTCGCGCGCCGCCTGAGAATTCGGATCAAGCTTAAGTGCGAGCTCAAATGACCGTTTCGCCAGGTCATGACGTCCCAGCGCCGCCGCCGCGGCACCGACGCGCGTTCTCGCCTTGGCGAAGTTCCCGTCCAGCGTCACCGCGCGCTCGGCGTCGCTCAGCGCCTGCGAGTACTTTGCCATCTTGAGAAAGCACGCCGATCGATTGGAAAAACTCTTCACGTCTCCCGGCGACGCCGCGATCGCGCGCGAGTAGTGACACACCGCCTCTTCGTACGCCTCGCGCTCGTACGCGTCGTTTCCGCGTTCTCTCCAATCCGCGCACTCGTCCACCTCGTGCTCCGTCGACGCGCACCCGCATCTCGAACAATTCGTCAGCGTCAAGTCGCAGTGCGGATGCGCCCGCCCGTTCGCCGCATCCTCCACCCGCATCTCGTACGCCCGCGTGTCCTTGACGTACCCCGCGCACGTCCCGCACCCACCGCATCGGCCTCGCACGCGTCCGAACAGATCCCTATTCGTCTCCACGCCAATCTCCAGGTGCGCCTCCGCCCGCGGTCGTCCCGTCGTCCGCATCCCGCCCTCGACCGATCGTCCTCCGCACGTTCACCGTCCCGTTTCCGATCACTCGCGCGTCGACGCGTCGAGCGCGTCGGCGCGTCGCGCGCCCACCCGTCGTGGTCCCACGCGAGCGTTTTAAAAAAAACGCCAAAAAAAAAAAACAATCCCTCGACGTCGCGCACCACGTCATCATTCCATCGATTCGATCGATTCGATTCCGTCCCGTCCCCGTGGCGCTGCTCCCGCGCCACAGGGCGACGGTCGACCGCGGCGCGTCGAACATGTCGCTCGCGCGCGCGTGGGCGCCGGGCGCGGTGCGCGGGCGCGGATCGAGCGCGCGCGACGCGCGTCGGTCGACGGGACGATCGACGCGCGCGGTGACGCGCCGTGCGCTTTGGAGGGCGGACGACGAGCGTGCGAGCGCGGACGCGGGACGGATCGCGGTTGGATGCGCGTTGGCGCTCGCGATGACGACCGCGACGGCGGCGAACGCGATATCGCTCCCGGAGGAGAGAGAGGTGAAGGTGCTGTGCGACGAGGCGTGCGAAACCGAGCTCGCGACGACGCCGATGGAGACGCTGCCGAGCGGGTTGCAGTTCAAGGAGATTAAGACGGGGGATGGGGAAACCGTGCCGGTGGGGTTTCAAGTCGTGGTGGATTACATCGCGATGGATGAAAAGGGGAGAATCTTCGACAACAGTCTCGACAAGGGGAAGCCGAACGACATCCGAGTCGTCGACTGCGTCGGATCGAAAGATTTCAGTTCGTGCACCGTCATCCCGGGTCTCGACCAAGGGTTGCTCTCGATGAAGTCGGGCGGAATTCGTCGCTTGTATATTCCGGGTGAGCTCTCGTTCCCGAAGGGGTTGGCGAGCGCGCCGGGACGACCGAAGGTGCCGCCGTTCTCGCCCGTCGTCTTTGACGTCGCGCTTCGATATATCCCGGGTTTCGATTAATAACACGCGTCAATATTATTCAACAAAAGAAACGTCATGTCAAATCAATAGTCGTCCCCGCGCGTGAGCACCTCGACTCCGCTGCTCGGTTTCAACAAAATCGTGTGCTCGTACTGCGCCACGTACGATCCCTTGATGTCGCACAGCGGCGGATACGGTTGGATGATGCCGTTATCGCACAAGTTCTTGAGCGCCATGCCGTATCGCTCTTGGCCGATTCGGTCGAGGTAGCGCTTACAGAAGGCCAAAGTCCCGAAGTTTCGATCGATGACACCGAGAAGTCTTTTCGCCGTCGGAAGACGAAGCGGTACGTGCCCGACGTCGTAGTTCTTCATGTAGTGACTGCATTCGCCATCCTCGATGACGTATCTGTGATGAAAAGAAATAAAGTGGGTGCGGTCAGTACGCGTAGGTCAACGTATCGCACGAGTGAAAATGTCAAGACCAATGGAGGCTGCGTGAACACTGGGAAGTCTCGCGAGGCGAGGTTCGACGCAGTACTATGATATCTTGTGGTTTTTTGTGCGACCTCGGTGATGGGCCGGCCCGAAAAAACTTCAGGCACTAAGAAGACCACTGTGTTTGTCACGAATGACGGTCTTCGCCGCGTAAGAATCACTGAGATCGAAGGTGACGAGTGGAAAAAAACGAAACGCGTCTATCGCTCGTAAACGCACCCTCTTCCGGTGGAGCCAAACGTTTCGATGGCGTAGTACTCTCCCTCTTCCATCTTGGTCTGCACGCCTCCTCGAACGATGGGCACGCTTTTCCCCGCGTGAATCCTATACGGATCAATGGAGTGCCCGTTCAAGTTGCTGCAGCACTTCACTTGGTACTCCTTGCCGTGAATCTCAACCGTGTGCGACTCCATGACTTCTTGGATAGCCTCGCCGATATCGCATAAACGCACGTCGATCCCTGCCGACTTGATGCCAGTCTCCGTCGCCTCATTCACAGCCTTGAGAAGCGGATCGTACATGTCGTTGAACGTCTTCGTGAACGCGCAATCGATGATACGTCCCTTGACTTGAACCCCGAAATCAAACTTTATTACGTCGTCTTTATCGATGACGCTCTCGCTCCCTCCGTTCGGGGTCCAGTGCGCGGCGACGTGATTCTTCGAGCATCCGGTCGGAAACGCAACCCCAGCCTCGAGTCCGCGCTCTTCGATGAGTTTACGAACGCTATCCTCCAGCGTCTCGCACACGTCGATGTACTTCATCCCGGGCTTCACCCACTCGGAGATGTATCGTCTCACCTGTCTGTGTACCTCCGCGCACTGTCTCGCCTCGTTGTACGAATTCTCCTCGATCCGCTCGATCTCTCGCTTCTCCGCGTCCGTTTCTCTCCACAAGTTGTGTTCGTGATGCGGTAAGATTTCACCAACCGGATACGTCCCGCTCGGGTAAAGCTCGCGCGCCGGGACGCTCGGAGGCGCCGTCTGCTTACCACCCGGATACTGCACCGAGGTCGACTTCACCCCGCCACCGGCGCCCGACTTCTTCTTCTTCTTCTTCTTCTTCTTCTTCTTCGCCCCGGCGTCCGCGTTCGTCTGTTCGTCGTCGTCGTCGTCGCCGTCGTCGTTTTCGCCGCCGTCCGCATCTCTACTCTCGCGCGCCTCGTCGTCCTCGATCGCGATCGATCGAACCGCGCTCGAGACGGCGTCGACATCGACGGTATCGTCGCGCGACGCGGCGAGCATCTCGAGCGCGCGCGCGCGGGACACCGAGGGATCCGCCCGCGAGTGCGGATGAACGCGCGCGCGCGCGGGACGACGCGGCGCGACGGCTCAACCTCGGCGTGCGCTCGGTGACTCGGTACAAAATCGCATCATTTACACAAAATATACACGCGATACATTTGGGCGACGCGTTCGCGCGCGTCGCGACGCGTCTCGACGAAAGACGTCTCGCCGGGACTACGACCGCGCGGCGTCCTCGCCCGCGTCGTCGTCGTCCGGCGTCGTCGTCTCCGTCGCCGCCGCCGACCCTCCTTCCGGGGTAAATTTCAATCGGAACATCGCCTCGAGGCTCTCTCGCTTGTACATCAGCGCGTCGCGCTCCTTATCGATGTCCCACGCGTCGCTCTGGTGCATGTCTCGTGTCCACCGCTTATTCTCTTCGATGCGTCGACGTTCGTCTTCGTCTCTCGGTTCATCCTTCCCCGCCCGCGCGATCGTCCGCGCGCGCGTCGAGCGCGTCGTCTGCCGACGCGCGCGGGCGGTCGCGCGCGCGGCGTCGCGCGCCGACGCGTTGACCGCGCCGAATGTCATTTTTTTTTAAATTTGCGGTGCGCGCGGGGGTGTGACGCCGCGTCGTCACTTCGCGTCCGCCATGCACCGCTCCCGACGACGCGCGAGCGAGCGAGAGGCGCGAAAACGCCCGGGGGCGTCGCGGCGCGCGAACGCGGACGACGGCGTCGTGGACGTGGTGGCGGACGCGTCCACGTCGAGTGGGTCGGAGGACGCCGGTGGCGACGACGCCGTGGTGTCCGCGCGCGTGATCGAGCGCGCGCGACGCGAGGGGGCGGTGACGAAGGAGGGGAAGACGCCGCCCAGGCGTACGTCGAAGAAAGCGTCGGCGGCGGCGAGCGAGGGGTCGTTTTTGTCGAAGATTTCATGGGCGCACATATTCTTCTTGGCGCTCTTCACGCTGCCGACGGCGTTCATGGTCGTCGATTACTTGTTCGGGATCACGCCGCCGGACGGGCAGGCGTACGGGACGCTCACGCCCGAGGGGAAGTTTTATCGCGAGAAGATCAACGCGTTTTATTCGGAGTATAACCCGGAGAAATTAAAATCGGTGGACGGTTTATTGATGAAACATCGCGGCAAGGAGAGAGCGTTGTACAACACCATTCGGAGGAAGTACAAAATGGCGGGTGCGAAGCGCGTGGATCAGCGATACGATGAGGATTAGATGAATTAATTCGTGGATTGTAAATCTAAGGGTCTAGTGGTCGTGGTCGTGGTCGTGATGTCCCTCCAGTCGCGAGAGGAGAAATTTCGTGTTCGAAAAGTCCTGTAAAAGCGGATTGTAACCGCTCCCAGTCTTCGTCGCGCCGACGTCGGCGTACTCGGACATGAACTGCTTCGTCGTCATGATGGTACTCAATCGAGCGTTCGAGCGTTCAGCGTTCCCGCTCGATGTCATGAAGTCGATTGAACGTAGCGTGTCAAAACACGTCGGGAAGAAGACATCCGCCGATCTGGCGAGTGAATCGGGCAATAAATACGAGTCAAGATCGTCCGTTCGACCCCCCTCTAGCTGTCTCGCGACAAGCGGCGCGTTCACTCCCTCTATGCGCACGCTTGGAAGGGTGTCGAAGTCAGCGGCGATGAGACGATGGTTTGGCCGCTTCGCATGAAGCGTCTCAAAGAGTTTCATCGCGCCCGTGGGAACGAACCAGGTCTCGTCGCCTCGAGTCGCGACAGCGCCCAGAGCGCGTTTGATCGAATGCATGATCCCACGAGGTCTGTATGCGCCACCGTCACCGTCCACGGCTAAGTCTGCTGTCATGTCGACCGCCTGAAGCGTCCTCTTGATCAAATCATCCTTGAGGGGCGCGTCGCGCTGCGTGAGCTCTCCCGTGGAGGGATCTCTCACGATTTCCGTCTGCGTCCACTCCCCCTCGCCGCGCTTCGGCCGCCACACCCTGTCGTGCGGGAGGTTATCTAGGACCTCAAGTGCGATGATGAAGCACGCTTCACCGTTCGATGGCCCCCACGTGGTCGGGTCCGTCGCGTCGCCAATCTTCGTCTGATGTCTCCCCTTCCCGTGACCGGCGACGCGTACCCGGGCGCTCTGCGCCTCGTTCAATCTCGCACTGATATCGATCGAGGTGTAGACGATCCTCTTATACACCTCTGGAGCCTCTCGCTTGACGGCGTCTAAAAATCCGCTCGCAAACGTCCCCGAACCGCCGCCGATCTCGTACACCCTCAACTCCTCGAGCTTTCCATCGTCCGTTTCGTCCCCTCGGTGTTCATCCAACACGTACTTTGCCAAAGCATCGGCGTAGTGCGGAGCGAATATCTCTCCCGGGGTCAACCACTGCGCCCCGAGTTTGGCGTATCGACGGTTGAGCTCGGCGAAGTAGTCATCTTGTCCTCTCAAAGTCTTAAAATCAATCGCGCCCTCCTCCATCGTCCCCACGGGCGTCGTTCTCGAGCTCTCGTTCGTGAAGTACCCCGTGCGCGGTGCGTACAGGGCATCGTGGAGGTGTTCGCGAAGGAGTCTCGGTGTCGATGACGTCGTCGTCGTCTCTCGACGCACGCGCGCGTCGGACGCCGTCGTCGACGATGCGCGCGCCGAACGCGTCGCCGGAACGAACGACGAAGACACCGTGGCGAAGGGCGAACACGACGCCGCGGCGTGCGTCGCGACGCGAGCGGCGAGGTGGGTACGACGCATCGTGAGGCGCCGTGTGGGGAGGCGCGCGTAAAAATGTGAAGAAAGGCTTGCAGCGATTAAAGTTTCGATCGACGAAACTCCATCTTCGCTATGGTTTCTAAGTGCACCTCGTCCGGGCCGTCGGCCAGTCGAAGCGTGCGCGCGCCGGCGTAGAGGCGAGCGAGCGGCGTGTCTTGGCTCACGCCGCCGCCGCCGTGAATTTGGATGGCGGTGTCGATAACGGCGAGCGCCGCAGCTGGCGCGGCAACCTTGCACGCGGCGACGGCGCCTCTTGCGACTTTGATGCCGTCAACATCGAGCGAGTGCGCCGCCTGAAGCGTGAGCAGGCGAGCGCCGTCGAGCGTCACTCGCGATTGGCCGAGTCGCTGGAGGACGTTGCCGTTTCGAGCGAGAGGGGCTCCGAAAGCCACGCGCGATTTCGCCCTGTCGCTCGCGAGCTCCAACGCGCGTTCGCCCATACCTATCAATCGCATGCAGTGATGTAAACGTCCTGGACCGAGTCGTCCCTGCGCGATCTCGAATCCTCGGCCCTCACCGAGAAGGATGCTCTCCGCCGCATTGACTCGCACGTCGGTGAAAGTCACCTCAGCGTGCCCGTGCGGGGCATCATCATAACCGAAAACCGTCAACGGGCGGACGACAGTTACACCTCGTGCGTTCATAGGACATAAAACCATGCTCTGTTGCTTGTGCTTCGCCACACCAGAGTCATCTCGTGCGGTTTTACCCATGAAGATGATAACTTTGCACCTCGGATCGCACGCGCCCGAGGTCCACCATTTTCGTCCATTCAACAAATAATCATCCCCATCGCGCACGATGGCGCTTTCGATGTTCGTCGCATCCGAGCTGGCCACCGCAGGTTCGGTCATCGCGAAGCACGATCTGATCTCTCCCGTGAGTAACGGTCGCAACCATCTCTCCTGCTGCGCCGCTGTTCCGTAACGAAGCAGAACCTCCATGTTGCCAGTATCCGGCGCCGAGCAGTTGAAGGCCTCGCTGGCCCACACGCTGCGACCCATGACTTCGGCAAGATGGGCGTACTCGAGATTCGTCAATCCAGGACCAGCGAATAAGGCTGGATCTTCTCCGGAGTGAGGTCTAATTTTCAACAGCGCGGCGCTGTCTAGTGGAAGCCACAGGTTCCACAAACCTGCGCGCTTAGCAGAATCCTTCAACGATTCGACGATTGGCGAAACACTCCATCGATGCGACGTAATCGCATGCGCTTCTAAACCTTCCTCAGCCTTGTAGATGTGCGCGTGCATGAAATGCTTGAGCTTGTTCAAGAGCACCGCCGCTTTCGAGCTCGGCTCGAATCCAATCGTTCCGATGATACTCGAACGATCGACCCGGACGAGTTCGCTCACGCCTCGCGGAACAGACACCCCCTTCACCACAACGAGCGCACGTTTGGCAAACACGTCCACGAGTTTACCCATGTCGTGCGCGTTGGCGCTGGAAGCGTTGCCTTGCATCGCTCGCGCTCTCACTCCGGCGAGAATTGCGGCGCCACGAAACAGCGACAGAGCGATGTAAAACGGCCATGTCGCGGAATCACGTGATCTAAGGGGATCCGGTAGACCGCTCGCGCGAGCCCACATGTCGACGTAGTCTCTCTCATTCGGTATCCCATCCGGCAAGGCCTCGGGATTGAGCGTCGGATATAGCTCGATTCCCGCCGGCAAATAATAAGGCAAACAATTGAACGCAACGTCCGCGTACGGCGCGCCGATCGTACTCAACTCCCAATCTAACACGGCCAGAACCTTGACGTTCGCGTCATCCGAGCCTCGAGCCCGCGAAAGGACCAAATTATCAAGTCGGAAATCGCCGTGCACCAAGCGCGCAGAAATCTCACTCTTTGGCACGTTCGCTCTTAACCAAGCGATGAGATCGATCACCGATCGCTCTGGCTCCACCCCCACTCCCGGTCCAACGCTAGCCTCGTACTGCTTTGCCCATCGCTCGAGCTGCCGCTCGCTGTACCGCTCGGCTCTGCCAAAATTTTCCAACCCGACGTCTCCGGGCTTCACCGAGTGCAAAGCCCCCAAGGTCTGCGCCATCGCTCGATACGTCGCTCCGCGTCGACCCGCCCCGCACTTTTCCATTCCAGGTCGAAGATGAATCTCTCCGTCGACGTGCGACATGATATAAAACGCCTCGCCCAGAACGCCCGCGTCCTCGCACAGCGCCAACGCGCGCGGCACCGGCACGTTCGTCCTCTGCAACGCCGCGATCACGGCGTATTCGCGCTCGACCGCGTGCGCAGACTTTAACAGCGTCCCCGGCGGTTTCTTGCGGAGTACGTACGTCGCGCACGGAACCTTTCGCGCGTTGAGAGCGACGACCTTGTACGTCGGGTTGCTCTGCCCGTGACCAAACTGTTCGACATCGATCGAGACGCACTCGCGAGGAAAGTCGCGCACGCTCGATCGACAGAAGCGCAACAACGCATGTTCGTCGACCGGTTGACGACACGCACCCATGATGGGCGAAGACGAAACGCGCGCGAGCGTGTGGGGGGTGAGGAGACGACGCGAGAGAGGTTCTGGCTCGCGTGGAGAAAGCGTCTCGATGTTTGTGGTGTTTTCTTGGATTCTTGGATGACAAAGATTAGTCTTCTTCTTCTTGGAGGAGCAGGTAGTACATCAAACCGCAGGCGACGACGAAGACGACGGGGGCGGCGCCGGCTCCGTATTCTTGTCTCTTCACGTTACGGAAAGAGTTGCGATCGAGCGCGCCCGAATACTTCTCAACAGGCTTGGGCTTCGACGCGGGCTTGGGCTTCGACGCATACGCGGCCTTCTTCTCCGTTGTGGGTTTCTTCGTCGCGGCCGACCGCTCCGGCGCCTTAAACTTCTTCTTCGTCGACGGCGCGTTGCGGTTACGGAAAGCCTCAGCCTCGGCGAGCTTTTCCTCCGTCGATTTCATTCTCAGCGCCTCGTTGCGCGCGCGCTGCGCATCGCGTGCCTCTCGCTTAGCCCTAGTCTCTTCTTCTGCCTGCTTCGCTCTCTGCTTGAAAAGTTCACTCTGCGCCGCCCGACGAGCGTCGACCTTGGCTTGCGCGATGGCGTCTCGCTCGGCAATCTTCGCCAGCCTCGCCGCCTCCTTCTCGGCGCTCACGAGCGCGCTCTTGGCCTTGACCTCTTCAAGTCTCCGCGCATTCTCCGCTTGTTTCTCCGCAGCTCTGACACTCGCCGCGCTCGGCGCCTTGGGCGTGACAGTTTTCTTCGCCGCGCCGCTTCCGCCGCCGCTCGTCACGAGCTTTTGCCACTGCCACGTTTCGTATTCCTTGTTATCCTTATCGTCCTTCAACGGTTGCTCGACGAACTCCTTCGAGTCCGCCACCGCTCGCGCATACATCGACTCCACGTCCAACGTCTTCGCGTACATCGACTCGACGTCCATGCCGACTTTACCCTCCATCGTCTCCGCGACTTTCGACGCGTCGGCGACAACCGCCGCGCTCGCGCGCGCCTCCTTCGCCGCGCTGTCCAACGCGTCGTCCGCGCTCGCGCTCATCGCGGGCGTCATCGCGAGCATCGACGCCAGGACCACAGAAACAACCTTTTGCCCGATCGTTCGCGCGTCCACGCCGTCGACGCTCTCGTCCGCGCCGTCCTCCACCGCGCCTCGAGCGATCGCGATCGATCGATGACGATTCTTTGAAGAATGCGCGTGCGCGCGCGAACGCCGTCCCGCGGTCTCCCGTCGTCGCGTCGGCGTCACCACCGCCCGCGCGCGCGCGCACGACGACATCACCATCGCGCGTCCGCGCGCTCGTCACCGCGTCGCCCTGTGTCGCCCGTCGCGCGTCGTCGTCTTCGACTCGATGCGTTGAACAACATTCGCCGAGATATCTTTCATCCATCGACCCATCGCTCGACCGCGGTCCCGTTACCCGTCGTCTCCGCGCGCGCGCGCGCGGTCATCGCGCGCGCGCGGCGATTCTTCACGCGACGCATCGCGCGCGTCGCCTCGTCCTCGCTCGCGCCGTCGTCGCGCGTCGCCATCGTCGTCGTCGCGCGTCGCGTCGTCGCGACGTACGCGATGTTCGCCACGGCGACGACGACGATGGCGACGAGGGCGGGCCCGCGACCGCGCGGCTTCCCGGCGAGGCGCTCGACGATGGCGCGAAGGAGCATGCGCGCGGAGACGACGGCGCGGACGGACGCGCGCGCGGGGACCCGCAGAGTGCGGTGCGCGCGTCGGCGGCGAACGGGACGACGATGCGGGCGAGCGCGCGCGCGGAACGACGAACTCGACGGACGCGGGCGATCGTCGGTGCGATCGTCGTCGTCCTCGCGCTCGGCGTCGGCGTCGGTGCGGTGTGGACGGGGGCGGGAGATGATTCGGGCGGCGACGCCAACCGACGCTCGAGATTGTCGTTCGAAGCGGACGCGGATGAGACGGACGACGCGAACGACGGGCGCGATGGATGGAAAGGGGGACGACGTCGATGGATGCGCGATTCGTGGCGACGGTGGGCGCTGAGCGTGTGCGTGCCGATCGCGTCGCAGGTGAGGGACGCGCGGAGACGATTGCGCGCGCTCGCGCTCGGCCGAGGCGACGAGGACAGAGTGGACGGATTCGCCGATCCCTCGCTGCCGATATTCGTCGTCGGCGCGACGACGTTGCTTTCGTTGGAGAAACGGTTAGAAAAAGAGCTCTGGGCGTGGTTCGTGGACTCGCTCGGAGTGTCCAAGACGTCTCCGGGACGGGCGCACCTGGAGAGCGTCTTGGCGAGCGACGAGACGACGCGTTCGCTCGATCAGACGTACGATGAGCTGCTCAAGAGGTTTCCGCGAGACGTCGTGGATGACTCGGAGACATCAGAGCCGTCGACGAGCGGGTTGAACGCCGAGGGATTGATAGCGTTTAGCGACGGCATTCGAGGCTCGATTTGGCCCGTCATGGAACGAAGCCGAGCAGTGAAAATCCAACCCGCGAGCGAGGCCGAGCACACCTTCTTGCTCGACCACTTCGACTTACTGTTTCCTCGCACGGATCCTCTCGATCGAGAGGCGTTCCACGCTCTGGCCAAGCTCATTCTCGTCAGACGAATCATTAAGGCTCTCGTGAAGGACTTCGGCGGTCTCGGCGCGATACGTCAAGGTCTCTCCACCGCGCTCGTAGTCGACGTTCGGGTCATCATCGACGACGGCGTCGTCTTCCGAGTGCACACTGTCGCGCCCAAATCCGACGCAGTCGAACACACAGGTCGTCGATTAAGCATAATCGCCGAGGCGGAGTAACAGCTCGCCTCTTTCTAGCTTGTGAATTCAACGCCCCCGCGTCCGCACTTCGTAGCGCCCTTCGGGGCGGGCGCGTGACGTCGTCTTCGCACATCGACACGAGACACCCCCAGATCTCGCGTTCACTCGCGTCGTCGTCGACGTGTCGTCCGCGGCGCGTCGTCGGCGACGGCGTTGATTTGGGTCGATTAATCAAATACCGGTGTTGAGTGATTCGTATTACGCGTCAACGCTCGCTTGTTATGGCGCGCTCAAGCCCCACGACCGCTCGACGTCGGTCCATGGGTGGTTTTAATCGTCGTCAGCCGACCAACGTCGCCGTGCTGACGCTGGCGAACCTCGGTTTGCTGAGTTTCTTCCTCGGCGGCGTGGAATGGGTGTTCAACGGGTGGGACAAGACGGCCTTCTTTTGCGTCGCAGGATACGTTTTTTGTGGATTAGCTCTGGCGGTGCCATCTATGACGTTTGCGAAGACCGACGGCAGTGGGGAAGCGAGCGACGACCAGGAGACGTTCAATATGGACAACGAGCGGAGACATTGGAGGGTGTTCGCGGCGATATTAAACGTCGTCGGATTAGTGCTGGGTATTCTCGGTTCCTTGTTGTACTCGCCTGGTTTCGACACTTGGGCGACATCAGGAGAACTCAAGCCGTACGTGAGAGAGGAGGATTTCGAGATGCTCACCGATCAGGCAAACGTCATTTGGGCGCTATCTTTCGTAGTGTTTCCGATCGGTTCGGGCTTGTTCTTGCTCGATAGGAAGAAGACGCTAGAGGCCAAGGCGACGGCGAGGGGCGTGAAACCGCCGGGTTACTTCTCTCCGCATCTCTATTTATACACGTGGATCGAGATCGCTCTCGTGATAATTGCTGTGGGTGGGTTGTTGTTTTGCTTTGACGAGAATCGGACGCTCCTCGTCACATCGCTCGTCTTGTTCCTCATCGGCGGCTCAATCAAGGCTGGGCTGATGTTTCACGAGTTGAAGAACTTCGTTGGCAATTCGTGTGAGGGAGTAGTCGACGCGGACGATGAGACAACTCCGTTGCTCTCCGATTCTTCGGGCTCGGTCTCGACGTCTTCTCTCTTGGGAGACCCGGAGGCGTAGTAGTCGTAGTATCCACAAAACGTTGTAGCATAGCGCTAAATGATGAACGGTCGACTATTCTTCGTGCGCGCCGTGAGCACCTCGACGCCGTCGGAGGTGATGAGCAGGGTGTGCTCGTATTGCGCGCTGCGAGCACCATTCGTCGTCACCGCGGTCCATCCATCCGGCCAGTGAACAACTTTGTGCGATGATGACTCGTTGAACATCGGTTCAATGGTGAACGTCATTCCCTCTTTCATGACTCCAATAGCTTTATTTCGAGCGTAGTGCGGCACGTTCGGAGCGCAATGAAATAACTCGCCGATACCGTGTCCACAAAAGTCCTTGACGCTCGCGTAGCCCCCTCGATCCGCTTCCCGAGCGATGATCTCGCCCAAGTCCCTGAAACGTCTTCCCGGTCGACAATATGCGATAGCCTTCTCCAGCGCGCCTCGCGTGCAGTCCATCAGAGCTTGTGCCGATTTCGACCTCGCTCCACCCTTACCGACGTAGTACGTCTCGTTGAGATCGCCGTGGTACCCGTTCAGACGAACGGTGACGTCCAAGTTTATGATGTCTCCCTCCTCGAGCGGTCTCGCGTCCGGTATCCCATGACACACGACTTCGTTCACCGATGTACACAGAGACTTTGGAAATCCCATGTAATTCAACGGTGACGGATACGCCCCGTTTCCCACCGTTACGGCGTGACATATTCTATCGAGTTCGTCCGTCGTCACGCCGGGCTCGATCGCCCACGCGACGGTATCCATCACGTGTCTTGCTAACGAGCACGCCGCGCGCATGCCGTCGCGAGCCGAGTGCGGTTTGACCTCGATGACGCTTTGATACCTCGACCCAAACTCCTCGTCCGGCCAGCCCGAGACGGCGTAATCTGGCGGTTGAAGTCCGCTCGGGTACGATCGCTTGGCCGTCGTCTCTCGCGGTCGCAGTTTCCCGGTCCACGCAAACTTTGGCATCTCCCTCGATCTCGAGCTTCGTCTCGCCCCCGGATTTTGAACGTGAAACGCGCGCTCGTCGCCTCCCTTCGCGGCGTCCCACCACTCGAGCGTATTCCGAATTTCATCCAAAGTTCTCCATCGTCCGCTCGTCGTCGCGACCGCGCGCGCGGCAGCCTCTCGCGAAGCCGCTCCCTCGCTCACCCCAGCCGTCGCCTCGATCACCGTCTCCCTCGTCGCTTCCACGTCCGACCCCCACGATTCATCGCTTCCTTCGCCCACGCGTAATCCCTCGTCGTCGCTCGACGCGGCTTCGTCGTCGTCGTCGTCGTCGCTCGACGCCGCGGCGAACGACGCGAGCACGCGTCCCGACACCTCCACCACCCCACCCTCGACCGAGAACCGCGCGTCACCGCTCGCGATTCGCGCGTAGACGCACGTTGATTCCGTCTCGCCCGGCGTGAGCGTCGCGACGACCATCGATTCGCCGTGCTCGTATCGAACGCGAAGACGAACTCGTGCGCTTCCGGCGGCGGCGGCGAGCAAGACGACGGACGTGATCTCGAGCTCAGCCTCTCCCACGCTCGACCGCGCGTGGTGGAAGTACCTCGGGGCGCCGGGCTCCAAGGTCCACGTGAAATTCATCGAAAATTCGGCGCGACGCGCGGTGTGGCGGACGCGTTCGGGACGCGTTCGGGACGCGCCGCCTTCGCCGCCGCGCGATTCGCTCTCGTCGTTCATCTCGATCACGCTACGTCTTCCTATATCATTACACACCGCGATGCGCGCGCTCACGCCTCCTTACTCGCCTCCACGCCGACGTCGAGATCGTTCGCGTACTGCCATCGCGCCCATCGCTGGAGGTTGTACGCCTGCACGTGCGCGTTCGCCGTGTGACACGCCAACAAAATGTAATTCCTCGGCGCCACGCGCCACGCGAACCGCATGAACAACCCGGAGTAGACCACGAGCGCCCCCGTCATGGGTCCACTGATCTTATCCTCCGCCTTTTTCGTGTCCGCCAATCCCTGCGTCCGCGTCGTCCGCGTCAGTCGCCCGTCCGCCGTCGCCCGTCCGCCGTCGCGTCCCCCCCCGCGCGTCACCCACCCCTCCCGCGCGTCCACCCCCGCGCCGCGTCCGCGTCGCACCACCACCGTCGTCGTCGTCGGCCCATCGCCATCGCGCGCCCCCCCATCGCGTCGTCCCGTCGTCGCGTCATCGCGCGCACCGCGAGGACGAAGCCCCAGTTCGCCACCGGCCCCCAAAAGTGCGTCGTCCGCGGTCCCGTGGGCGAGTTCACGAACGCGCGCACCGCGGACGCCATCGCGCGCGTCGGCGTCGGCGTCGGCGGCGTCCGCGGCGGCGTCCGCGCGACGCGATCGGTCGTCCGACGCCGACGCGCGCGACGACGCGGGCGTCTCGACGCGCGGTCATCGCGAGCGAGACACATCGCGTCTTTCGCGCTTCTGTATGTATGGAGGACACCGTGCCCAGGGTTTACGCCACGTGTGTCTTTTGTGCGTGTGTTTTCGTTTTTTGTTTGTTCGTGTGTGTCTTTTGTGCGTGTGTTTTCGTTTTTTTTTTGTGTGTTCGTGTGTCTTTTGTGCGTGTGTTTTCGTTTTTTTTTGTTCGTTCGTGTGTCTTTTGTGCGTGTGTTTTCGTCTTTTTGTTTGTTCGTGTGTCTTTTGTGCGTGTGTTTTCGTTTCTTTTTGTTCGTGTGTCTTTTGTGCGTGTGTTTTCGTCTTTTTGTTTGTTCGTGTGTCTTTTGTGCGTGTGTTTTCGTCTTTTTGTTTGTTCGTGTGTCTTTTGTGCGTGTGTTTTCGTCTTTTTGTTTGTTCGTGTGTCTTTTGTGCGTGTGTTTTCGTCTTTTTGTTTGTTCGTGTGTCTTTTGTGCGTGTGTTTTCGTTTTTTTTTGTTCGTTCGTGTGTCTTTTGTGCGTGTGTTTTCGTCTTTTTGTTTGTTCGTGTGTCTTTTGTGCGTGTGTTTTCGTTTCTTTTTGTTCGTGTGTCTTTTGTGCGTGTGTTTTCGTCTTTTTGTTTGTTCGTGTGTGTCTTTTGCGAGTTCATCGACGACGACGTCGGCATCGACGCGCGCGCGGACGACGCGGGATGACGCGCGGGTGCGCGCGCGCGGGCGGGGCGCGCGCGATGGCGTGGAGCCCGTCGTGGGATCTCGCGCGGTGCGCCGGACGCGGGGTGGCGATCGAGGTGCGACCGCGTGACGACGACGCAACGCGATGACGACGCACGCGACCGACGCCGACTGACGACGGGCGTGGGCGCGCGCAGGGCGCGTTCGGGACGGACGATCGCGAGACGACGTCCGGGGAGTGCGCGATCGCGCGCGAGGGATCGGGAGTGGCGGTGACGGCGGCGCGAGGGGGGTGGCGAGGGGAGAAACGGGCGAGACGGTTGGACGCGGGGACGGCGGCGACGGATCGGGGGGGGCGGGAGTCCAGCGAGCGCGACGGTGGACGGATGGGGGACGCGTGCGCGGTGGAGTGGTCGGCGATCGGGGCGTGTGGGTCGGGCGAGCGGTGCGCGCTCGCGGTGTGCGGGACGGATGGGACGTGCGCGGCGTTCGCGCCGCCGGCGACGGCGGGCTCGAGCGAGTGGCGGCTCGTGGCGGATCTGAGCGAGGTGTGGCGACGGACGTGCGAGAGCGAAGGGTACGCGTACGCGGTACATGACGTGGACGTCGGAACGAGCTCGATGGCGGCGGCGAGTAGATGGTTCGAACGGTTTGATTACGTCGAGCGCGAGACAAACGCGCGCGAGCGCTCCGAACGGGTAAAAGACGAGCGTGACGCCGAGGCGCCGAAACCGATGCCGGCGACGAGTTTGGACAATTCTACCATCGACAACGGACGCGAGGTGTACGTGTACGGCGCCCTGCGCGACGGCGCGCGCGTCGAGGTCTCGAGCGGACAGGAGACGACGCCCACGTTTTGGCGACAAGGCACCGTGATTTCGGCAAACTTTAACGCCGCACCGCGCGTGCGCGTCGAGTACGACGACCAAACCACTCCTGGCGAGTTTCTCGTGTGGAGTCCCGGCGACTTTGACGGCGTACACGGCGATGAAGTCCGGATGATTCCGTCTCAAGAGTGCGTGGCGATTCGTCGTGTTCGTCCTCAGAGAGCGCTGTGCCGCGTACGTCCTGTTCCTCCTGACGGATCGTTCTCACTGAAGAGCGTGCGAGAAGGAGAAATCATAGAGGTGTGCCAGGGAGCTCCGGCGACGTGGCGACTTGCGAGAGTAGTTTCGATGGACGGTCAGAAGAGCGCGCGCGTCAAGTGCAGCGAACGCGGCGAAGAATTAGTTGTCGGTGCGCATGCGTGTCGAACTCGCTCGCAATGGCTCGGCTCGGCGCGTGGATGGGTGCAATCGAGTGACAACGCGCGCATACCTACGTGCGAAGAAGACGCCGAGGCAGCTCTGCGAGAAAATCTCGACGAAGAGATGCGCGACGCCACAGTTCCCGCAGCTTCGCGATCCGCCAATCAAGGAGAGGGTAAACAGTCAGTATTGACGACGAATGCTCCAACGGGTCGGACATCGACCATCGTTCGAGATTCATCCTCGCCGTTTGCGCTGCCCGGAAATTTCACGACGAAGACGTACGACGATGATCCGATGCGCAGAGCCGAGTTGTTACAAATCGTCTCTTGCGCGTGGGCGCAAGTGCCGTACGACTCGAGTAAGACCAGCGATCCTCCGGCGAACATTCTGGCGTGTGGAACGAAGAGTGGTCATATCGTGGTTTTTCTTGTCTCGGACGACGGCACCGCCGATGTCGTCGCCGTTCAGCGAGTGTCCAAGTATGGTTGGATTTCGAGCCTGGCGTTTCGCAAAACATCAATCGAGAGGGGCGAGCATGTGGACTTGTTCGTAGGATGCTCGAGCGGATGCATTCTTAATGTGCGCGGAGATATCGATATAGCACGATCCGCAATTTCGCGGCGTTCTCAAACGGGCGTGATGTTTCAAGAACTCATCAACTATAGCCTTGAGGAGCGCGGTGCGGTGACGTGCATTTCGATTTCTTACGATTTAGTAATCGCCGGTAGAGCCTCGGGCGACGTCTGGATGTGCGATTTGAAACGACCCGAAGGCCAAACTGGTACTCGCGCAAGATACTGCGAGGTACGTCGAGTGTCGTTGGAACCCATCGCCGGCGTGTGTTGGTCAAACGGCGACGTTCCAGGTGAGGCGCTCGCGCACGTCATCAGCGGCGCGACGCACGTCGTGTTCAATCCTTTCTCGAAGGATGGGAAACCGACGTTCACGTACCCATCGGATGATAACGATGCTTTGGGTAAGCGCAAGCGCGCGTCGTATCGCATCGTGGACTTCTCTCGAGGCCTCGCTCCGTCTCCCGACGGACGCTCCGTCGCTCGATGCGACGCGTATGTCCAAACAAGCGATCTGCGCACCAAGAGCGGATTCGCGTGGGCTTCGAAATACGATCGCGGTAGAATCGCCATCTGGCGCGTCCCATCGCGGATTAGCCAAACGTAGCCATGTGCTGAGACTTTGGTCCGAGCGCCGACCAACTGTCGAGCCGCGTCTCAACCTCGTGCACCTCATTCGCGCGCGCTCCGCGTCCTCGACATGTCCAGAGACGCCGTCGACGCCTCGCCGTCGACCTCGGACGCATTCTTCGCCGCCGACGACGCGTACGTACCGCGGACGGCGCTAGAAAAAGCGTCGCGCGGTCAGAATTTCCTACTCGAGCGATGGAACGCGCGCGAGAAACGAAACACCGACGACGACGCGTCGTCCGCGCTCGCGAAGACGATCGTGGTCGTGACCTCCGGAGGGACCACCGCGCCGTTGGAGCGGACGCAGGTGCGATGCGTCGATAACTTTTCGTCGGGAACGCGAGGCGCGCGGTTGGTCGAGGAGCTCGTCGCGCGGGCCGACGTGGAGACGGTGATGCTGCGACGCGAGGGCTCGTGCGCGCCGCACGAGAGGATCGTCATTGAGAGTGCGACGATGTCGGGAGAGAGCGCGCGCGTCGGTCGACCGTCGCACGCGTTAGATGCGCTGGAGTTGGTGGAGGGCGGAGACGAGTTGAGAGCCAAGGCGGCGCATCGGGACGCGACGGTTCGAGCGCTCCGAGGGGTCGAGGCCGAGCGCGATAGGCTCACGGTTTTGACGTTTAAGACGCTCTACGAGTATCTCGCGTTGCTCAAGGCGACGTGCGAGACGGTGGAAGCGGAAGCGTGTAGACGCGGCGGGCGCGCGGTGGTGGTTCTCGCCGCCGCGGTGAGCGATTTTTACGTTCCTTGGCGCGATCTCCCCGAGCACAAGATCCAGAGCTCGGCGCATACCGAGGTCGGTTTGGAGTTAACGCTGAAACCTGTGCCAAAGATGCTCGGAGAGATCAAGCGCGTGTGGTGTCCCTCGGCTTTCGTCGCGAGCTTCAAGCTCGAGACGGATGTCTCCATCCTCGCCGACAAGGCGCGTCAATCTCTATCGCGCTACGGCCTCGACGCCGTCGTGGCCAACGAACTCACGACCCGATACGACCACGTCACCATCTACACCGCCGACGGCGCGTCCAAAACCCTGCGTCGATCCGACGATCCAGCCGTCGCCGGCGTCGAGCACGGCGCGTCGTCGCTCGACGGCCAAATCGTCCACGAGCTCCTCCGTCACGTCCAAAGCGCGTGAACGCCGAAGACGCGCGCGCACGACGCATCGCCCATATTTTCTACACACATCCATTCTCCCGCTCCCAAATCACCGCCCTCGCTTACGCTCGACGCGCTTTCGACGCGCGCGGCGCGCTCGGACTCGCGCCTCCGCCCATGGCCCCACAGTGGTCGACGCGACTCGATTCATGACCGCCGCCGCCATGGACGTCGACGCGACGTCGACGACACCGGAGACGACGGCGCGCGAGACGAACACGCCCCCGAGCGCGCTCGCCGTGGTGCGCGCGAACGCCGCGCGCGACGACGACGACGACGCGACGGACGCGACGATGGCGAGGCTGATTTTTTATTATTGAGATCGCGCGCGATGGCGAACGACGCGCGACTGACGGTGACGACGCGCGCGCGCAGCTCGCGAGGTGCGCGAAAGACGTGGAGAAATCGGTGGAGGCGAAGGGCGAGGCGCGGTTCGTGAACAGGGCGCTGAGAGAGGTACGGGCGAGAACGCGCGCGGTTCGCGATCGATCGCGCGGGGGAAAAGGCGAGGCGAAAGCGCGAACGTGGTGACTGACGAGGGCCGTGACGCTCGCGCGCGTAGACGGCGACGGTGCGACGGGAGTTTACGGGTGAGAACGTGCGGGCTTTCGTGCGGGCGGTGCTTCCGGAGGAGAGCGCGGCGCGCGAGGCGCTGAGCGCTCGGTGCGGCGCGACGGGCGCGAAGACGACGTCCAAGGGTACGGATACGAGCGATGGCGACGCGATCGATGCGAGTGAAATCGCGCCGTGCGCGTTCCCGGAGATGGAGGTGTACGCGTACCTGGTGGTTTTGATGTATTTGATTGATCAAAAGCGCGGGACGGATGCGTTGGAGTGCGCGCGAGAGGCGGTTGATAGAATCAGGCAGTTCAATCGCCGAACGATGGACGTGTTGGCGGCGAGGGTGTACTTTTACTACTCCCTCACGCACGAGCGATTTGGCGCGCTGGAGGACGCCCGGACCACGCTCTTGGCGCTATACAGGAACGCCGCGCTGCGCTTGGATGAGATCGGTCAGGAAACCTTGGTCAACCTGTTGCTTCGCAACTACTTACACTACAAGCTGTACGATCAGGCGGAGAAGCTTCGCTCGCGCGTGACGCTGCCGCAATCGCGAAGCATTCAGCAGCAGTGCCGGTACGCGTACTACCTCGGTCGTATTCGTGCCGTTCAGTTGGAGTACAGCGAGGCGAAGGAGTACCTCACGCAGGCGTACCAAAAGGCGCCGACTTCGGCAAAGGGGTTCCGCTTGGAGTGCCTGAAGTGGATCACGATCGTGCGCATGCTCCTCGGCGAGATTCCGCAGCGAAAGGAATTGACGCAGCCGGAGATGTGCGCGGCACTCACGCCGTACTTTGAGCTCGTTCAGGCTGTTCGATTGGGGGATTTGACGGCGTTTCAGAGCGCGACGGAGACGCACGGGAAGACGTTCCACGAGGACAAGTTGAATCATTTGATCACGCGGTTGCGCGCCAACGTCATTCGCACCGGTTTGACGCGCATCAATACCGCGTATTCGAAGATCTCTCTCGCGGATGTCGCGGAAAAGCTCGGTCTGACGAGCGTCGAGGACGCGGAATCCGTCGTGGCCAAGGCGATTCGAGACGGCAACGTAGACGCCGTGATCGATCACGCGGCCAAGGTCATGTACAGCAAGGAGACGACGGACGTGTACAGCACGACGGAACCGCAAGACGCGTTCCACGTGCGCATCGCGTTTTGCATGGACACGCATAACGAAGCCGTCAAGGCGATGCGTTACCCGCCCAAGGATGCGAAGAAGAAAACCCCCGACGCCCCCGGCGCGCGCGACGTCGAAAACGACGCCTCGGGATTGGACGCCCTCATGGACGACGACGACTTTGATTTCTTCTAGATTTCCTACCGTGTCATTCATTACACGACGCGACATCGCGAACCGACTCACTTGCGCCCCTTCTTTTTCCGCGACCCGCCGCCCGCCGCCTTGAGCTTCTCCGCCTTCTTCCCCGTCCCCGGCGCCGGTCCCGCCATCCCCGCCACCGTCTTCACGTACTCCTCGAACATCATCTTCGGCGTCGTGTACATCGCGTGCGCCCCGGGGCTCCCATCGGCGTTCCGTTCCGGATATTTCTTCACCTCCGCCGCGATCGCCTTGAGCAACTTCCCTCGCGTATCCAGCTCGGGTCGCGCCAGATTCCCCTCGTCGTCCCTCCACGTCACCCGCACCCGTCCTCGGACCCAAAAATCACGCGAGTAACACTTCTCTTCCTCGATCTCACACCGCAATCCGAGCCCGCGTTCGCACGCGTGCGCGATCTCGACGACGTGCGGTCGCGCGACGGCGTCCTCGGTTGGAATCTTCCGTCCCTCCGCGCGCGTGCGCTCGGCGTCGATGTACGGCGCGCACACGACGACACGCTCGTCGTGTCGCCACACCATGGGCGCGCGCGCGGTGGACATGAAGCGCGCGAGACGCCGATGGACGACGCTTAATGCCGACGTCGACGCGTCCACACTCGCGGTCGCGTCGTCGTCGACGGCGTCATGCGCGCGCGCGTCGGGTGATGGGCTCGAGCGTCGAGCGATGCGCGCGCGATGACGCCCTCGCCGGCGTCGCCGCGGGCGTCGCGTGCGCGCTCGTGGGACATCCGTTTGACACGGTGAAAGTGTTCGCGCAAGGCGTCGAGTCGCGGGCGCGCGCGTCGACGGTGGCGGCGACGCGGGCGATCTACGCCGCGCGCGGCTTTCGTGGGTTCTACGCCGGCGTGAGCGCGCCCTTGATCGGGAACTCGCTGGAGACGGGGATGAATTACGCGGTGTTTCACGAGACGCGTCGCCGGGCGCTGGACGCGGCGGCGCGGCGGCGGGACGGAGGGGCGACGACGTTGAACGATCGATTGTGCGCCTCGGCGCTCGGGGGTGGGTTCGCGGGCGCGGTGCTGTGTGCGTTCATAACCCCGTTCGAGCTCGTGAAGTGCCGAGCGCAGATGGGAGGGGGCGGCGGACGCGCCTGGCGCGTCGCCCGGGAGACGTACGCGGCGCGGGGCGCGTTTGGATTATTCAGAGGGTTCTCGCACACGCTCGCGCGCGAGATCCCGAGCGGGGCTATTTATTTCTCATCGTACGAGCTCTTACAGAGCTTCGTTCCTCGAAATGGGGCGTCGTCGTCGACCGTGGACGTGACCGAGGCGGCGTTCGAGGAGCGAGACGCCGCCGGTTTAGCGCTCGAAGCCGTCGCCGCGGTCGGTTGTGGCGGTCTCTCCGGCGTCATCACCTGGCTCGCCGTGCTTCCGTTGGACAACGCGAAGACCATTTTCCAGTGCGAGCGTCCGGGCGGTGCGCACGATCTCTCTCCGCTCGCGTTGCTCGGGCGTCTCGTCCGCGAGCGCGGCGTCTCCGGCGTCTATCGCGGCGCCGTCCCCATCGTCGCTCGCGCGTTCCCCGCGAACGCCGCCCAGTGGCTCGCCTTTGAGTTCGTCTCCCGTTCTCTGCACCACCGTCGCGTCGCGTCATCGCCGTAGGACCGTCCGGTGTATCGTCGCCGCTCGCCGCCGCCGCCCGCCGTCGCCGCCCGCCGCCGTCCCGCCTTCACAGAGGGGAACGACACTTTCCATCGCGTCATTCCCACGCGACACCGCGCGATGTCGCCCGCGCGTCCGTCGTCGCCGCTCGAGACATCGATGATGCGCACCCCCGAGCGCGTCGCGCGCGCAGAGGACGTCCACGGCGACGCGGGAGAGACGACGCCGGTGATGCCATCGTCGTCGACATCATCATCCATCGCATCGACGCCGAGCGACGATGGCGACGATCGCTCGCCGACGACGGTCGAGGCCACCGTGCGCGCGATGGACGGTTTATGTCTGCGCGACGCCACGAACGCGGGCGCGCGTCGGGGACCGTCGTTCAAGAGGTGCGACGACGCGCGCGCGGATGAGACGGGCGCGCGACTCACCGCGCGCGCGAATCGCGCCTCGGCTAGGTTCCACAGTCCCACGGACGCGACGCTGAGCCCGGCGTCGAAGTTTGTGGCGCGAAAGGCGCATCACGCGGCGCCGATGTCGATCGCGGATAAACTGCGCGCGGCGAGTGCGGGTGAGACGGCGCGCGACGGCGCGCGCTCGCGCTTCGCGCCGGGCGGGTGACGCCGCGCGGGCGACGCGCGAAAAGCGAGACCGACGCGAGATCGCTCGCCGGCGCGTCGTCGCCGACGCACACGATTCGAACGCTATTCTTCATCCTGTACACTATCCCAGCCCCCGGACGATTTTGTTAATGTGCACACACGTACGCGCGCCCGTCGTCGCCGCCCGCCGCGCCGCGTTCGCGCCACATTTGAGCGCGCGCCATCATGCCGGCACCGATCATCGGTGGCGTCGCGACCGACCGACCGACCGATGACTCCGACGATGGCTTTGACGAGTCGTTCGACACGCGACACGCGCCCCGAGCGGGACGCGTGCGCGTGGTACGGTGCGTCACGCGCCGTGTGTGAGAAACGTTGGGTCGATCGATGGGCGTCTTCTAGAAATGCGTCCCGCGTGCGACGTTCGCGTCGACGCCGTCGACGATGAACGCGATGGAGACGACGTACCGTCGATACATCGTCGTGTACGACGCTCTGGAATCGATGTGACGCGAGACTGACCGTGGGCGGGGGTCGCTAGGTACCGAGAGAATTCAACCCGGACGATGCGCGCGCGGGCGCTGTGGGTCAAGGTGCGGACGGCGGTGCTGTGTAACGTTCTGCTTGGGAAAGTGCGGAGCGGGTGGAGGGGCGAGAAAATAAATCGGAGCGACGTCGTGCAGATAAAGTTCGTGGCGGTGAGCGAGTCGAACATCCGAGAGGAGATTAAGCGAGTGCAGCACAAGTTCGCGCAGCCAGTGACGTCGAGACGGTTGTTTCACTTGACGCCGAGGCAGCAGATGTACCTGTTTCTCACGGAGCCGACGAGCTCGAAGTCAGCGATGATATTCGCACTGGTGATGTTCGCGCTCATCCTCTTATCCATCACCGCTTTCATCGTGGGCACGTTACCGGAGTTCACGGGCTTGGCGAGTCTGGATATCATCGAGATGTGCTGTCAGATTTGCTTCACCTTGGAGTATGTGGTCAAGGTTGGTTGCGCGCCAAAGATATGGCCAACCGTGTCCGACCCCTTGAATTTGATCGATCTCGTCTCCGTTGTTCCTTGGTACGTCGAGCTAGCCTTCTCAGGATTGAAGTTTGGTTTCGAAGGGGTGGAGGAAACGTCTGGGGCGTCCGGCGCCCGCTTGTTGCGCATCTTTAGATTGTTCAGAGTGATTAAGGTATTTAGACTCGGTAGTCGGGCGAAAAAGATTCAAGTTGTCATCACTGCCGTGCGCGATAGCGCGGACATGTTCGTGGTCCTTGGATTCTTACTCTTATTGGGTCTGGTCACGTTTAGCACCTTGATTTACTTCGCAGAGAAGGGACGGTCGGGAGCTGCAAACGCATTTGAAGCAAACCAACCGAGCGACTTCGACTCGATTCCGGCAGCCTTTTGGTGGTGCTTAGTCACGCTTATGACGGTTGGTTACGGTGACGCCGTGCCTGAGACTGTGTGGGGTAAAATCGTGGCGAGCCTTACCATGCTCGGTTCCGTCGTAATCACGGCGCTTCCTATTTCGGTTATCGGGGCAAACTTCACACAGCAGTGGCTGCAGTATAAAGCGAAGGAGTCGCGAAAACGCCTCAGGACGAGCTTGAGCAATAATTCGAGCCAGATTCTCGAAGAAATGTACACTTATTCTCAAGTCATCGCCTCGCTGACCGAACACATCAGTAGTCTGCAGTCGCACATCCTGACCGAAGTTAACGCCGTGCGCGGTTTGTTAGCCGCCGTTCTTCGCCTGGCGGGCAGCGAAGCTCCGTATGACGAGATCATGATCGCATGCCGTACCGTCGACATACGCTTCGGGAAAATAGAGACTTTGCGAGAGGAGTTACAGGACATGGTGGATATGTACGATCTCGTTTCTCACACCGAGTTTTCAGTCACGCTGCAGCGGCTCAAAGCTATTGGGAACAAGATGCGCAAGGTTCGGGATATGGGATCCGCGCTCGATGATGATGTCGAGACGTTGGTGGAAGCTACGTCGCGTTTACGCCAGGATCTATCTGAACTGCGTGAAATTGTCGACGAGTGCGATAGAGAGGAGCAACAGACTGCGAAAAAGTCGACTGCGAAAAATCAGCAAGCTACCGCTATGTCCTCGCTGTTGCACATCTCGCGATGGAAAAGAAATGCGAAGGCGTCCGGGCAAGATAAGAAGAAGGAGGGGGGTGTACCTACTTGAATGTACATTTGAATTAGATTGTAATTAGGTCGAGCCTAACTCGACGAGTCCTAAGAATTCACGCGAACTTCTCAACAGTGGTGCGTCCAGTAATCGAAGCTGGAATTTCATCGGTCGCTTGTTTCGGTCGTAATCCACCATCTTTAACCGTCCGCAGTACACGTACGCATCGCCCTCCATGCGACAAAACAAATGCAGCGGCCAATCGACGTACTTCAGGGCCGAATCATCACCGTCTTCGGCGCGTTTCACCGCGTCTTCCACGCTCTCTTCTTCCAACGTCATCGTCTTGAGCACAACTTTAATTGCTGACGACTCTTCATCTTGTCTCGGCTGCGCGAACCAAGAGATGCGCGAGCCCGCGCCGGTAAAGACATTATCGTACGTGTTTCCGTGCTTATCGCCTACGTTGACGTACAGTACGACGCAATTTTTCCACTCCTGTATTCCACTCATCTTGCTGAACTTCGGACTGTGCACCGGACTCAGAGCTTTCACCACCGCCGCCTTCAACCCACCGTCTCCCTCCGGCGGCTCCACGCGCTCGCCCAAGTAATTTGTGTACATCTCCCACAGGCGCGCTCGGAGCGCTCGAATCGAGTTCGCGCTCGGCGGTGCGCTCGGCTTACGCGCCGCCGCCGTTTCGCTCCGAGACGCGTGCTCGTCCTGCTTGTCACTTCTTCGTTTCGTCTTCTTCCACGCTCGTGCGTCGCCCAAGTCCTCGTCCACGTCGAATGTCGTGTACACGGGCGCGGATAACTTCCGCGCGCGGTTCGACCGTCGTAGATTCGCGTCGTCGATTACTTTTTTCTGTTTCGGCGACTTGTGCGCCGAGCGAGCTTTGCCAGCTGAGAGACGCGTCTCCTCCACGCACGCCCGCGCTGTGGGGTCACTTGATATGAGAGCGGCGAGGATGGCCTTGTTTCTTGCGATGCGCTCCTCGCGCTTGCGCTCGTACTCGTTCATTGCTGAGCGCAGTGATGTGGGGCTGGCGTTGGTGCTGGTTGGTTTTTACAAATTTTAGTCACGCGGTGGACGAGAGCGACGCGCACGTGACGACCCCGTAGCGGTCGCCACTCAAGAAACGTCTCTTCGATGGCTCGATGACCCCGCACGAGGCCTCGGTGGTGCGCGGGGAAGCGTGCATAGTTGCAGGCGTCCAGCTCGTGGTGGTTACGGTTCCCTTGATTCGAGCTGTTTTGAGACTCCAACACGCAAACGAGCGGTCCATGGACGCCGAGAGGAATGATTGAACCTCGTAGCCTGTTTGTGGCACACCACCTGAGTTGGTGTTCACGAGATTCGCGCGTCTCGCTCGCCCGCTCGATTCGACGGCTAGGCACGAGATGGTGCCAAAGTGTGCTCTTGATTTACTCACGCATCTCCACGGCTGGCGGACGTCCTTCACAAGCTCACCTCCGGACCACAGACAAAGCTCACCGTCTCGAGATCCCGACGCGATCAAACCGACAGGCTGTCGGCCGCGCGTGTCGTCCTGAATCACCGCGAGCGAAGAAATATCTGCGAGGTGTCCGCTCAGCCTAATGTTACCGCCCTCGACGCCGTCGAGACGCAAAATCCTGACTGAACCGTCGGCACCGGCACTCGCCGTCGTGTCCGAGCGCTGCAAAGGCGCTAAACACGTAACCCGGCCATGGTGCGCTTTTGCTAACGCCACTGGCCCGGCCCCTGCGTGACGAGGATCCCACGCGCGCACCACACCCCCCTCGTCTCCCGTGAGGATGCTACCGACGGCACCGCCGCGTGCATCCCGAGTGGCAAAAGCGCTGACACCACCTTCATGCCCAGCGATCACACTCACAGCTCTTCGATCATCGCTCTGTCGAGCATCCCAGAGTTTAACGGTGCCATCATCCCCGGCAGACGCTGTTAACGGCGCCGATGAAATGACTTGGTTCACCACCGGCGAAACGAAAGATATTTTCTTCCCCTTATGAGCTTTCTTTAGAACAGAAAGCCGAGTACACGTTGTCGAGTCCCAAATCTCAATCGCACCGTCTCGACGTCCACAAAAGACGCGGGAGCTGCGTGGGACGAAAGTCAAGGCTGAAAATGCAGACCGCGTTTCAGATTGACTCTGCGAACGCGTCAAGACGTTGGTATCTGGGGCGAAGAACGCGATGTCACCCTTACCGCTTCCAAGCCCCACCAGCGACGATACGACTCCAGACTGCACATTAATCGCCGTGATGGCCGTTCGTTTCCAAATCTCAGTCTCCGTTGTTGCAAACGGACAGCAATCTGGTATGGACTCGCATTCTTCCAGGTCATCGTCGGCTTTCACACCAAAGTGAACGGTGCTCGATTCTCTCAATGACTCCACCCACGACTCGAACGATATTGATGCATACGCCTCGGGCGATAAGATCACCCCGCCTTCGATACCGGCCACCAAAAGTTCACTTTTATCGTCAACTCTGCGAAAGTTGAGTTGATTCAATAACTCCGCCGACTGCGCCGACGTCAAACCCACGATGGCGAAGCAGCGAATGAGGTCTTCAGTTTGAGTCTGCGGGTCCGCTCCTTCTAACCATCGAACATGAGTGTTGACCTTGATTAACCCACGCCAAAGATTCACTTCAGCCCATCGCGTCGACCCCTGCAGCCAAAGCTTGTGACATTTTGCTGGCTGATACTTTCGTACAATGGCCATCACGCGAGCGAGAGATTTTGCGTCCCCGGCGGCGTCCGCCCGCACTACCACTGCCCTAATAGCCGTTGAGATGACGGTGTAACGTTTAGAACCATTTACCAAGTATCTCTCCACGCCTGTGAGTAGAGCAGGGTAGTTGACGTTGGCCGTGTGCTCTGCTAAAGCTGAGGCGATGACGACATCCGAGTCGTTGAATATCGGATAGACGAGCGCCGTCACGGCGTCGAAGTTATCTTCGTGCAGGTCGAACGACGGTTCGCTAGAGTGCATCGAAGCGCTCGGCGAGATCGATTCAGGCATTTCATCCACATCCTCGCCGCTCAGTCTGTCTCTGTGTAAGCGAACAAGACCTGCCAGCGTGTTGGCGTCCTCCTTTGTCAAAGTATTGTAGTACCATTCAAACTTGATGGCATCCTCGCCTTTTACACTCGCCTTGTCCGCATCGAGTCGCCTCTCGGACACTGATATGAACTCATCACGGCTCAACACTTTTCTTTTGAGCTTGTCTTTCACCCATCCCCAGGAAGCTCTCGACGCTGGTTTTGTTCCCGCTCGTCGTAGTGCTCCAACCGGCGTCAGTTCGCTCATTTGTTGTTTGTCGGGCTTTGTATCGACCATCGAATTGATTTGCGGTGGTTCGTGCAGGGAAAGCGATTGAAGGAGAGTTTCTGGCGCTTCTTCCTCGTCAAAATCCAGCTCGTGAAGCCGTGGGACCAACAGCGTCGTCTTCGCGAAGCACAACGATGAAGATGAAACTGGAATTCGGGAATTTTCCATGAGCTGTGTGGAGCGAAATTTTGCTCGGCTCTTGGTCGACCTGTCTTCCGATTTTGACTTGCTTCGTCTCATCAGAGAATGTACGTCGCTAAGTAGTGACATGAACGCGTTCGTCTCGACGATTTGATCAGTCAGATGGCACCTTTGGACGCCCAGTGCGTTGTTGTACTCGTTCATCTTCAACTGATGCGCATCTTCGCTCTCCTTGACGTACTTTTCCAGCGAATCAAGTTGTAACAAATCGTACCAAAAATCCGTAAAAATATCCGTCAACCTCCTATTAGTCTCCATCGACCACCGGCAAGAGACCGCGTCCGCATCCGTATCGCCTACGTGCACAACACCGGGGTGTAAAACCTCGCGCAAACGCTGCGTGAGACTGTGCAACATGTCCGCCGGAGGCATCAGAACGCGGTCATCACCGTCGTGTAATGTTCCCTGATCCAAGTCTAACACCGCCACACCGTCTAAATTACGCTCATTCACGACGATGTCGGCGGAGATGCCCATGATGTACGGCATCGGCGCCGCCACGTAATCCACCATGGATGTCGACACACACGGAACGTACACGTGTCTCCACACGAGCGGGTGTGCGAGACTTCGCAAGGTCTCCGCGCACTTCACGACCAAACTCACGTTCTGGCTTCGCAGTAACAATCGACGCTCACACGCGATCAACATCACGCACTGGATGATTGTTTGCGCCGTCAAACACCTGAACAGCAGCTCCTTTCCATCCACGAATGCCTCTCTGTTGACGGAACACGCCGCGCCGTGTGGCGGCACCGCCACGAGCGCTCCACCCACCGGAAACAACACCGAGCGTTCGGCCCGCCACGTCAGACGCTCCACTAACCCATCCACCATCGTCCTCAGCGCCGGCAAGTGCCCGTTCGCTCGCTTCACGTACGCCTCGAACATGTGCCAGAGAGCCTCCATCCACGCGTCCAAACACGGCGCCCGCGAGACTAAACACACGCACGCTCGCGCCCGCGCCGGCGTCCAATCCCACTCCGTCATCGTCAGCAGACTTCTCTCCGGCGCCGCCGCGATGAACGACACGCACGCGACGTACACCCTTTCCCCCTTCTCATCCGTCAAGATCGTCGGGTACCGCTCCGCGTCGTCGTCGCTCGTGCGCGCGCCCGAGTCGTACGCGTCCACCCCTCTCGGCATCACCGACTCCGCGAGCTCTTTCGGCCATCGCGCGTCCGCGCGTGCGACGGCGTCCAGGACGCCCGGTCGAAACCATCGCGCGCGCGCGCGCTCGCCCGCGTCCGCGCTCGTCGACGCGCGCCGATGCGCGGACGCTCGACCATCGCGCCCGCTCGCCTCCGCGTCCGTCTCCGCGTCCGCGCGCGGCGTCCTCGACGTCACCGCGCGCGCGTCGGGGGGCAGTCCACACAGGACCACGGCGTCGACGCATCGCGAGGACATCGACGACGCGTGCGCGACACCGCGACGGCGCGCGCGCGTCGTCGATGCCGACCGACGCCTTCGTCGAGGGCGACGGGTTCGAGTACGCCGCGTGCGCGACGGAGAACACGACGGGGCAGTTGACGTGGGACGCGGCGCGGCGGTTAGAGACGTTTTTGCGATGCGACGACCGATGGCGGCGACGCGATGGCGTCGTGGTGGAAGGACGCGACGGCGCGACGGCGCGGCGGACGACGACGCGGGCGTTGGAGTTAGGGAGCGGGAACGGGTGGTTGGGGATGGCGCTCGTGCGCGAGCGCGAACGGTCGGGGGTGGGGGAGATGGTGATGACGGAGCGCGCGCGAGGCGGCGCGTTGGAGTGGTTGCGGCGACGGGTCGAGGCGAACGCGGCGTGGACGCGGGGTGGTTCGGGGGCGATCGCGTGTAAAGCGCTGGATTGGGTCGAATTCGCTCGAGATGAAGCGGAGGGAGGCGATGACGATGGCGCGTTCGCGGGATTCGACGCGATATTCGGTTCGGATTTGGTGTACGACCGCGACGGCATCGAGGCGCTGCCGCGCGTCGTCGCCGCGCTCCTCAGAAGGAACCCGGGGGCGGAATTCTGGTACGCCCACACGAAACACCGGTACGACGGCATGGATGAAGACTTCTTCGCCGAGATCGAGCGATGCGGTCTCTCGAGAGAAGAGGTGAGAGAGGACGGCGTGCCGACTCCGCCGCCTTCGCCGCCGCCTTTCGAGTCGCTCTTCCCGGACCAACGCATCGCCGTCTATCGTATCTCCCTCGATGCATCGGCGAATCAAAATTGACGACGTGTGCGCGTACGCGGCGGCGTAGTCTTCGTAGTCATCCTCGTCTGTCGTTCACGTCCGCTCGCCGTAGCCGCAGTCGACGCCTCGCTTGAAGATGCGCGCGCGCACCTCGCTCTCGAGCCAAGCGTGCGCGCGTCGCGTCCTCCAACGCCGGCGACGCTGCATTCGGCGCCTCACCGGTCGCCATGACGCGATCGCGGACGATGACGACGCGCGAACGGGCCGACGACGCGACGCTTTAGCGCTCGGTGACGTCGTTGAGATTAAAGTCGTCGGTACCGCGGCGGTGAACGGCGCCACGGTGACGGGGGCGATCGCGGACTTCGTCACGAACGCGAGCTTTCACGCGGACGGAATCAAGGTGAGGTTGGAGTGCGGGGCGATCGGACGGGTGTCGAGACGCGCGGACGCGCCCGCGGCGGCTCGAGCGAGCGACGAGAATTCTGTAGAGGTAGAGGATGAGGTAGAGGAGGAAGAGGAGGAAGATGAATCGAGCGCGGAGTCGATTGAACGCGTGGCGTCATCATCGGGGACGTCGGGCACCGGGAGAGCTGTTCGCACGGCGCACGTCTCGGGCGTGTCTAAGTCGGCGGACGCGTCGACGGCGAAGAGTTTGGCGGACGGTTTGAAGGGAGTGAAGCGCGTTCGGTTGCCCACGCGCGCGGGGGCGCACATGGGATACATGTTCATCGAGTGCGATGACGCGGACGCTCTGAGAGGGGTTGTAGAGGCCCTAAACGGGGTCGAGTTTGAGGGAAAGCGGTTAAACGTCGAGCCCGCCAAGGAGGATCCGAGACCAAAGGAGAAGAAGAAAACTACCGCGACGGCGTCCAAGCAAAAGCCTCAAAAATCAAAGAAAACACGATCGGAACTGGAGGCAGAGAATAAGGAGCGACGCATACTCGAGGCCAGGGCGCAGATGGAAGCGGACGCCCTCCTCGAGCTCGAGCGGGCTAAGCGTCGACGCGAGCGTGAGCTCGAGCGTAAGGAGCGCGAGATCCAATCGCAACGCGAGCTCGAGATGGAGCGAGAGCGTCGCGCAAAGGCTGTACTTGAACGTCGAGCGGCCGCTTCAAAAGCTCGCGCCGAGCGCGCACGCGCCCAGACTGAGGCTCGAGAGGCGCGCGACGCCGCCGCCGCCGCGCTCGGCGACATCCGCCTCGACGCCTCCTGGCGCGCTCGCGTGGACGAACTCCGTGCCTCTCTCGACCGTCTCCGCGTTGACGCCGACGCACACGTGGAGTAGATAACATATCCACGGCCCGAGCGCGCTGCATCGCGCCTCGACGGGTCGGCTTAGTAGTGTAACAATTCGCAGCCATCGCATTGAAAAGAAAACCCTGGATTTCCTTCACCAACGCGTCCCCGAGACGACCTCGCACGCGCGTCCGCTCGTTCCGTCTTTCCTAGCCACGCGTGTGCGACAAGTGCGTACCATCGACCGAATCGACGCGACGCGAGAACGAAGACGCGTCCCTTTCGATCGTTTACGCGCGCTGAACGCCTTGGCGCTCGCGCGTGACGAGCGACGTACGCGAGGGCGTGCGTCGAAAGGGTTTCAGCGCGCGGGCGCCGGAAACCCATCGAACGATGCTCTCGCATCGACGCGACGACGCACGACGTGCGAGAGACTGACAGATGATTGCACTCTTTCGCTTTTTCCCAATTCGCAGTGTCTCACCGCAAGTTTGAACGTGCGTAGCGACGAGCGACGATGCGTTGGTGACGGCGATCGCGTTGGGAAAGCCCTAGCGCAATCGTGGAACTTTCTCGACGCGTGCAAGGACGACGACGCGAGCGCGTGCGCGACGATCGATCGATCGAGAGACTGACAATAGCGTTACCGTCCTTCCCATCACACAGACCCGCGTTACGGTAACCTTGGCTTCTTGCCGAAGAAGCGCTCGCAGCGCTCCCGCGGGAAGGTGAAGTCCTTCCCGAAGGATGACGCGAGCAAGCCGCCGCACCTCACCGCCTTCATGGGCTTCAAGGCTGGTATGACGCACGTCGTCCGCGACGTCGAAAAGCCGGGCTCCAAGATGCACAAGAAGGAACAGTGCGACGCGGTGACGATCATCGAGTGCCCGGAACTCGTCGTCGTCGGCCTCGTCGGCTACGTCCGCACGCCGAAGGGCTTGCGCGGTAAGAAGACCGTCTGGGCCGAACACTTGAACGATGAAATCCGCCGTCGATTCTACAAGAACTGGTTCAAGTCCAAGAAGAAGGCTTTCACCAAGTACGCCAAGAACTACACGAACGGCTCCATCGAAAAGGACTTGGAAGAGCTCAAGAAGTCGTGCGACGTCATCCGTGTCATTGCCCACACCCAAGTCCGCAAGGTCAAGGGTCTCAAGCAAAAGAAGGCGCACATCATGGAGATCCAAGTCAACGGTGGCGATGCCGCCGCCAAGGTTGACTTTGGCTTCGCGCTCTTCGAAAAGACTGTCCCGGTTGACAGCGTCTTCCAGCAAGACGAGATGATTGATCTCATCGGCGTCACGAAGGGTAAGGGTTTCCAAGGTGTCGTCACCCGTTGGGGCGTCACCAAGCTCCCGCGTAAGACGCACAGAGGTCTCCGCAAGGTCGGTTGCATCGGTGCGTGGCACCCGTCCCGTGTGTCCTACACGGTTGCCCGCGCCGGTCAAATGGGTTACCACCACCGTACGGAACTCAACAAGAAGGTGTACAAGATCGGCAAGGCCGGCACCGCCAACTTCGGCGCGAACACCGACTTCGACCCGACTGAGAAGGAAATCACGCCGATGGGCGGCTTCGGCCACTACGGTATTGTCAAGAGCGACTACGTCATGATCAAGGGTGGCGTCGTCGGTCCGCGCAAGCGCCTGATCACCATGCGCCAATCCCTCTTCAAGCAAACCCGCCGCGTCGCCACGGAGAAGATCAACATCAAGTTCATCGATACTTCCTCCAAGTTCGGCCACGGTCGCTTCCAAACTTACGAAGAGAAGGCGAAGGTGTTCGGCACCCGCAAGCAAGCGTAAGTCGCTCGTCTCGAATACTATTTCGCTTAGCCGTTTCAATTTCGAGGAAAACTTTAGCCAAAACGAACGACATCAAACGTAAACGGGGTGATCGAGCGCGCGAAGACGAGAATTTCACGCGCGCGCGAGCGCGTCGGACGATACGAATCGATACGAGTGACGAACTCAGCGCTCCGCTATAGGGTCTCACTCTAAGACCTGATACCACAAATCTTGTCGTCTAAAGGATCTTGTTGTAGATCTTAGAGATCGTCTCGCGAAGCGCCGCGCGGTCCGGCTTGTAGAGCAAGTTCTGGTACACGAAGAAACCAGAGAAGAGGATGCCGACGAGCTCGAGAAAGTCCGGAATGAGCGGGAGACCGTCCACGGCGCGAAGCGTGCCGTTCGCCGCGACGAGCCCGACGATGCCGTACACGCCGAGCGTCACCAACGCCGGCTTTTCATCCGAATCTTCCCAGTACTCACTCAGAGTCGTCGTGACTTCATCGAACTTATCCCTCGCCGCGTCCGTGAGATCATCCGCGTTCACGCGCGCGGCGACGAATCGCGCCGGCGTCCGCGCGTCCGCGCGCGTCCTCCGCGCCCGTCGTCCCGTCGTCGGCGCCTTGGCCGCCATCTTCATCCCTCGCATCGCCATCGTGCGCATCTACGTCCTCGCGCACCGTCGTTCGCGCCCGTCAGTCGCCTCGCGCGCGCACGCGTGCGTCACCGTCACCGATCGCGCGCGGTCGGATGCCATCGTCCGATGCGATCGTCCCCCCGATCCACCATCGCGTCCCCCCCTCCCTCGCCGTCCCGTCGCCCGAAGACGTCCGCGCCTCGCTCGATCACACACGACGTCGCACCTCGTTCGCGATTCGCGCGCGCGCGTGTATCCGCGCGACGATCGCGTCGACGCGCGGATACGCGATCGCGACGATGGGGCATCGCGCCATCGAGAGGGTCGTTCACGAGTCGTGACCCGTCGCACACGCGCGCGGCCCCATCCACGGCGCCCGCACGGACGATCGCGCGCGCGCACGAGGGGGGTCTCGGTGAGTCGTGACTCGTGCATAGACCCGTCATCGCCCGACGCCGCGGCCGCGACGCGCCGTCGGTCGACGCGCGCGGGATGCGATGCCCACGGGCGTCGCCCGGTCGTTGAGCGCGCGCACGGATGCGTCGACGGCGGGCGACGCGCCGTCGCGGGCGCGCGCGTGCGCGCGGCGCGTCGGCGAGGCGATGACGGGGAAGATGACGATCGCGGAGAGCGTGCGGGCGTGCGCGATGCCGCACGCGAAGGTGCTCGCGCACCGCGCGCTGCGAGACGGCGAGCGACGGATGGATGCGGCGACGATGCGAGACGTGGAGAAGACGTGCGAGGGGGTGATCGCGTGGGCGTGCGAAGACGGACGCGCGGCGACGATTGCGAGCGTGCTCGAGGAGATCGAGTCGAGGTTGTGGGACTTGGAGGGGACGCTCGCGGCGGGTTGGCGCGGGACGGCGTTCGAGGAGGTGAGACGCTCGGACGCGAGCGAGCGCGAACGAGCGGAGGACGTGTTTCACAGCGTGAGAGAGACGCAGTATAGAAGCGCGCACGCAGGGGCGTTGATCGAGGAGTGGACGGGGAAGTTGTTGTCCAAACTCGAGCCGGAGGAAAATTTTCGCAGCGTCATCAAGCCAATGTTGTTGCTTTGGGCGTACGAGATATTGATCGATCGTCAGGTGGTGAACGATGAGGCGGTCGAACGGATGGTTAACGGTACACTCGCGAAGTGGCAGGAGACGTGGCGCGAGCACGCGACGCAGCAGAAGAGAGAGACGGGACGAGCGCCGACTCACGACGCCTTTGTCCAGTTCATGAAGACTTTTCTCGCGCAGAGGCTGCCCGCTTTCGCGAACAGCATCAACGAGAGCTCGTTCAAATTCACTCGTCAACATGATACGTCGATGGAGGCTGAATTCAAGGCTGATGACGATGCGGACACAACGCATACATCGGACACGGAAGATACGTCGAGGCCCATCGCCGGCAAGTATCGCGAGGTGCATCGAACGATTGAAAAAGCCGTCCAGGCAGTTCGCGCCGCTAAGAACGCCAGGGACGTCCAGGCACTTCTTGGAACCACGTGGGTGCGGGAAATGCTCGTCGACGCCCCAAAATTTGTTTTACCGCCCGTGAGACCGGCGATTGGGGCCGATAATGGCGCACAAATGGTGAAGGATTGGCAACGCGAGGAAGGTTTCGTACTTCGCACATCCAAGCACGCGCGTTCACCTCCTTCTACTCCATCGGCGACGGCGAGCATCACTGAGGGCCTCGAAAATCTGCAGGTAGACCCCTTAGAGGAGGTCTTTGTGTCGACCGGTCCGTTTCGCGTGCACTTCATGCAGGCGTGTGCCGACGTAGAGCGCGCACTTATGGCTTGCAAGACGTGCGAGAAGCACAATCCGAGACCCGACGAAGTACGAGAGGCGTGCGTCAAAGGCACGGCGCGCATCCTCCTCGTCTCTTCGCGAACGCTACGAAGCGGTGATTGCTTGGATTTTGTTCACAACCTCTTCGGCTCTCCCCCGGGGTACACGGTGAACCTGGTGGATCCTGCAAAGGCGCGAAAGCTCATAAGGGAGCACTCCACGCTCGGCTCGCCCATCGTCATCGAGATCAATCCAGTCGCCGTCACCGTGCGATGCGTCGATATTTTTACCGTCACGAAGCACTACTTCGCTCAGGAGGCGAAATCAATCCGCCACACCAGCGTCGTCATCGCGAACGACGGCGAGACTTTCGAACCGTGGGCGTGCGTCGCCCTCGAGACGACGCAGACGCTCCGCGTCGTCGACGACGGGTCCCTAAAGCTCATCAAGCAGCGCATCGCCGTGGACAAGATGATATCCCAGTACGTCTTGAATAAGTGGCACGCATCGATGGACTCGTGTGCGTCACCCGAGAGATCGACCGCGAGCGAGGTCCGGGTGTCCTCCCGCGCGTTCGCGCCGTGACCGCGCCTCGCACATTCCCCTGTATAATTTCAAACGACCAGTCATGACCCATCAATGTGGGGACACGTCTCTCGTCTTCCCGAACGTCCACGCGCGCGGGCAATTATACCTCCGCGCACACCGACCGCGACCGCGCGCGCGCGTCGAGCGTTCGACGCGCGCGCCGACATCGCCTCGCGCGAGCATGTCCCTCTTCGCCGCGTTTAACGCCGACGCGCCGAGCGCGGAGCCGTTTTCGTTGAGATTCGGTGCGAACCCCAAGACGCTGGAATTGGTCAAGTCGCCCGCGAAAGGCTCGTCGCCGCGGCGCCCGTCGTCGACGGCGTCGCCGACGAAGACGAAAGTGAAGGTGAAGTCAAGGTCGACGCGGTCGGGGGCGGTGAGCGCGCGAACGCGGCAGGCGCTGCCGGGATCGGTTGACTTTGTCAAGGCGCGCGAGCAGCCGCGGACGACGAGCGGGACGAAGCGTAAGGCGTCGTCGAGCTTGAACGGGAAGGCGAAAAAAGCGGTGATGAGCCCGCGAGCGCGGACGGTGCCGACGAAGAAAAGCAAGAAAACGGATAACTACTTGTTCTTGACCGAGGGTGGAGAACTGTCGGCGGCGACGGAGGAGCTCTCGGCGCGCGTCGCGGCGCATTCGCCAGGGATGTCGCCGCTGAAACGGCAGGATTTGGAGCTGAGCGGGGTCGATAAACGTGTTCAAAAAGTGATTCGTTCGCTGACGTCGGAGCTCGCCGAAACGAGTGGGAAGAATATTCCGAATCCGAGGGGCGCATATATGAAGCGCGTGACGCTTGAACCGTCGAGTCGGAGTCAAAACAAGCCGTTTGAGGACGATTCGTTGTACAAGCCGAGCAAGGTGGTGGTGCCTTTAAAGCATGCGGCCAAAGGATCGGTGGAATGGTGCTCCAACAGGCGTCTTCATGCACTTTGCGCGCCTGGTGCGTTGATGGATATCTCCTCGCGATCATTGACGAACGAGACCAAGGAGCAGATATCGCACTTTTTGCGCAAAGCGACACACGTTGAGGAGTTAGGAGAATCGTACATTCGCGTACGATTACTCGAACATTACCTCGACCTGAGCGGCTGGACTCTCTCTACGGTGGAAGTGGTGTCACAGCGCGATAGGCGACCACAGAAGAACGGCAAACTTTACGGCTCTCCAGAGCTCGTCTTCAACCTAACTGAGGAGGCTGCGTACGGATGTCTGCGGCTTTTCAGAAGCGTGAACGTAACCATATCTCGAAACACCCTGGTCAGAGAAGACAGGGGAGTTTCGCAACGTTCCAACGACTCGGGGAAGCACGTGGGACCGGAGACTCCTCCAAGGGAGCTCTCACCTTCCGCGAAACAAGCTGACGGGCAGCGACCGTCTGGATCATCCGATCAAAGTTTGCCAAACGAGAATACAGAACGACATTCATCGAAATTAGCGACCGATGAAGATCACACGGACGGCGGCGAGGAGGAGGAAGAGGAGCAAGTGGAAGATAGGCGGCCCGCGCAGGAAATGCTTCCCTCACGAGAATTTGCATCAAATGCTACTCAGCCGAAGATGCTGCAAATCGTCGGCGAAGTGAACGGGTTCGAGAGCCAGCGAGGGTCGACTCCAGTGAGAGACGAGAACGGCGTCCTGGCTGATCGTTTGAATGGGCAACTGCGTGATTTTTTCGACCGGTTACAGCACAGGCAACGTATTACCGCTACGTCTCAGCGACAGGGCGATAACAACGGAATAACGTACCCATCTCCGAACGACCATCACTCACATGGCCTTCATGCCATGCATTTACATCAACAGCCGCTCTCTGCGTCGCCAAATGTACTTCCGACTGTGTATCAACCGCCGGTCCCTGCGCCGCCAAATGTACTTCCGACTGTGTATTACCTTCCTGTTCCAATTTCGCCCCTCGGCGCCACCAGTGCAATCACAGAGGCGATAGTGGGTGGCATAAGACTGCGAATCACGCAGGAACCACTTGATGGGGGACAGGTAACACGTGCCGGCGCGGTTGCAGAAACCGCGCACGCCGTTCCGGCTGACTCAGACGCCTTTTCTGACGTGCGACGAGAGCGTCAACTTGCGATGAACGCAAAACACTTGCAGTTCAAGCAAGCAACGGCAAAGGCGCAGCAACACACGCAAGAGGACGACGATAACCTTCTAGTGGCGAATCTACTGATGTTGAAAACGTCCAGAACGAGTAAGAAAGCGAAAGCTTCCACCTCAAAGCCGATAAAGAAAAAGCCAAAACCAAAGCAAACGCAACGCCCGCGATGATGTTACAACGATTCTGTTTACCGGTAGCATTGGAGTACGAAACGCATTCAATTTGTCATACACACCGCAATTGTAACCATACCGAAGAGACGATCTTCTTTAAACAATTAAAAGTTCTATAGTGCCCGTATCAGAGAAGGAAATATCGCGCGCGTTGATTCATCATGCGTTCAACGACGCCGCAGAGCCGATTCTATCCGCCTTCGTGTTCCTCGCATTCAGCTGCTGATCCCACATGTCCTTATAAAGCCCCCCTGGCTTCGCGAGGAGATCTGTGTGCTCGCCTCTCTCGACCACTTCGCCCTCCTTAAGAACCAAAATTTGGTCGCTATCCATGATGGTGCTCAAGCGGTGCGCAATCACGAGGTTAGTCCTCCCCTGCGCGGCAAAATTAATCGCCGCCATGATTTGCTTCTCCGTGTGCGTGTCCAAGCTGGAAGTAGCTTCGTCATACACCATAATTGGAGGATTTTTCAATAGAGCTCGTGCGATGGCGACGCGCTGCTTCTCACCACCGCTGAGACGTAAGCCGCGCTCGCCGACAAGCGTCTCGTATCCCTGGGGCTGCTTCGACACAAAGCTGTTGAATTGCGCGTGCTCAGCGGCGGCCATGACTTCGTCCCTCGTCGCAACTTCACCAGTCCCGAGCTTACCGAACCCGATATTGTACTCGATGGTGTCGTTGAATAAGACGCAGTCTTGTGGAACTATGCCGATGTGCAGACGCACGCTACGCTGTGTACACTTCGTCACGTCTTGGCCCGCAATTCGAATCACCCCGCCCTGAATATCGTACAGACGGTAGATGAGTTTGCTGATGGTACTCTTACCCGCACCAGATCTGCCAACGAGGGCAACCTTGGCCCCGGGTTCGACGGTGAACGAAACGTGATTGAGAATGAGCCGCTCTGCGGGGTTGTACGCAAACGTAACCTTTTCGAATTCGATGCGCGCGTCCGCTTTGGAGTTGAGCACGAGTTCTTTGGATTCCGGGGCATCTTCAACCTCTTTGTTTTCGTTCAAGAGCTTGAACATGGATTCGACGTCAACCATACACTGCTTGATCATGCGATAGTACGTGCCCAAAAAGTTGAGCGGAACGTACAACTGCAAAATGTACGTGTTCACCAACACAAAGTCACCGACCGTCATCTCACCTGCGACCACGCGCTTAGCTGCGAGAGCGAGCGAGGCGGAGATACCGACCGTGATTATGAGTGCCTGACCGAGGTTGAGCCCAGCGAGCGACTGCGTCGTCCTCAGCGTCGCTCGCTGTGTCTCGTGTAACGCCTTGTCGTACGTCATCGCTATGTGCGGCTCGGCACAGAAGAGCTTGATCGTCTCAAAGTTGAGCAATGAATCTGTTGCTTTCTGGTTGAATGCGTCGTCAGCCGCCACCATTTCGCGCCTAAACTTGTTTCGCCACTCCGTGAACGGAACGGTGAAACCGATGTACGCCGCGATGACCCCAGCGGTGATGACCGCGAAGTACCACTCGTAGTACGCGAACAAGTACGCGCACACCAACCCAACCTCCAAAAAGATGGGTGCGATCTGAAACGAGATGTACCTCAACAAGTTTGCGAAAGACTCTGAGCCGCGCGCGCACGCCCGGATGACGGCGCCCGTCTTGCGAGTGATGTGAAACCGCAAGCTCAAATCCATCACGTGCGTGAACACCCTCAACGAAATCGCCCGACTCGCGTGCGCCGCGACGTAGGCGAAGCAGTTATCTTTCAGCTCCGCGAACAGGTTCCCACCGAATCGCAACGCGCCGTAAATCAACACCGGCCCCAAGTAATCCCCGTCGCCCTTCGCTATCCTATCCACCGCCGCCTTCAGCGCGATCGGTCCCGCGACGTTACTCAGCTTACTCGCCGCCAAGAAAATCACGCTCGCCGCCATCATCACCCGCAGCTTCGTTCGCCCACGCGGCCACAGGTACGGGACCAGCTCCCAGAGTTGCGCCTTGTGCTCGCGCCAAAAGCTCTCTTTCCGCGGTCGACGCGCGCGCGCGGTCGCCCCGGTCGCCGCGCCCGCGGTCGAGGCCACGGACGTCGTCGCGACATCGCTCATGTCGCGCCCTCGGCGCGCGCGCGATCGCGGTGGACGCGCGCGGTGGAATCACGTCCGAACGCGATGACGTCGCACGAAAAAACGCCCACGGCGTCGCCGTCGCGTCGCGTCGCGGCCGCACCGCGCGACGTCCGATCGCGACGCGAACGCGCGGGCGCGCGGCGATGGCGAAGCGACGCGGCGACGGTGCGTCGCGGACGACGACGACGACGGCGGCGGCGGCGGCGACGCGGACGACGGCGATGCGCACGCCCGAGGGCGGCGGCGCCGGGACGGCGACGGATGCGTCGAGACCGGACGACGGGTTCGACGTCGACGCGTTGTTCGGCGCGGCGAAGGCGAAGAAACGCGCGAGGGTGGAGGACGCGGTGAAGGGCGCGTCGAAGACGGAGGAGAGGATGCGAGTGCTCCTGCCGGGGGAGAAGCGGCGGAAACAAAAGCGGACGACGGCGGAGTTCACGCCGGTGGATAAACCGCGACGGACGGAGGACGGATTGCCGGTGTTTAAGTCGTACGATGATTTCACCGACATGAAGGCTGGTCAGGATGGGGGTGGGGTGGACGAGAAGGGGCGGAAACTCGGTCCGAACGGCGAGCCGGGGGGCGAATGTCCGTTCGACTGCTGGTGCTGCTTTTGACGCTTCGCGTTGAAAAAGTGTTCTGAAACGGTCGTCGTCTGAGCGCCGTCGCGCGCGCGGTGAATGCGGCCCGACAGTCGTTTGTACCGGTAATAGTTTATAATTGTACTTTTCGATGACAAGAGGTCGCGATATTAGCCGTGAACCGAACTGTTGCACCGAGCGCTCGATCAGCGATATTAGTGTATTAGGATTTCTGATTCTCCTTCCACACGACGTAGAGCGTGCTCGGGATGATGACGCACGCGCCGAGAAACGTTGACATCGCCGGGACCTCGCCGAACAAGAGGAATCCGACGCCCGCAGACAGGATGAGCTCGGTGTAGCGGAACGGCGCCAACGCGCTTGCGTCCACCATGCTGAACGATTTTAGCAGGCAGTACAGCAATCCGTTCGCGCCCGCGCCGAGGATGGCCATCAAACCGTACTGCGTCATCGTTGGGGCGACCCAGGACGTGAGCGCTGGGTAGGCCACGATGCACGTCGTGAACAGGGCGGTATAGAAGATCATCGCCCAGAAGCTCTCCTTGCCGATGAACACCTTGTTCAACACATCAAGCGAGGCGAACATGGTCGCGCTGAGCAAGACCACGAGCCACATCGGGTTGAAAACGGCCCCACCGGGCTGCATCACGATCGTGACACCGGCGAAACCGACGAGGGTGCCGATCCAACGCGTCGCGTCAACCGTTTCCTTGAGAAAGATGCGCGCGAGCACGAGCGTGAACAGCGGAATAGTAAAGTTCAGCGTTGTCACCACCGCGATCGGGGCGATGGTCAATCCCTTGACGTACATAAAGATGCCTCCTGCGAGGAGGGCCGAGCGTGCGATGTGCAGTGGCACTCTATCCGTCTTCCACGACTCCTTCCCCATCGCGACCATCACCGGCACCATGGTGAGCGTGGCGAACAGGAACCTCAAAAACACAACCTGCGCCACCCCGAGGTTCGATCCGGTGTACTTCATGATGACATCGTTCCCGACACCGATGAGCTGATGGGCGAAGAACCAGCCGATGCCGACGAGAAACGCGCTCGGCGCCGCGCCCGCATCCGCCTCGCCGCTCGCCGTCGCCGTCGATCGCGCCACGGTCCGTCCCCGACGCGCGCGCGCGCGCACCGATCGCGCGCCCACCGCACGTGCGCCGCGTCCAACGAACGAAACGCCCGGATCCGACGACTTTGCGAACGTCTCGGCCTCCGCTCCGCGCGCGCGGATGAGCTGAGTCACCCGTCGCGCCGTCCGCGCGCGTCCCCCGATCGCACCTCGCGTCGCACCTCGCGTCGCACCTCGCGTCGCCGCGCGCGTGGACGCCATCGATCGCGTCGCCATCCCGCGGGCGATCGCGCGGGGTCGCCGCGTCGCGGACTGCGTGCGACTGTGCGTGCTTCAGGTTTTGGTTTTGCGATGCGCCCTTTTGGACGGACATCGTCCATCCGCACGTGTCGACGCGCGCGCGACGACGACCACGGATCCGCGCATGTTTCCCTCGACGACCGCGAACGCCTTGGACGCGCGCGCGCGCGCGCCCGAGGCGATGCGACCGCGCGCGAACGGGAAACAACGTGGACGAGGCACGCGGTGGGGACGCTCGAAGAGGTGTCAAGTCGTCGCCGTGGACCCGAAGAACCCGCTGGGGCGGCCGAACGCGCGAGGGATCGTTCCGGGGATGGGGCCGGGCGCGAGGGAGTGGCGCTTGATACATAAAGAGCTCAAAACAAAGTACAGGATGCCCACGGTGTCGTCGGCGGAGTGCGCGAAGATGATGCGTCAAGGCGGAAAGCCCGCGACGCTGTTAGACGTACGATTTGGACCGGATTTCGAGCAGTGGGCGGTGCCAGGAAGTGTGAGCGTGCCGTACGTCGAGGGTGGTATCTTGGCGAAACTTCGATTACCGGGCTTTAAAAAGGTGAACGCGCGCTTCGTGGACGACGTCGAGCGCGCGATTCCGGATAAGACGACGAAGATTATTTTATGCGACATATGGGGTGGTTCCTTAGAGCGCGAGCCACCGGAGAACAAATCATTCACAGATCCGACCAAGGGCGCTGGATCGCTTCCAGCGGCGTTCGAGCTCTATCAGGCTGGATACAAAAATTTATACCACTTGCGAGGCGGCGTCAACCAGTACTTCGAGGACTGCGAGACGAACAAAGATTTACCCGAGCCCGACCCCAAGTCCTGGCCCGGGAATTTGGAGTGGTTCGGGTACAGACAGTTCAACGGCAAGGATCGCGCCAGGGGTCAGCGCGACGATTAAGTTAACATGAATGTAACGCTAATGTAACGCTCGGTCAACCGCCCGCGCACGCGTCCGGCCATCCAGTCACCTCACAACTCGCCCTCTCGTCCTTCTTCGCGCGATGCCCGAGAGTAAAGATAAAGCCGTGATTAAGGCGGCGGACATGCCGGACGTGCGTTCGCCTTCCCCTCGCGCGCGATCGTCGCGTCGATGAGATACGACGTGTTCGTTGATTTCGTTCCCGAGAGAATCGTTCTCGTTGACCGAGAAAACGACCTCGTGGAGAGTCGCTCACGCGTCTCACGGCGCATCAGAACACTGACGGCGACGAACATTTTGCGCACAACATAGGAAGTCCAGGATGACGCGGTGGCGACGTCGATGGAGGTACGCGTGATGTGAATGGACGCGAAGACGCGAAGACTGAACGAGACGCGCGCGTCTTTTTTGTTGACTGCAGGCGATGGAGAAGTTCAACGTGGAGAAGGACATCGCGGCGTACGTGAAGAAGGAGTTCGATAGAAAGCACGGACCGACGTGGCACTGCATCGTAGGAAGAAACTTTGGGAGCTATGTGACGCACGAGAGTGGGAGCTTCATCTACTACTACGTCGCCAACGTGGCGTTTTTGTTGTTCAAGGCGGGATGAGATGACGATGACGCGTGAACGAGGTGATACGAATGACGCTCGGAGATGGATGAGCGAGTGGATGTTTCAAGGCGAACGATGAGGTCTTATTCAACAGCATGATTGTGAAATATCCAAGAAACTTTAGCCCGCGATTACAAGACAAACTTTCTACGATTCTTTCTCGTCCCATCCGTCTCGGTGCTGCGAATGTACTCGTATTCGCCATGTCTGCTATCGAACGTACCTTTCTGCACGGACATCAATCGCAAGGTGAATCTCGGGCCAAGCTCTTGAAGACGCGCCTGAATCATGGTATCAATGGCCGGCGGCGCTGCTTCCGTAGCCTTGTCCTCGCTCTCGTTCTCGCTATCATTCTCACTATCGTCCTCACTATCGTCCTCACTATCGCTCTCATCCTCGCTATCCTCTACTTTTCTCTTCTTTTTCGTCGGATGCCCTTGCTGCATTCTCCTCTTCTTACCGCCGCTCTCCTTTATGGACTCCTTGACGTGCTCCGGCACCTCTGCGGTGGCCAAGTGCCCGGCGTGAGGAAGCCTGTACCCTTTCTTCTCCTCGAAGACGTAACGATGATGCCGGAAGAAGATGAAATCGCGCTGATTATGAAACGTGACCACACGTCGACCCTTAAACTCGGGTCTTTGCGGAAATACCGAGGCGAACATTCTAGACACGCGGTGACCGAGCCTCGTGGTAAAGTTGTTCAGAATCAACTCGGGATAGTGACTCGTTGCCCTACCGTGACCCTTGATCTCTTTCGACAACTGAAGAGACGAAAGCTTATACAGACACGTCGGCCCCTCGGGAAGATGGCAGTGCAGAAGCCCGTTTACCTTGGATCCCTTGCTAAATTTTTTATTTTCGTTGAAGACCAAGATGTCTGTGAAACCGCGCGCGGTGCCGTACTTCACAATCTCTTGGATGTGATAGCTCCTTCTCGCGTAATAATACGCGTTCGGAATCACGGTGAACAAGTTTTCCAAAAATTTAAACATCGCCCCGCTCGGCTTTCGGCTCGTCGTGACGATGATCTTTGGCTCGGTGGCGTGACTAAAGTACGAAGCGAACTCGTCCTCCGCGTCTTGCTCGATAACCTCCTCGTCTCCCTCCTCCACGTGCGTCGCGTCCCTCACGCGCTGGTTCTCAATCGTCTTCGGTATCTGTCTCGGTGCCGGCTCCTCCCCAGCCTCGATCGCCGCCGCCTCCGCCTTTTGCCTCTCCTCTCTCCGTTTCTTTTTAGCCACCGCGCGTTCGTGTCTCAGCTTTCCGTACACCTCCGACCGGCGCTGTTTGTTCTTGATGTGCGACGTGAGCGACCCGACCGTTTCCTTGACGTCATCATCACTGCGCGCGCGGACGAAGCGTCATCGAGTCAGTGTCGAGCGTTGAACACGTCGGGTTCGTGTCGCCGCCGCCGCCGCCGGTTTCGTTCGCGAATGAGTCCTCCGTCTCGCGTCTCGCGTCGTCGTTCGCGTCGTCGTTCGAGCGCGACACGTACTCCTGGAACCGCTTGGTCTTCTTCTTCACCGCGGCGACGCGACCCATGTCGCTCTGACGCGCGTCGTCGAGTGCGGGCGCGAGGAGCGCGGGCGAGCGTTCGCGACGACGCGGCGCGGTTCTAGACGGTAATGCGTTTACAGCTCCTGCGTGGAGTCTGCGAGATCGTGCGCTATATCGTCGTCGGAAGATTCGATTTCTTCGTCGACGAGTGGGCGATAGGCCACTTCGGTGGCGTCGGCGGATTTACCGGCGCGCAAGGCTGTGGCTCGATCGAGCTCCTTTTGCCAGTCCAAGCGGAGGGCGACCAGGGTCATCACACCCGCGTGCGAAGCGGTGCCGACCACGCCGCCGACGGCGAGACCAACGGCACGATGAGACGCGAACGGAGAGGACTTGGCAAAGGCGAAGTACGCCGAGAGCGGGAGGCCGATGAGGTAGTAACACACCAACACGATGGGCGCCGCTTGTGCCTGTCTCGCCGCGCCTCTAAGGACGCTCGTCGAGACGCAACACACGCCATCGAAGAAAACATAAAACGAAAGCGGAATCATGAGCTTGGAGACTAACGCTTTGACATCTCCATCCGACGTGAAAACGCTCGGCCACCTATCGCGCGCCGCGACCACCACGAGCGCGACGGCAAATTCGACGACGAAGATCAACCACATCGCGACCGACGCGGCGAGTCGAGCGCCGGGTGCGTTCCCAGCACCCACTTCGTGCGATACGCGCGTGGCGGTGCTCACGCCGAATCCCACGGCGATCATGAACGCGAATGCGTTCGTAACTTGGTAAATGGACATCGCGCTCACGGCAACCTTCGGATCCGGAAGCAAACCTGCCATGACGATTAAGAACTCGCTCGCCCACCACTCCGCCATTAACAACACCCCCGGTATTCCTAACCGAAAAAACTTTACGAGACCGTCGACATCGAACATTTCCTTTGCGCTGAAACCGCTCCAGCACGCGTCGCGGCGCAACGCGGTTTGCTCGTCGCGCTCCCTAAACCATCCAACCCTACGCCGCGCCGCGATGTACGCCACGTTCAACGCGAGCACGATGGACGTGCTCACGCTCGTCGCGTACGCCGGTCCGACGAATCCGAACCCGAGTTTCGAAAAGATTACGCACCACAGCGGGTGCGCCAACGTGGCCAAGACGCCCGCGTACGCCTGCGGCCGCGTCGTCCCGATCGCCTGCAAGTACCCCTGCACCGTGGCGTTCAGCCCGTACGCGAACAGCCCTGGGATGAGTCCTCCGATGTACGCTCGAGCCTTCTCCGCGACTTCTCCGTCCTGTCCCATCGCCCGCGCGCACGCCGCCGCGCGCGGCCACGCCGCGCCGCCCGCGAGCGCGCACGCCATCAAAATCGCCACCGCCCCCCGCTGCGCCGTCCCACCCACCCCCCCGTGCGCGCCGGCCCCGTACGCCTGTCCACACAGCGTCACCGTCGCGCTCGAGAGTCCGACGACGACCGCGTTTCCCGTCACGTTTGCAAACGTGCTCGCCAACGCGGCGCCCGCCAAGGCGCCGACATCCTTCGTCGCCCCGACGAACGCGAGCGACGCGACGTCGCGCGCTCGATTACACAGCGACGACACCGCCACCGGCGCCGCGATCGACGCCTGCGCGGTCGCCTCGCGCGCGCGGGGCGTTCGCATCGCGCGCGCGCGAGTGCGTGACGTCGATGGCGTTGACGACACGAAGCGTCACTTCCATGGCACGCGTCCGCGCGCGCGCGCACGTCTTCGCGCGCGCGGGTGATCGGGCGTCTCGACGAGGCGCGCGCGCGGGGTTGGTGGACGCGCGGCGGGCGACGCGGGGTGCGGGAGACGAACCGGCGGTGATGGCGATCGGACGCGAATCGCTCGAACGACGCCTGGAGGCGCCGATGGTGGGTCTTGGAACGTGGAAAGCGGCGCCGAACGCGGTGCGAGACGCCGTGGCGAGCGCGCTGCGCGTGGGCGTGCGGCACATCGATTGCGCGGCGGCGTACGGGAACGAACACGAGGTTGGAGTGGCGCTGGCGGAGGCGTTCGAGCGAGGGGACGTCGCGCGCGAAGACGTCTTCGTGACGTCCAAGCTGTGGAACGATCGACGACGACCGGGAGACGTGCGAGAGGCGCTGGAGACGACATTGCGTGATTTGCGGTTGGAGTACGTGGATCTTTATTTGATCCATTGGCCGGTGTGCTGGCGACGAGGGACTGTGTTGCAGCCGGACGCCGAGGCGTCCATCGCCGAGTGCTGGGGCGAGCTCGAACGGTTAGTTCAAGAGGGAAAGGCGCGACGAATCGGGGTTTCGAATTTTGACGAGGTTCAACTCGCCGCGCTATTGGATGATCCGAGGACGAAGATCAAACCGGCGTGTAATCAGATCGAGTCTCACCCTATGTGGTCGAACGACGACTTGGTGCGTTTCACGCAGTCCAGAGGCGTGCGAGTGGTCGCGTACTCGCCCTTGGCGCAGGGAGGCTCGCTTTTCACGCACCCGTTGATGGTTCGTTTGGCCAAGAAGTATGGGAAAACCCCAGCGCAGATCGCGCTGCGATGGAACGTGCAGAGAGACGTGATTGTCATTCCGAAATCGACGTCGGCGGAACGCATCAAGAGCAACTGCGATATATTTGACTTTGAACTGAGCGAAGAGGACGTTCTGGAGATGAAGATTTTGGACGTCGGGAAGAGTACCGCAACGGCACCCTGGAGTCACTTCGCACCGGTGGCGTCGAGGAACAGATGGCTTCGTCCGCTCGGACGCGTCCTCTCGTGGCTTCCTTCCAAGTTCATCGCCATCGACGTTCAGCGCATCGGCCGAAGCGGTTTCATCTCTCTCCGAGCGCCGTGGTCGTGAGTTCATTTGATCTCTCTTTACTAATACAACATGTTACGTTTGTAGTGTAGTGTACACGTTCGGTTCGTACTTCGGTTCGAATCAAGCTTCCGTGCTCGGTGCTTGCTCAACAATGTCGCCCGTGAAGGGGCACACAAATCCCTTCCCGGGACGCACGTGTAACGGAAGCGCCGAGCGCATCATTTCCGCACGTTCGAACGCCTGGATCCAGGAATCATCCGCAGCTAACATTTCTAATCCACCGCGACTCGGCGGTCTCGGCGGTCGCGCGTTCGGATCCACCGGAGCATCATTTTCATCGTGCTTCTCGCTCGCGGCTTCGTCTTCGTCTAACTCCGCGTCCGCACGCGGCGGCGTCATCTCCTCAGCCGTGAGCGGCGACAGTTCACACGACACCTCCCAATCGGGCGATCTCGTCTCCAAAATCTCTTTCCTCGGCGATGCGCGCTTCGTCGGCGTCGGTGTCGTCGCGTCCGCGTTCGTTTCGTCCCGCTCGCGCGCGCGCTCTGCCGCTTCCAAACGTTCTCTCGCCCGCGTCAGCTCCGCCTCCACCGCGCTTCGTCGCTCGCGCGTCGACGCATCATTAATAATCGTCCTCGCCGTCGCGGCGACGTCGTTTAACGCCCAAGCGCGCGTCGCGCGATCGTTTTCTCTCGCGTTTTGTTGATGACCAAGCTGATGACAACTCGCGCGTAGTCTCTCCCTCGCCGCCGCCGCGTGCGCCCGCATCGCGCGCGCGCGCGCGCGCCAACGCATCGCATTCGCCTCCGCGTCCGCCTCGATCGTCGTCATCGCCCCCGAGCGCGTCGCGCGGTGGAGAGACGCGACGTTCATCCGAAAAGATTTTTCAATCTCCTCGCGTTCGACAGTGCGCGACGCCATGCCGCCGGTGCGACGCCGACGGATCGTTTTATACGGTGATTCGCTCACGCAGCGGTCGTTCGAGCCGTACGGCTTCGGCGCCGAGCTCGTACGTCGACGCGGCGACCGAGAACACGCGCGAGAGACGCACGTGATGCGTGCACGTTCTCCTGTTTGGCGCACTGACGACGCATCGATCGACGACGACGCAGGCGAGCGCGTTCTCGCGAACGTGCGACGTGCAAAACCGAGGATTCGGTGGGTATAACTCGCGATTGTGCGCCCGGAACGACGTGTTGGAGTACGCGTTCGGTGATGACTCGACGTACCCAGGAAAGATTTATCTGTCGACGGTTCTGTTGGGAACGAACGATGCGACGCGCATGGTGAACGCGGAGAGCGAGAAGAAGAATCGGGTGCGAGTGGACATCTCGGAGTACGAAAAGAATATGTATACAATTTTGAAGCGCGCGGCGGAGGCGAGCGAGGTAGTGATCGCGATATCGCCGCCGCCGACGTGCGACAAGCTTCGAAGACGCGCGCAAAAGGAAAAGTGGGGAGCAAAGTGGGTGGGATCGGAATTCGAGGATAGACGGCCGGATATCGCGAAGTACGCGCGAGCGTTGAAGCGCGTCGTGAAAAGGCTCGATGGGGATGGGTACACGTGGGTGTACGGATGCGATATACACTCGGCGATGGGCGCCGACGCGCCCGAAATGCTCGGGGATGGAGTTCACTTCAACGAGGAGGGACAACATTTCGTCGCAGAAAACATCATGGGCATGCTCTCCTTCTTGAACGCCAAGGAACCAAGCTGGAACGCGGATACTCTGCTACCAGACTTTCCGTACGGACACGAGATCCGCGATCCATCGAACGCCGAGGTGTCAGAAGAAGAGCTGTTTCGACGTCACGACGAGGCGAAAGAAAAGTGGAACGAGTCGCACACACTTAACCTCGAGATGCGACGATCAGGAGCTACAAACCCACGAATGACCTTCGGTGCGGCGCCAGAGTAGTATTAGTGCATAGTTTTTGCATGAGAATACGTAATTGCGAGAGAAGGTTGCTACTGAAGTACATTTAGGAGTCGCGTTTGTTTTCGCTGTCAACATTTTCCTTTTGATCGGCGTGAATCATGTCGTCGAAGTTCGGTCGCTTCTCCTGCGTAGCCTTCGACTGGTCATCGGTCACCACCAAGTCTTGGTTAACTTCCAGAGAGTTCGTTTTGAGCGTGCGGGCGAAAGTCTCCTTCGGAGCTCGTGGCGTGACCTGTTTCACCTTTTTCGTCGCCAGCTTCACAAGATCTGAGCGTTTATCCACGCGCTTCATCCTCTTCAAGGTGTCATCCATGAGCGCTTCGTGAAGTCCGACCTCAGCGGAAGTCTTCATGAGCTTGCCTTTGCCGGGATCACTTGCTAAGTGATTCGCCGCGACTTCACGCGAAGCCTCAGTCTTGTAATAACGCCCGTCGGATCCCATCTCCCACGCGAGAACTTGGTCCGCCAAACACGCGTCGAGAACCTCTTGCAACTCCGCTTGAATTCTCGGATCGAGAACGCGCGTGATAACTTCGACGCGTCGGAGCAAGTTACGACGCATCATGTCCGCGGATCCCATATAAAACTCCGGTTCACCGTTGTTCTCAAATCGGAAAGCGCGATGGTGCTCTAAAAACCGGCCAATGATGGAGACGACACGAATGTTCTCAGACACTCCTGGAATGCCAGGTCGAACGCGACAGATACCTCGAACGATGAGATTAATTTTCACCCCAGCCTGCGAGGCGCGGTAGAGAGCTGCGCAGATAGTCGGGTCATCGAGGCCGTTCATCTTGGCTATGATGGACGCCGGCTTGCCTCTGAGTGCGTTCTCGGCCTCGCGTTCAATCATGTCCACAAACTCCTTTTGCATGCGCACGGGAGCGACGAGGAGTTTCTTGAATCGCTCTTGGTAGTGATGACCCATGAGAAACTTGAAAAGATTACTCACGTCGTCACCCAATTCGTCGTCGCGCGAAAGCAACCCAAAGTCTGTATAGATGCCCGCCGTGGACGGGTTGTAGTTGCCCGTTCCGATGTGCACGTACTTGACGAGTTTTTTGCCCTCTCTTCGAACGACGAGCGATGCCTTGGAGTGCGTTTTAACCCCCTTGACACCGTAAGCGACGTTGCATCCAGCAGTTTCTAGACGTTCGGCGAAGCCGACGTTTCGCGCCTCGTCGAAGCGAGCCTTGAGTTCGACCAAGACGGCAACTTGCTTGCCGTTCTCCGCCGCTTTGATCAGGGCTCTGACGATTGGCGAATTATCGCTCGTACGGTACAGAGTAGACTTGATGGATAGAACATCCGGATCACGCGCCGCTTCTTCGATAAACGCCTGCGTCGACGTCGCGAAGGATGTGTACGGATGGTGAACGAGGATGTCGCCCTCAGAGATGGCTTCGAATATTGATTTGCCATCGAGTGCCGAGTGCGTGCGAGGCGACCAAGGAGAGTAGAGCATGGCGACATCCATACCAAAGTCAATCGGTATAGAGTCAATCGTACCGAATCCGAGCGGAGCGCGATGAGGGACGGTGATGACATCCGTGAGCGTGATACCATCGAGAGATTCAATGAGCTCATCGCGGACTTGCTCGGGCATGGTGTCCTGAACCTCCAGGCGCACGAACGACGCGAAGCGTCGCTCTCTGACCTCATCCGCTATCATTTCGAGAAGATCTTCCGCCTGGTCTTCGTTGCGTTCGATGTCGGCATTGCGCGTCACGCGAAATACGTGCGTGGCACGAATGGAGCAACCTCGGAAGAGCTTATCGATGTTCGCCTCGATGAGCTGTTCGAGCGGTAAGAATCGTTGCGTGGACTCACCTTTGGGGGAGGGCACTCGAACCCACCTATCGAGCGCCGCGGGGACGCTGACAATTGCGAACTTGTCCTGATTGAACGCGTCTTCGAGCTCCACCGCAATGGACAGCGAGTAGGAGCCGAGAAATGGAAACGGGTGACACGGGTCGATCGCGCGAGGATCGAGCACGGGTTCGATCTGCGCTTCAAAGTACGACTCAAGCTTTTGCTTCACTTCTTCCTCCAAGTCATCGTACTGCTCCAATCGCACGCCGTGTTCTCCGAGCGCCGGGACGATGTGGTCCTCTAAGAGCGCCGCCTGGACGTCAACCTGTCGTTCCACCTCCACTGCGACGTTACGCAGGGTCTCATTCGGCGTCCACACCTCTCGCCCACGCGCCTTGACGAGGTTTTCAACCCCAGCCTCCTCCTGACGCTTAATCGCCCCCACTCTCTTGGCGAAAAACTCATCCAAATTCCTCGCGCTGATGGCCACGAATCGCAATCGCTCGAAGATTGGCGTATCCTCGTTCGCCGCCATCGCGAGCACTCTCCAGTTAAACGCCAACCACGACATCTCAGGATTGAACACGCTATCGCTCCTCGTCAGCGTCTCCACATCCAGCTCTTTCAAGACATCACGACTCTCCTCCGTCCCGACTTGCGCGAACGGCGGCGCAACCGTCCGAATCACCGCGATCGACTCGTTGAACAACTCTCTGAGCGAGTTCGCGTCCATCTTCGCCCCCGCCGTCTCCGAGTCCATCTCCGACAACGCGTTTCCCGGTCCGCGCGTCCACGACGGGCGTCGCGGACCGAGACCGTGGCCGTGCGCAGATCGCCCGACCCCACCGACCGCGACGCGCGATGTGCGTCTCATCGATGCACCACTCCATCGCGCGCGCGCGCGCGGGGCCCCGATCGTCCCGAGCGCGGACGTTCGCGCCATCGTCGTCGTCCTCGCCCGCGTCCGCGCGCGCGTCCGTCGTCGCCGGCGTCGAGGCGTCGCGAGGGAATAATTCATCCGCGACGCGCCACTCGCGCACGTACATAGCCCTATATGGCATCACAGTACGGTATCCGTTAACGTACTGTACGCGTGTATAGCCCCTATAGCGGATACCACGCCGTCACTGGAAACACACACAGACGCAGGTGCATCACCATACGTGTGTTCTGTCCGTAGTGTACATCGAATGTAGCCCGTGTGCGAACGCGGGCCCGAACGACGCGAGACGAGACCCATCGATCGACGCGCGCGACGGACGGGCGCGCGCGATGGCGCGCGCGATGGTCGGAGGTCTCGCGGTCTCGCGCGCGTGGACGCGGGGCGCGTCGACGGCGGCGACGGCGACGGGAACGGCGCTCGGGAGCGGGATTGATTTTAAAAAGCGCGTCGTGGGCGACGAGACGCCGAGCGCGTTTCACGCGCGACTGGTTCGCGAGGGCGTCGCGCGCGCCGACGACGCGCAGGCGATGGCGTTGGAGGTGTTGGATGACGTCTACGCGCGGGCGCGAGCGGGGCGGGCGGCGTCGGGGGTGATGGCGGAGACGACGGCGTGGAGGACGCTCGCGGGGTGGTTGCGCGCGGAGACGACGCGACGGACGGCGGACGAGAGAGATCGAGGGAGAGGTGGGGCCTACGTCCACGGGGGGCCGGGGAGTGGGAAGACGTTTGTGATGGATTTGTTCTACGCCACGCTCGAGGGGAAGGATGGGGTGGAGAAGCGAAGGGAACACTTTCACTCGTTTATGATTGACACGCACACGCGGTTGCACAAGCTGAAGGACTCGGGATCGAGCTCGGACACGGTGCGGGTGTACGCGAAAGAGCTTGCGAGGGAGACGCGGGTGCTATGTTTAGATGAGTTTCAAATCGTTGATGTCGCGGATGCGATGATCATTCGACGGTTGTTGGAGAATCTGTGGGAGGAGGGCGTGCTCTTGGTGACGACGAGTAATCGACATCCAGACGAGCTGTACAAGAACGGATTGAATCGCTCGCAGTTTTTGCCTTGCATTGACGAAATAAAGCATCGATGCATCGTGCATGAGATGGCGAGCGAGCGCGATTACAGGCTCACGGGGGCGCGAGGCGGGGACGATCACGTGACATGGAAGAGCGGCGGCGACGAGTCCGAGCGCGAGCTCTGGCTCATGGAAAGGCTAAAGACACTTGCGGGCGAGCGTCAACTGAAACCGCTTCAGATCGCAATTAGTGGACGAATAGTACACGTGCGACGAGCGGGCGGTGGGATCGCGCACTTTGACTTTCAAGAGTTGTGCGACAGCGCCCTCGGAGCGGCGGATTACACCGCCCTTGCAAGCATCTTCAACACCATCGGTGTCGGCCACGTCCCGATTCTTGGTGCCGATAGATTTGACTTGGTGCGTCGTTTTATCACATTTGTCGACGTCATGTACGAACACAAGGTAAAAGTCTTCATCAGCGCCGCCGCGTCGCCGCAGACCATGTACCGCTCATCGGACGCCACCGCAACGTCTTCCCGCAAGGACGCCGCACGCGACGAGGAGTTCGCTTGGGACCGCACTGTGAGTCGGTTGATGGAGATGCAAACGAAAGAGTTCCAAGAAGCGGCGTGGAATCCAAAGGCTGGATCGTGGCTTCTCGAACAAGCGCGCGTCACGGAGGTTCTCCCGGCGCAGGTGCTTCGATCTTTGTGGCAGCGATACGACCGCAACCGAGATAATGTCCTGGACGAGACTGAGCTCGAGGATTTGATTGCCGATTTGAATCACCTGCGCAGCGGGCACAGGCATGTGTCCGAGGAACAACTCGACGCGGTGATGTCCATCGTGAGCAGGCAGAGTGAGAAACAGAATAGATACATCACGCGTGACGAGTTCGAGTTGTATGGCCATCGCGCCATGCTCGAGTGCATGCGTGATCGATGATAATAGTCGTCAATAATTATTTACACCATAGACTTCACATCTTCGCGCGCGGTGTCGAGCTCAGGGCATTTCTTAAATCTTTGGGAATTTCCACCGGTCTGCGATGTTCAGAGTCCACGCACACGTACGTCACCACTCCATCAAAGCAAGCTTCACCATCCACCGTCCCATCGTACGTCACATCAAAGCTCGTGTTCCCCCACCGCGACACCGAGCACTTCACCTCGATCCGATCCAAATACTTTGCAGACTTTCGGAAATTCCACGTGCTCTTTGCCGCCACGGCGTGATTTCGTCCCACGTCCCACGCGAACGCCCGTCCCCGCACCGCCTCCAACCACGCGTCGAACGCGGCGTCCGCGTACACCGGATAGCTTCCATTGAACACGACGCCCTGTCCGTCGGTTTCGCTGAAGCGCACGATCATCGTCGACGTGTGCGACATCTTGGGAATGCCGACACGAACCGTCGTTCCGACACGATTCTTAATTCTTTCCGCGCGGCGCGACGAGCGCGGCGACGGCGACGACGCAGTGCCAGACGATGAGGGCTCGACCGCGCTCCGTCTTCGCTCCGTGGGCGTGTGCGGGGGCGTCTTCGATCATCGACACGGGGCGCTCGCGTCGCTAAGTGAAGTGACAGCGAGTGCAAGTTGTCGTTTAGTACCCCTCTGCCATGGAGTCGGAGTTCACGTAGTCTCGCGACGCGCGTGGTCGAGCGAGAACGCGTCGATATGAATACAACGATGATGTGTACGACTACGATTTCGGACGAACGATGAAGTGGGCGGCGTGGACGCGCTCGGCGCGCATGTCCTCGCGAAGGGCCGCGAGCGCCGCTTCCTTGACGACGTGCCTGAGCTCGGCGCCCGAGTAGCCCACGGCGTCGCGAGCGATGGACTCGAGATCGACGTCGTCGGCGAGCGTGACGTCGCGAGTGTGCACGCGCAAGGCGGCGATGCGACCTTGGAGATCCAACGGGGGGATCTCGAGGACGAGATCGAGCCGACCCGGACGCGTCAATGCGGGATCGAGACTCTGCGGGCGGTTCGTCGTGGCGACGACAAGCACACCCGCGCCCGTGGACGGGGCGCCCTCGAGACCGTCCATTTCCGTGAGAAACACCGATAAGAGTCTCGTCGCGACGTCGTTAGCGCCTTCGTTCGTGCCACCGCCGCGTGATCCGCACATGCCATCGATTTCGTCGAGCAGAAGCACTGCTGGCGCCGACTTACGCGCTTTGTCGAAAGTGCTGCGAAGAAGCTTTTCACCCTCGCCGAGATACTTGCTAAATACATCTGCGGCGGTAAGTGCGATGACGGTGGCTCCGGATGCCGTCGCCGCGGCTCGTGCGAGCGAGGTCTTGGCGCAGCCCGGAGGACCGTGGAGAAGGACGCCCTTCGGCGGTCGCAAACCAAGTCGATTGAACGCATCGGCGTGATGCAAAGGCCATTCGACCGCCTGTTTGAGGCGCTTCTTAACTTCATCGAGGCCTCCGATGTCGTCCCACGTGACCGGCGGAAGATCCAAGGCGACACCGCGCACCACGGATGCGCGCACGCGCGAGTGCGCCTGTTGGAAATCAGCCATCGTCACCGTCATCTCATCTGTGGCGGTTGATTCAGTCTGTCGTCGCTGTATGGCGCGCATCGCCGCCTCGCGACACAAAGCCGCGAGGTCGGCTCCGCTGTATCCCTTACTTTCGGCCGCAATGGCGCACAAATCCACGTCATCCGCGAGGGGCATTGACGCGGCGTGTAGCTTGACAATTTCAGCCCGAGCGTGCAAGTTTGGCAACGACATTTCAATCTCCCGATCGAATCTTCCAGGCCGCCGAAGCGCCGGATCGATGGCGTTCGGGCGACTCGTCGTCGCGACGACGGGGACATGCACCTCGCTAGACTCGCCCGCGCCGTCCATCAATGTCAAAAGCTGGGCGACGACTCTTGCCTCGTGCGCGTTCCCGTCCCTTCTCGTCGGACACATTGCGTCAAGCTCGTCGATGACGATAACGCATGGCGACCCCTTCTTTACCAGCTTTCGCGCGCGTTCAAACACTTTCCGCAATCGTTTTTCGCTCTCCCCTGCGTACGCGCCCGCGACGTCTCCGCTGCTCACCGTTAGTGTCTCGGCGCCAGCCTCCGCGGACACCGCTCGCACCGCCTCCGTCTTACCCGTCCCCGGAGGCCCGTGCAGTAATAACCCGCGAGGAAACTTCACCCCGAGCTTCCTCGCCTCCTCGCCGTGCCGAAGTGGCCACACCATCAACTGCCTGAGCGCCTGCAAGGCTTCTTCGCACGCCGCCACGCGCGTCTCCGCTCGAGGAGAGCTCACGCCTCCCCCACACCGCTCAATCGAATCGCTCGGCCCGACGTGCTCAAAATTCGTCGCCGTCGTTACTCGCCACGTCGCCCGCCCTTCGTCCCCAAAGCACCGCGGCTCCACGCGCTCGCACGTAAACTCCAGCGAGCCGCCGCTCGCGCGCGCCGCGCAACCCTCCCGCACCACTCGCTCCCTCAGCGCCCGTTCGATCGCTCGACGCTCCTCTTCGCGCGATGCTCTACTACTAGATAACCGCAATCGCTCACACGCGATCGGTTTCGACTCCATGCGCTCCACGACTGCTCGGTCCGCGCAGCCGTCGCGCTCTGCGCTCTGTCCCATCCTCACTTTCGTCGCCTCCATCGCCGCGTCTGCGCTTCCGCGCTCACGAATGGTGCCATCGATCTCACAGCACCTTCCCGGTCGATCCCACGGCTCGAGCGCGCACAGGTACGACGCAAACTCGACGTTTTGTCTGAAGAGACGGATTCTCACCGGCGCGCCGAGCGGAAGTTTGAGCTCGGCGACGACGTCCACGCTCAATCGCGCGCGCTGCGCGCCCACCGGAGAGTCGGTAATGCGCACGACGTCGACGTCGACGGCGTCCATGACGACGTAGTGACGGAGGACGCGCCGGGAAGTGAGAGGCGATGGGCTGGAGCTTGGGTCCTGTGGCGAGAAAAACTAAATATTTCTGAACTACATCGCTCGCTTCGTCGCCGAGCGAGGGCCGTGACTAGTGTAACGCGTCTATTTAACTGTTCACGACGAATTATCGGTGTTGGACTTGGTCATGTCCAAGAGTTGCTTGAAGTAATCGCCAGCGGACTTGCTTGGCGGCGGCGCTGCGCGTCTATCCTGCCGCGCATCTTCGTCTTCTTCTTCGTCGATGGATTGGACATCCACACCCAGTGAACGGGCGTAGTTCCTTTTTATGAAGTCAAGCTCACCAGCAACCTTTTTGGATTGTTGTAAAACTTTGAGCTCTTCGTCGCTGAGATCGACGAATTCTCTGAGTCGTCGCTTGGCCTCGGTGAGAGAAGCCTTGAGAATTTTTATCTCTCTTGCATACGCGTCTCGCTCGCTCGCCGTCTTCTCGAACGAGCGTTCGAGCGATTTGCGGTCGAGAACGAGTTGGCGCTCGCGCTCGCTAATCTGCATCTTCATCGTCTCTTCGGTCTTGGTCTTTTCCTGAGCAATGAAACTGAGCGCCTCCTGACGCGCCTCCTTGAGCGCCGCGTCCTTCTCTTCAATTGCTTTCTTTAGACGTTCCTCGTACGTCGCGCGAAGTTCAGCGATGTCCGCTTCGCTTCGAGCTCGAAGCGTAGCGAGAGAATCTTGCGACTTGGCAATGTCCTTGGCTAAATCATCCCTGGAAGAATTCGCTGGCCTTTTACTGGAGTTGTCCTTTTCCACACTCTTCTCGACGATCTTTTCGACTTCGACGATCTTTTCGACTTCGACGATCTTTTCGATGACTTGTGGTGCCTGTGCTTGACTCGGCTTGGAAGCGGCGATTTCATCGGCACGAGCCTCGGCATCTTGAATTTGCCTCTGAAGTTTCTCAACCTCTCGGCGGAAATCAACCACGAGCTTATCAAATTGAGCGTTAAACCTCGCCTCAATGTCTGCTTCGCGTTCATCGAGCATTTTCTCAAAGTTGGCGATCCTCGCCTTGAGCTTGTCGGTTGCCATCTTTGAAGTCTCGCGAATTCTTGCCTCGGACTTGGATCGCTCCTCAGCAAGCCTCTTGGCTTGCTCTCGAAGATCGTTCTTAGCCTGCAGCTCCGCCTCGCGTAGAGCTGTCACGAGCTCTCGCTTCGCGGCGCGTTCTGCGTCCTCCGCAAGTTTCTTCGCGGCAGCTAATTCCGGTCGTAATGATTTTTCCATACTATCGCGCTCAGATTTGGCTGCCTTCTTCGCTGCTTCCATC